TTTTTTTTTTTTGTTTTTTTTGTTTTTTTGTTTTTTATATTAGCAGCAAAATCAACAAACCAAATGAAAAAGAGCTGCATGGTCGTTCGCTCCTTGGTTTCTCGGTGACTTGGCCAGTCAACTCGAACCGCAAACCTGTGGTGATCTTGTCAGCCAATAAGCCAAAAATATATGAGAAAAAGGCTCAGAAATAAAGTACACCAGCCAGGCTGAAATCACTCGAAATCAGAGCAACTATCAGATCTATCAGGCCTCTGTCCATAATAGATCGTTGCAACTAACAACCTCCACCACGAAAGCCCGGCCCCACTTAAATTTCGAACCTCACTCTCAAATTTTGTAGTCAACACTCGTTATCGATATCAAAATCTTGCTTTCGGTATTCTTCAACTGCCCTTGGAAGCAGACAATCGTCCACACATCTGTGCCGTCAAATCACAAACTGCAAACTTGACCGTGTGAATTTTCCCTCTTTCTTAATATCGTACCCAAAGCCATTCGCAGCAGCCAGCCCGCCGCCATCATGCCCGGCAGAACCAAAAAGGACGCCGCCGTGACCGAAGACGCCACCATGGAGGACGTTCCCGTCTCCGCGCAGGTCGAGGATGCGCTTGACGAGGAGATGCCCGAAAATGGCGCCGCAGAAGAAGAGGAAGATGAAGAAAAAGAGGAGGAGGAGGAGGAAGAGGAGGAAGTTGAAGCCCAGCGGGTCAAGATTGTGAGTTGAAGCCTGTTTGAAACCCGTTCAGATGACATGACGGCGAAAAATCCCGTCTCACAAACAACACTGACTGGATGATGCCAGCTGCCTGGCTCTACCGACACGGCTGCGTCGTTTGAGTTTATCGAAGAAGGCCACACAATGGGCAATGCCCTGCGGTACATCATCATGAAGAAGTATGTGCTGCAGCCCTCCTCCGGCCAGACCCAGACATGACTAACGTTTCCTTCTTTTCCCGTTCCAACAGCCCCGATGTCGAATTCTGCGCCTACACAATCCCCCACCCTTCAGAGGACAAGATGAATGTTAGAATACAAACATATGGTACGTATTAGCAGGGGAGGCCCCCCCTCCATTCAATCCAGGCTTGTTCGTCGGGGACCGAAGCTAACATTTCCCACCTTAGAGGGCACCGCCATCGACGCTCTCAAAAAGGGCCTTGACGACCTGCAGCAGGTCTGCGACGTCGTTGCCGACGAGTTCATTGCTAAGCGTGACCAGTTCAACGCCGACAATGGCATCGACAGGTAACCAGGCGGTTCAATGCGAGTTAGTTTTGTTTTGATGGTTTTTGGGTAACTTTGGAGCATCATATTTTAGGGCTTAATGTTGTTTTTGTATTCATTCATCTTATTTTCCCGTCGCATACAACGGGGATATAACAAGGTGGAAACAAATGAGACACTGCATGCGGCGCGAGCACGCCGGATGGTTCGCCAGGGTTGGTGATGCATTCGCTCGAGTCTAGGAATTAAATATATACACTGCAGTTTCGACGCAAAGGAACAATCACGTTCCTCTAGTTGCGGCCCTGAGAAACCTGTTAGCAATGATTGACAGACATATAAAAAAGACAAACATCTCATACCTGCAAGAACCCAGACATGAAGCTACTGGGCAGTCTCTCGTCTCCTCTAAAGTTCTCATCCTTGAAGTATCCCATGACGTGTGTGGTTTGCTTCCAAAAGTTCATCATCTCCTATACCAAACGTTCCATTGTTAGAAAAGTCTCCGTGTCGCATTGTTGCGTTGTGTTTGGCGCCTTTCGTACCTGGTACTCGGCATGCGACTTGAACAGGAGGACGTCGACGGCCGATAGCTTGCTGACGAAGCGGTTGCGCTCAAACTCCTGTCTCATGCGGTTGCGGATGACGGAGATGGGCATGGGCATGTTGTACATGGTCTGCACCTCGGGCGCCTGATTTATTTGTCCACAACGTTAGCAAATTTGTTCGCCTTTCCCACTGCGCTTCTCGTCTCGGGGCATGTCGCCGTTATCCTGGGCTTCGATCGCGCGGCGCTCATTCGCAAGAGGTTGCTCAATTGAATTCGGATTTGCGGCTCGACATTATGGTCCAAGGGAATTGCGAAAAACGTACTCCTCTTATCCACTCGCGGTAGGACGAAAGGACCCGGCGCTTGGCCTCTGCCCAGTTGGCGGCTGCGATTTCGATCATGTTAGCAAGTCGGCCCATGGAAGTCGCTGCGGCGCGGCCGCGGCGCCGGGACAGGGCGAATACGCACACTGCGCCGTCTTCTTGGCGAATTGAGTCGGGGTAATGGCCATGCTGGGCGACGGAGCGATTCAATGATGCTGGACGAGACCGGCTTCCGGAGCGTGGTTTTGGTCGAGTGTTGCTTAGCTTCGGCTGCAACCCGCGTCAGAATGGCTATAGATCACGTGCAGCCTCCACGCCACAGCAAAACCGCTGCGCGCGCCACACCAACCTATTTTTGCCCCTCCAGACGTGGACCAAGAGATAACGATGGGACTCGGCTGGCCAAGAAATCTACCCACCGGTTCACCCATTGAATAACGAAGCATCGCTCCCCCTTGTTCGCTGAGAAGCGCCGTGTCAATCGCATTTACGACGAGGACTCACGAGGCACCGCCCGGCCCGTTACCACGATGCCAGCCATACGCCACGCCTCGAAGCGCAAGCCCCCGCCAGAGGGCTTCAGCGACATCGAGGACGACCTGCTCATCTTTGCCAACAAGATGAAGGACGCGCAGAACAAGCCGCCGCCGCCAGGCCCCCGGTATAAGGCGCAGTGGGAGGTGTTTCAGATTTCGCACCAGCGCAGCCGCTACGTGTACGAGCTCTACTACGACAAGGAGGCCATCAGCAAGCCGCTGTACGACTGGCTGCTCAAGAATGGCTACGCGGACGCGATGCTCATTGCCAAGTGGAAGAAGCAGGGCTATGAAAAGGTATGTTTGTTGACTACGATGCACACTGTTGCTGGCACCTTTGTTTAGAGCGATTGATGCTAACGAGTTGCTGTCTAGCTATGCTGCCTCCGTTGCGTCCAGACCAAAGAAACCAACTTCAACAGCACATGCATATGTCGCGTGCCGCGCGCGCAGCTAAAAGAGGACCAAAAAGAAATTGAATGCAATAGTTGCGGATGTCGCGGGTGCTCTTCTGGCGACTGAATCTGTGTCTTGACTTGTTGCTTTTTCATACATAATCTGGCACAATTTTACACGGGCAGAATAGGACTGCTGCGTATTGCATCTTCACGGCGTTATTAGCGGTTTTCTTTGGGAATGGGAAAGGAAAGAAAATACACTACTTGATCATGATACACAAGGGGCGAATAGTTTGCTTATAACAGAAATGGCATGCGATTTCCGCAAATGCTGGTCGAAATTATAAGTGGTACAAGTCGTGAAGTCTGTCATGTCCCCGGGCCTGCCTGTCCTCTATTGTTTGGCAAAACCACGCCGATTTCTGGTGCCGAATTTAATCACTGCGGGAACAAAACGCAACGAAGCCATGCTGCCAGTGATGGCATCAATGTCATCGTCGACTTTGGCTGACGAGGTGGCTTGCTGCTGATCCGCGGCCTGGGACTCGGAGGGCTGCTCTCCCGCGCCCGGTGTCTTGCCCTCCAGCGTGGCGGCTCGCCGGCGTGCCTCTTTGGTCTGAGAGGCCGCCGAAGAGCTGCGTCGCCGTGATCTGCCTCCACCGCCGCCCTCGACGAGTAGCGATCGGCGGCCGTCGATGCCGTCGCGGGTCACGGCGAAGAAGAAGTTCTTTGGATAACTGTGTTTGTCAATCATGTGCATACGGCGCTTCTGCGGCGTCATGCATTTCCTATCGCAGCCCTCGACGAAGCAAGAATACTGTATTTCATAGCTTAGTTAGCTTTGCCGTTACAAAGACGGTGAGCAGATTGAATATACAGTATGGGCGCCCTGATCTCGCCGAACCCTGACAATGGGATCGTGCAATTCCTCAATATGTACCCCTAAAAGGTGCTCGCTGGGGAAGTTCTTGCGACATTGCAGACAGCGATTCGTGTGGTGGCTGCTGTAATGCACCTCATATGCGGTGTAGGAGTCAAAGGCCATTTCGGAGTGAGGCGGTAAGGAGCAGAGTATGCGAACTAGCGAGCTGCTTTCTGTGTCTACTTGGCCCACGGCCGGGTCGAGTTCTGTATATTTAGCAGCGTGTTGAAGACCAGAGGGAAGCATATCTCCATCAGGGCTGCCAGGATATGCAAGGTTTATATCCTCTTGGGGCTCTCGCGAACGCTTCATGCCGGCGTCGGTAGTGTGTAGTATTAGTGGGGAGTACCAGCAGATGCAGCTGGCGGAGGCTGGCAGGGTTGTATTACGTGTACCGGCTGTTCTTTTTTTTTGCCAATATTGAGTAGATGGATGATGATTTCGAAGAAGAGGAACGGCTGGTAGCTCGCGGATGCTTTCTTTGCTGGTGGAGATGAGTTGGTCTTTTGTAGATAGTTGTTATGTTATCGGGAGGCGCGATGCGATTCGCCTAACAGTGTATTTGCTCGTGTGAAACCAAGCGTTGCAGCAAGCCTGGTCGGAACACGACTTAGAAATAAAGAGGTGGGAGGTATCGAGCGGTACAAAGTTCTATTCGGGTAAGGCATCATACATCATTACCACCATACGACTGTGCTCAAAGACGCCAGGGGAAAGTGTGCCATGAACGCCTGAACGCACCTCAGCTCACGCGGCCAGTCATGCTCTTAGAGCCCGGGCTCAGTTGAAAAGAGGAAAGAAAGTACCTAGATGAAAGAATGAGGTGCAAAATCGATGGCCGGCCAGTAATGCCTGGCGGTGGTAACGGTGGCAATGGGCAAATCAGTCAGTCAGTCAGTCAACCAGTACCTAGTGTCAGTGGCATGCGGGGGCTGCAGATTTTATTCGCAGTGGCTGTTGCGGCGAGAAGCGCGCCGTGCCGTTCCTACCAGGTAGGTTCCTCCTACTAAGGTAATGAGACCATTGGAAAAAAAGCCGTGCTAAAAAAAAAATCATGGCCTAACCTGGAGGGGTCCTGACCCCCCGATTTGCTCTTCACATTGGCTTCAGTAGCCAAGTCATTATTACCTGTCTTCCCTTCTTCTTCCTCTCCTTCTACCTTCTTGTCCTGCCACCTTTGCCCTTTGCCGTCGCTTTCACGGCGCGCATATTTTGTCCTCGTTCTACTTGCATGTTTGCTGCTTCTCCTTTTCCCGCGCGCCTGCACAACCCTCTCTCCATGCTGCCGCCTTGCCTCACCACCGCTGCCGTTCCGTCTATTCGATTCCGGGCAGCACTCCGCCGCCGCCACGTTCCCAGCGCGAATACAAGAGTATGGTCAGCCCGGATATTCAGCTTCTAACATCCAGATAGCATGATTCGACAAACCAGTTGACCGGCTCACCCCCCCCGCGTTCCCCCCTTCCCGTACCGCGGTGCCCCCCCCTGGCCAGACTTGAGCACTTGTGTCCGCAGAAGCCCAGGCCACGATCCCGGTGTCCGCCAGCTGCACAGTCGACCAAGCAGTCATGGCCTCCAAAATTGCACCTCAGGCGAGCCAAACATGGCAGTGAGTAATAATTCCAACCCCCGAATGCAAGCGCAAGCTGCGGTTCTGTCGCGACTCTGCTTTGCGCGGTGTGTACGGATGCGACGCCATGGTGCCATACCCCTCCAGGTGCTGACTTTGCGATCCACCACCACAGCAACGCCTTGAAGCTTCGAAAACATCTTCTGAAGCAACTGGAAAAGATCAAAAACACAACCTCGTCAGGTGTCGATATTCCGCAGTTAGAAGCCGCCGACGGCACTCTTGAAAAGTGTGTACCCTAGGACTCGTTCCTTCGCCTAGTACACTACTTACCCGTTTGCTAACCCTACGCTAGATTCCGTCTTGCCTGCGTGCAAACCGTTTTCCTCGATTTCGAATACGCTGTCAGCGAGAATACCGACGAGATCCTATGGGGCTTGCACACGTCCATCAACTCTGAATACCGCCGCATTCTCAGCCGGTTGAAATCTTCGTCCCAAGCCGTCGAGCGCCGTAAAACCGAAAAGCTTTACATCAACTTTTTGCGCATAGCTCAAAAGTTTTATCAGGGCTATATTCAGCGTCTCTCGGCTCGATATGATATTCCCGAGCTCCAACGCGTTGCCAAGGGCATCGAGGTTGAACAAATGACAGCCAGTGATCTCATCAGCCCAGTCCCGTCTGAACTAAATGCAAAAGTGCTCAGGTCTTGTCATTCCACGCTGATCCGACTCGGTGATTTGGCCCGCTATAGAGTGCAGGCCAAACATAAGAATTCAGGATATGACATGGCCTTGACCTACTATACACTTGCTCAACATCTCTTGCCCAAGTCCGGATTTGCTTTTCATCAAATGGGTATCGTGAGCCTTGACCAGGGCAGTCACCTTGATGGTGTCTACCACTTTTACCGCGCATGGGCAATTAAGTTTCCTCATCCAAATGCCAAGTCCAACTTGGAAATGGAATTCAGATCTCTTCAACAGCCCGCGTCAAACAAATCCAAACATGCGTCCTCCGGCCCTCAAGATGCATTTATCATGTGGTTTGTGCGCCTGCATGCCCTATTCTACAAGGGCGAGGCCGCACCCCAGTATAAAGAGCTCGAACGGGAAGTCATTCATCGGCTTGAGATGGCCGCCACTAATGGGTCCTGTGGTGATGTTATCCTGAAAATGAGCTTCATCAACATTGCCGCGCAGTACATTGCTACAATCAAGTGCTCTGGTCAGTACCGCGTACATCCCCGCCGCCATCGCCACGAACAGCTGCCTAACATTGCAACAGAAAACAAGAATACCACCTCATTACAGTTCTACCAGTACATTTCCAACTTCAACATCAAATTTCTTGCGACTATTACGACGGTATTGGAGGAGAAACTTCAGGAAAACATGTCCGAGGCAGCTGACGATGAAACTGACAAGACCTCGGGTATCGCAGAATCACTACTTCCCGCTCTGCGAATTTACTCTATGTGGATTGCAGTATCGCGTCAAGAACTCTTCGCACAACCTGCTGCGACCGCTGACGGGTCACTGACTGGCGCCATGATGGACACAATGGCACGAGTTTTCACCCTCATGTGCGTGGAAACGTACAACAAGGAAAATTTGGTATCGTGCCCTTACTTGCTGCCTGAAGATCTTGACAATCTTGGCTTTCAACCGCTCAGCGAAACTACTGTCCCAGAGCCGTGCCGCTCGTTCTGCGAGCAGAATGGCAAAGTGAAACCCCATCTTTACTCGCCCGAGCAACGCTTGAGCCCGCAGGCGGAAAAACTGGCGCGGATTCTCGACATTTTACGCTGCGGCTATTTTCTTGCCGAGGACTCAACTGTGCCTCTATCGTGCCGTGTTGTTGAGAATTGGCTGCTTTTCGAGTATCAGCCTTCTCAGCACCAGCCAGAGCCACTTGTGGAAGCGCCAGTACCAATATTGCGCAAAGAAACGGCGGCAACTTCCAGCGCCATACATGTACAGAAACGCCGTTCAGTACATACCAACCCCCAGGAACACCGTCACGACAGCCCCAACCCATCGAGCGGCAAACAACAGGAGGTTGTTACAGTATTACCGAAGCTTCCTACAGCCCCGCCAGCCCCCGCCAACCAGGATGGCGAAGTCGGCGACGCAGAGAGCACCGTTATCAATATGCTCGCACCTTTTCTGAAGCCTCCCACACCGCAGCCACACCCGGGTCTACGCGAGATCGAACCCCTTTCATCGTACGCGGCCCAGCGCAACTCTGCTGCTGGAGACTTGCTCAACACCCATCAACGCCAGTTGGACCCCAGCCCAACGCGATCGATCCCTTCGGGCAAGTTTGAGCCCCTACCATGGGAGTGGTTCAACACACCCAAACCTGTCCGCGGTGACAACTCGCCCCTGTCCGCCGCAGGCATGTCCCCCATCACGCCCGGCATGCCCCTAGGCAGGTTTGACGACCCCTTCTCCGTCCCCTCGACGCCCAGCCGCGCAGCCATGGACATTTCCGCGACCGGCAGTCACTTCCCTCGCGTCTACAGCCACGGCAACATGCGAGCCGCGGCCGCAGACATGGGCATTAACCTGAGCGGCGGCTCCACGGCTGAGCACGCGCATCGCTCCGCGCTCCTCCAGAGCTTTGCGGCGGCAGCGGCAACTGGCGTGCGACCACCGTCCACGAGCGCCACGCCTGGCGCGCGCACCTCCCCGTTTAGCCACTGGGGAGGCGAGAATGCCGCAGGCGCCGGCGGTGGCGGACACCGGCACAGCGGGCTGAGCGCCCCGCCTGGCCTGCCCGCTCCGGAATCGATGCCCCATTCATCGTCGGCCGGTAGCCTGTCGCAGTTTTCTCACCCAAGCAGCATGTACCACGGCACGCCGGGTCCAGCGGTTGCAAATTATGGCATCGGCGGGCATTATCACTTTCAGCAACAACAGCAGCAGCAGCCGTTGCGGAGGCTCTTCCAAGCGGATACTACGACCTCTTCCTATGACGAAGCTATTCTTCGCGCCGCATATGAAGGCAGAAATTGAAGTGTCATGTTTTTTTGCAACCGATTTTCTTCCACCTTCATCATCGTCACGAGACTGTAGCCTGCACACCATTTCGCAACCAGATGCGTCATGGTTCATCCGAAGAAGCGACTGCTTTTGTTGTATATGAAAAAAAACGAGAGATATTCTAAAAAAAGGAAGATGCACGTATTGTATCGGAGATCGTGGAGGATGCCGAACAAATTTCCCCATGCGAAAGCGTGTGATGATGGGAGTACGCTCCATGGATGCAAAACGCCGTTGTTGAAACCCGTTTCCCGCAAAATCAAAAGACACTTACCCTCAACGCCAAGCGAATGTGTTGCCCCGCTTGCCATGGAATGCTCACGTTCGCATCCCAGAGCCAAGAAATAACGAGGCGCCGATTTTATACGCTTAGGATGACTTGTAGGTCTGCTTGGGGAAAGGATACCTGTAGGAGAAGAAGGAGGGATGGGTCAACACTCTGAAAAGAAGCGGAGGGAGGCGGAGTTGTGCAGATATGACAAGATGCATAGATGACATGTTATGACTTGAAACGAAGACGAAGCGAATTATATCAAGCCATATGCCTTCTCAGAATGCAAAGTAATGAAAAAGAGGGTCAACTTACGAAGGTCCAAGTTCCTGGATGCTCAGACGAGCCAACCACTGGCCCATGTCGATGGATTCCTCGAGAGACTTGCCCTCGACGATACCAGCCAGGAGACCGCCAGCAAAAGCGTCACCAGCACCGTTGGTGTCGGTGATGTGAGCCGCGTCAATGGCGTGGACAGGGAATTCCCTGACACCCTGTCCCCCCTGGATGGCGACGAGTGTGGGTTCGGTGCCCTGGGTGACAATGGCGATACGCTTGCGCTTGCCGTTCTCCTTGGGGAGGTTAGCAAGATGTTGGGCGACGTCCTTGGGCTCCTTGGAGGCGAGACCGTGAGCCTCGGCGTAGGAGGCGGCCTCGGTTTCGTTGCCGATAACGTAGTCCCAGTAAGGGGCGCTGGCGTCAACGGGGTCCTTGAAGAACTGGGGGATGAAGGGAGCCGAGAGGGATAGGACAAAGATCTTGTTCTTCTCGGCCGCGTTCTTGGCCAACTCCATGATGGCAGCAGGGCAGACTGTGGAGCGGTCAGTACGGTGAATCGGCATGGCATATGAAAGATAGTAGATGCTAAGTCGTACCAGTGAAGTGGAAGCCACCAATGTAGAAGACCTCGGCCTTCTCGACCAGAGCCCAAATCTCGGGCCTCTTCAGGTGGTCGAGGTCGTAGTGGTTGGCGGCGCCGAGGTCGGTGCACAGGGAGCGGTTGTGGCCGGTGATGACGACGCCGCAGCGGCCGGTGGGCTGCTTGGGATCGACGCGGTACTCGACACGGAGGCCTGCGGCCTTGACGGCATCGTGGAGGGTGGCGGCGTATTTGTCGTCACCGACACCGCCGAGGTATACGACGCTGTTGGGGGGAAGGACATACTGCGCGCCGCGGGCGCTGTTCTGGGCGGCGCCGCCAGCAATCAGTTTGGCCTCGTAGTTGTTGAGGAGGTCCTCGTAGAGGGGGACGTGCTTCTCCTCGGCGAGGATGGCGTCGTTGGCCTTGAGCTCGTACTTGTCGAGGAGCTCCTGGTTACCGACGGCCTGGATGTCTGCATGGATTACGTGTTAGGAAATCAAGGAAAAGTCTTGGAGATCAAGAAAAGCTGCCGTGGAAAAGCCTCGTTTCGGCAGAGGAGGCCTCGACCACCCCCGCGGGCTTTTCTTCCCTGGGCGACGTTTGATGTATTGGCGCAGGAAAAAAGCTGAATGAATTGGATTCACGCACCGAGGAGAGGGTTCTCCAGACAGAGAAGAGAGTATTCCTTGACGGGAGCCATTTTGGAGTATACAATATTGTGAAATTGCTGTTCGGGTTTCGGTGCTGGAGGTTCAAGCTTCAAGGAGGGGCAGAGGGCAGATTTTCTTATAAGGTATGGCGGGGTCGCAAGTACCTGGCTGGTGCCGCGCTGGAGGGTACGTACCGTGCCGTCAATTGGCTTGCCGACACCCAATTGAGTTACTCCGTACCAGGTACATAAGTACAATATTGAGATATTACAGCGCCGCAAAACGGATGGTAGTGGTCACTTGTTCAAGAGTGTTCAAGAGAGGCAATCAATATCTTTGTATAGTGACTTTACACAAGTGACATGACTGTTAGATGCATGTACGCCTGTAACGTAGATTGATACATACACATCATGATGCTCATATTCCAACTCCGTCGAGCACTGCAGTTCCAAAGCACGCACCACCGGTCTTGAAACCGCAATGGTCCATACCTAGTCGCTGACTCTTTTGTCGCACCACCATGCGAGGAGATGCGTAGAACAAAGTAAATGATTTTTTGGAAGTGCGCTAAAATGTCATCCATTGTACTTGCTTTTGGTTCTATCATACTACTTCCTTCAGCAGTACCATCCATAGATGTAAGCACGCCACTATAACACCATCCCAATGAGACCATGAAATCCAGACATCGCCCTGCCTTACTCCTTCGTCTTCTGGGTACCGCGCAGCAGACCTGTCCTGCGGGCGGCGATGAGACCGGCCTTTTGACCCTGGGCGGCGTAGCGGGAAATGGTAGAAGCCTTACCAATATGTTGGTGGTTACCCTGTTACGAGTGTCAGCGTTACAATTCACAAATCTGTGGTTTCCTGTAGTACGTACACCACCGTGGGGATGGTCGACGGGGTTCATGGCCACACCACGAGTCTTGGGCCAGCTGTTGCGCTTGACGGCGAACTTGTGCTTGGCGCGAGAAGCCTTGAGGAGGGGCTTGTCGGTACGGCCACCACCGGCGACGATACCGATCATACCACGGGAGCTTGAGTGGACGACCTTCTTGGCACCGGAAGGCAGCTTGATACGGGTCTTGCCCTCGTCGGGGTTGTGGCCAACAACGGTGATGTAGCCACCAGAAGTACGGCCGAGCGTGCCACGGTCACCGATCTTCTCCTCGACGTTGGAGACGACGGTACCCTCAGGCATCTCGCCGAGGGGGAGAATGTTGCCGACGGTAAGGGCGGCCTTCTTGCCGGCATAAATGAACTGGCCAGTGTACATGCCCTCGTTGGCAATGAAGGTCTCGGAGACCTGCTTGTACTTGTAGGGGTGACGGAAAACGACCTTGGCGAGGGGAGCACCGCGACCTGCGAATCACACCTGTGTCAGCTTCCTTGTTTCATCTTCTCGTTCCCAATCGCATGAGCGGAGGCGTCTTGTTGTTCCTCGTCCTTCGTCGTCGATTGTTGCCAGGGTTCACTAACCAGCATCGTGGATGATGTCGCGGACTACACCGCGAACGTAGCCATGGCGCTCAGCGTAGTCGAGAGTGCGGAACTTGGCGGGGTTCTTGTTCAGGCGCGTGTTGGCCGCTGTTCCCAATGATTAGTACATGTCGGTAAGCGATTGTCCGCCGATCGTCGACTTGTTCGAAGCCGTCGTCGAAATTTCGGTTGTCGGGGAGGACTGACTGAAGATGGAGCCGCGGCCCTTGCGCTGGTTGCGAATAACTCTGCCCATGGCGACTCGTTTGCTTCGAGTTGATGTTAGTGGCGAGTCGTCCAGGTGCGTGGGTTCAGGATGCCAATTACCTATCTCTTGCCGCTTGGTTGTTTGACGGGAAGCCCTGGCGTTCGCTTGCAGGCGACGTAATTTTTGTGTGCGGGCCCTCTCCGCCTGTAAAATGGCAGCCCTTACCACGTGACTGTGGCGGAACCGTGGATAATTTCAATCTCACTGCTTGTGGGTCTCAGCGCCTTGTTTGTTCCTGAGCTATGGGCCCTGTGGCTAGTGCGTCTAGTAAATCACGTGCAGCTCAAAACATCTGTGGCTTTGGGAGATCGCGTAAAGTGTTTCGGTAGCCTGGCGTGCTTCGGAAACGCAGCCTTTGATCTAAATATCAAAGTCTCACTCACGGTTGGCAACTCAGCGCTTCCAGGTAATTGCCTCCTCATATTTCCCGATAGCCATTCACGGGAGTTGCCTTCCTTTCAAATGCAATTCTATCTTGGCATTGTGTTTCTCTGACCAAGCTCTACTGTTGCGAACAGTTGTTTGCACACTGCAGCCTTTTTGACTTTAAGTACCTTTCACAACCCGTAGCAGCAGCGTTCATGGTGCTCCAGGACACAGGAAAATAAACAATGCCGCATCATCTCACAACCCTCTCGGTATTCACTCCGTGCGACTAGTTGCAAGCCCTCACAGCTGCTCTAGTAACCAGGATGATTGTATTTGAGCCTTGCGACGAAATCATTCATAGAAATGAACGCATTGGCAGTGGAAATTGTAGAACTTAGTGTATCATTTCAGTGGTATTGGCTAGGTCACTGGCCAGAGTGGCCTATGAGCGCTGGCGCGTTAGATTTCGCGGGTCCCGTCGACGCGGTTGCTCTTAGTCGCATGCCACGCCTCACATCCGTAACTCTGCACTCCTTGTCTCTTGCAACCCCAAACAGTCAGAAGGAGGCTGCTGAAGCTCGCAAAATGCCCTCCGACAATGATTCGTCAGATCTCTCGTCGCTCTCGTCCCTTTCACCGGTTCCATCCGATGATGAGCTCGATGCCGGCCACGACGGCGGAGCGCCGCCCAAGAAGGGTGGTATTATGAAGTTCTTCTCCAAGGTATCGGAGCAATCGCCTAGATCGCCATCGCCCCCCCCGAGGAAAAGATCACCATCACCCACGCACGAATATGTGCTCGCAGATAATCCTGACATTGCTGTATGTGCTTCTGCCGTTGGAGCTATTGCGACCCATTTCCGCCCGCGAGCGGCATGGGCCTACTGCTAAATGCAAACTTGGCCACTGCAACCGCTAGGAGCTTGTGCTAACCAAAATAGTTCATTGTCATGTTTAGAAGCCGATTTACCGATGCGCTGCCGAAATCACTTGCGAATTTTGGTCCTCAGGAGCTGGAACGCGATGTTGTTGAGCCCATCCCGGGAGATCGCGCAGAGCACTTTCTGTGCGCGCTACTGGGGCTGCTGTTGAATCGCAAACAGGACGTCAAGTATGAACAAACGCGAAACTTGTCTACTTGATAACAATGCTAACTGTCGATCACAGACCTGGGCATTACGGCAGGGCGCTGGAGGACGCGCTCGCGTCGCACAAGGGCCAGTGGCCGGCATCATGGGAGGACAAGAGCCCATTGTCAGGTGGCGGTGGATTCAACACTATGAACCCTACAGAAAGAGTACGCGCGAACCCACGAAATCATTCGACGAGTGCTAACAGTGCTATCTTGCTAGCTGACCCTTCTCCGAACATTAATCCTCTGGACCATGGCCTCCTCTGATAGCGTCAAATCCATAATAAATCAAGCTTACAAGCAAAACCGACACGAGGATGATTTGAACCAACCCCGCGCAGTTCAACCCTGGGGATCCGACGGCGATAAAAGAAGGTACTTCTTAGTGGAGGGCCAAGATGACACTGCTTTCCGCGTATATAGGGAAAGCAACCCTGCCGGAGCGAACCGTACATGGTGGAGCGTTGCTGGTTCGATTGAGGAATTGAGGTCACTAGCTGAAAAGCTCAATACGAAGGACGGTGGCCCCAAGGCAAAAAAGCTGAGCAACAAGATGTCACAGGCGATTCCTCGTTTCGAGGCTGGCGAAGAGGTGCGTATTCGAGGAGAAGTCCCGAAGCAGCGAATAGATGCTGACGTGACTGCAAATACAGAAGCGAAGGCGCCGGGATTACCGCCTATTGCGCAAGGAACAATTCAAGAGACCAGAGCCTGGCTTTTCAATGTACGAAGGCAGGACTCGTGGTAAGCGCGTCAAGTATACATACTCCGACGACGAAGATATATTCTATTCCGATTCGACCAACCGCCGATCTGCACGCAATACCGGCGCGAACACTCCCGCAGAGACTGGCCCCCTCACAACAGCCAGTGGGCGTCAGATTCGTGCACCTCCTCGAATGGCGGCCGGCGATGACAGCGCAGCTGCGAGCGTCCAAGATGACTTCTCTGAGGCTGACCGAGAAGGTTCCGTTGGAGTGACCGGTAGATCGCGGCGATCAGCGGGAACTGGCACGGCAAATGGTCGGGCTGATACTAATGGCCGTGGCCACAGCCTCAGGCACTCTATGGACTCGGAAGACGCTGTGAGCGAGGCTGATTATGGGGACGACGAAGAAGATGCGGAGGCACAAGTTCCGGAGGACGAGGACGAGGAAGAGTACGAGTTTGACGATGATGAAGTTATGGTTGATGACGATATTGATGACAGCCCAAAGAGCCTGGTGGTCAAGCTGGCAATCACGTCACCGAATCTGAGAACTGCGCTCACCCCCATTGATCCGGTGCCAAATGCACTACCCACTCCCGAGGTGGAGGACCGAAAACCGGCGCTGGCTGAGGCCTCAGCCAATGCCGTCCTTGATGTCGTCATGAAAGACTCTCCCGCGCTTGAGGCCGAGAACGAAAAGAAGTCAGACCTGCTGGCTGAGAAGTCGGCAGAGCAACCGTCACACAAGTTGGATGATCAGGCTGATCAACCCGAGCTAGGCACAGCGCCCGCCAGCTCAGTTGCTATTTCTTCGGCGTCGCTTGCGTTTCGTGGCAGCCCCGAGAAGAAGCATGTGAAGCCAGCTATATTGCCAGACATTCTCAAAACACCTCAATAAGGCTCGGTTAGGGTTGTGCGAATTTGTGCGTTCTGTTTCAAATGTCTCACGGTTTGGAGTTTGGAATGCATGTAGAAAGTATCTAAGAAGGGGAGGATACACACCTTTTTTTGGGCGAACCTATGTCATATTAATGATGGTAATAAGCTATGATAGAAAAGGGCCAGTTTCTGAAGCTGGAGCAGATTACATATGGTTGATTATCTGGCGTATGAAAATGGCATTTTCAGTTTTGAGCAACCTGGGCACGGGTGTCGAAACAGGCAAATGTGACTATGACCGTTTAAGCAGGCAAGGTGATGGATCAACGCTAAATGGCATTGTGTAGTGGGAAAGCAATGCCGAGATATTAAGAACGCAAAAACATATAGGCTACATCATCTGCGATAGTGGCGATGCTGGCCATCGCTGGGGACCGTCCAGTTGTTGATGCCGTACCACCATCTACGGACACGGGCACCGGCGGTGTCGCCATGGAGTTTGGCATTGCGATTCCATTCCTGCCAACCGCAAAGAACGAGGTTGTAGATAAGACCCTGAGCTAGAGGCATGATGACCTGGGTGATTGTGTTAGCCGGGGGGAGAAAAGTCTAGAACTGGGTTGGAACAGGAAAGTACCTGATCTCGTGTTGTGATAAGAGCAATCTTCCACCATGTGTCGGCCGAAGCGATGCTCTTGAGGTAGCTCTGCTCGAAGCGCAGGTCGGGTAGAGGCGGCAAAGCTTGTCGTTGGCGGCGTGGACGCTTGAGGACACTGTATGGGATATCATCCTCGTCGTCGTCCATGTTGTCGAGCTGATCGGCGCTACTGCTCCGCAGCAGCGCGTCGTACTCGTACTTTTCGTTAAGAATCTCCTTGTCGTCAGCAGCAGTGCCGGGCGCCATATCAAGGGCGGGGTCTGGATGGCTTCGGATATGGCTTGCTTGCAAGGTGCTTGCAATCTCGGTCGGCAGGTCTGCTAAGAAGGGATCTTGTGAAGCGGAAGCCATGATAGCGGGATATGACGATGGCTGATGGAGGACGATGCAGCGTAGATTCGCGAGACGCGCTTACCGCCCGTTACAGGACAGTCAAAAACGTCGTCAACAAATTTTTAATGGCTGCAGAATAGTTGCAAAGGCAAGATCGGATGCGCAATGGACGTGATGGTGTTGTCGAGGGTGGTTGTTCGGTACAGGTCAAACTCGGAGGCTTATTGACTTCGGCACTTGGTGCAGCGATCCATTGCAGCTCGAGTGGCTCACCTGCGCCTGAGCCACAGCAGCCACACACAAGTTGGCAGCTCAGACCAGGCACAGCCGCAGATTTGTGGACCATTCATCTTACCTTACAGCACACCTGCCAAAGCAGAGCGCAAATATGTGGTGATAAGTGGCCAACTCAGTACTTAGAATATGGGTCAGTAGTCCTCATTGAGAAGTGGCGGGTAGCAGTGCATTTGTTTCTTGCGCGCAGATAGGCAGTTCCGAGAAACAGACTGGTGCCTTGCCTGGATGGAGAGGTCAGGTACCTACATACCTACCTACCTACCCCTAGCCTACTAGGTACCTATGTACTAAGGTACCTTCGTAGTGAAGTGACGTACAGGCCAGCCCAGCGCATCCACAGTACAGCCATGTCCAACCTTCCAGCGGCTAACTCCGCTGAAAAAATTCTGGTGCTGGCCTCTTGGGGCCAAAATTGAGAAGCCCTCCCGACTTTGAACAAAACACATCTTCTTTGGAACAATAGTTAGGCGTCACTACCCCCTCGTACACGCCCTCTGTTCATACCCTTGGTTTTGTTCGAGGAGAAGCGGCTGCGCATTTGGACCACCAAAATACCGTCAACATGAACAGCGAGCAGAACGGCGAGGCCGAGAGAAACGTATGTGCAAATTGCCCCTCGTCAACCCCCCTCTGTGTGCGCTCCTGTCTGCGGGCGGGAAATTTTACGCGCCAGACCTTTTTTTTTTGGCGATGCCCCTCATCGTCGTCAAGCCTGCCCCGCGCTGCGACGACGCGGCACACGATTTTTGAGTACGAAAATCAGGACGAAAATGGCTGATCTGTGGTTGTTGCCCCCATTAGATTGAGATCTGGAAGATCAAGAAGCTCATCAAGCGTCTTGAAGCTGCCCGTGGCAATGGCACATCCATGATTTCCCTCATCATCCGTACGTTCACGCTCCGCCTCCCTCGTCGCTGCCTGGCGCCTGCAACTTTTGGAAGCCCGAAACCTGACTCTCATCGTTCTTAGCCCCCAAGGATCAAGTCTCTCGAATTGCCAAGATGTTGGCTGAAGAATATGTACGACCGGCCTCCCCATTCTGCCGCCAAATCCCGATCGCTAACTTGCGCGCAGGGCACGGCTTCCAATATCAAGTCCCGAGTCAACAGACAATCAGTCCTGTCCGCCATTACCTCCACCCAGAGCAGACTCAAGCTTTACAACAAAGTTCCCCCGAATGGCCTGGTCGTCTACTGTGGTGAAATCCTGACCCAGGAGGGCAAGGAGAAAAAGGTCAACATTGACTTTGAGCCCTTTAAGCCCATCAATACCTCTCTCTACCTCTGCGACAACAAGTTCCATACCGAAGCTCTCGCCGAGCTGCTCGATTCCGACCAAAAATTCGGCTTCATCATTATGGACGGTCACAGTACCCTCTTTGGTACACTCAGCGGCAACACCCGCGAAGTCGTCCACAAATTTTCCGTCGATTTGCCCAAGAAGCACGGCCGTGGTGGTCAGTCCGCCCTGCGTTTCTCTCGTCTGCGTGACGAGAAGCGTCACAACTACGTTCGAAAGGTTGCCGAAATTGCAGTTCAAAACTTCATCACCAACGACAAGCCTAACGTTGCCGGCCTCGTCCTCGCCGGTTCTGCGGATTTCAAGAACGACCTCAACCAGTCCGACATGTTCGATCCCCGTCTGCAAACCAGAGTCATCAAGGTTGTTGACGTCTCTTACGGTGGGGATAACGGTTTCAACCAGGCTATCGAGCTGTCCTCGGAGACCCTCGGCAACGTCAAGTTTGTCCAGGAGAAGAAACTGATTGGAAAGTACTTTGACGAGATTAGCCAGGACACCGGCAAGATTTGCTACGGCATTGATGACACTCTCAAGGCACTCGAGCTTGGTGCCGTCGAAACCCTCATTGTCTTCGAGAACCTCGAGATCAACCGATGGGTCCTCAAGGACAGCACAGGCAAGGAGTACGTCCTCAACTTCACCAAGCAGCAGGAGGCTCTCAACAAGGACAAGTTCCTTGACAGCGCTACCGGCCAAGAGATGGATGTCGTCAACCAAGGCTCCTTCCTCGAATGGGTCGCCGAGCACTACAAGGACTTTGGTGCCACTCTTGAATTCGTTTCCGACCGCTCCACCGAAGGCAACCAATTCGTCAAGGGTTTCGGTGGTATCGGGGGTATTCTACGCTACAAGGTCAACTTTGAACAGTTGGCTGACGATTCTGACGATGACGACTACTACGACGGTTAGTTGGGTGGCCTACACTTCTCACCTGAGAATCACAAGATTGCTGACAAGACTTAGATTGACCTGTGGATACCCTCGTGGACAACGAGGGCGGTTCTCAAGTTCAAACGTCTACAGACGATAACACCAACGACTGGCGTCATGAGGCTCCCCGGTCCAGCGCGGCTCCGCCGTCTGTTGCCCAAAGGCGATCGACGGCGTTCAACGGCGCCCGGCCGGCTCACCAAAGCCACCAGGCGTCTCGACCAAGCCCACTGCGAGCAATGATGTCGACGAATTGAATTTGATCAAAACCAAATTGAAGGTATGACCTCATACTCGAGACACATATTTCCGCTTTGGCTTTTATGCTCACGCTGTTGGTTAGATGACCAGCCTCTTTGCCACATGATGAATGAGTGAATTATTGATGGCATTGGGACTTGAAAAAAGTTACAATTGCAAGTAAAGGTCTTGCAATATTAAGATAGAGCACAATACATTATCACTCTTTAGTTTCGGCGTACATGATGGAGATGTTATTTATCACTTGCTCTAGAGGTGCGATGTGTGTGTGTGGTGACACGACGCGTTATATCGCCTAACTCGTCTCTGTTAGTTTTTTTTTTTTTTCGTTTTGCCATCTTTGTTTTTGCCGTCTTCGTTAGTTGTCGAAATGAAGATTCAAGATTTTAGAGGTTCATCTGCCAGAGTGATAATTTGGTGATGCAGAGGTTGGTGGACAATACCTGGGACAATAGGGCGCTACGCGTTACCTCTAGTACCCAGACATACTGGTACACTGGGCGGGGCCAAGGGGCGCACGCGGTCGTCGGCGCCTGCGGAAGCTCTGCAATGACGACTTGTCTCAACCCCGTAGCTCCGGGGCTGTAACCTAACAACAGCATATCTTGCTGATTCAACAACATCTCCATCCGCGGAAACCCAACTATTCGATCAGTCATGGGAATCGGAATCTGATTTACCCGCATCACAGCCAGACTTGCCGCAATCATGGACCCTGCCAGCTTGTCGCGATCGTCGAAGCGGGCCGTTCCAGTCGGCCTACTGGAAGCTGCGCTCGATTCACCGACGTTCCGGTCGACTGCCCTGCACTTTGGCGACCAAATCGAAGCCATTGAAAAATGGCTCAACAACTATGTGAATTCGACATCGAAGCTCCTCCACGACTTTCTGGCCCTCGAGGACACGATTAACTCGTATCTGGTCAAGACGGCCGCCCCGGTCGGTGACACCACGCTCGACAACGACTATACTTTGCTGGCGCTCAAGAGAGTTGGAGAGGGGTCGCGGGAATGGCTCACACAAATGCAGGGTGCCATGAAGCGCATGGAATCGACCGTGGTTGAGCCGATCCGGTCCTTCATGAGCGGTGACCTCCGCAACTTCAAGGACACGCGGCGCGCTCTCGAGGCAGCGCAACGGACCTACGACTCGACCCTCGCCCGTTACGTCGGGCAGCACAAGACGAAAGAGCCCTCCGCTCTGAGAGAAGATGCATTTTCCGTGTTTGAGAGTCGCAAAATCTATCTGCAGGCGTCGATTGATTTTTGCCAGGCTGTCCCCCAACTCCGATCCGCCATCGACAGACTCCTCGTTACCGTATGCAGCGATATATGGAAAGAGATCAAAGGCTCCCGTGATGCGACCGCCAATGCTATGCGCTGGAGTCGTGAAATGGAACGTGTTCGCGGCTGGTCCAACGAGATGGAGATGGCCGATGCTGTCTTCCGCCGTGAACTCCAGGCAGCCAAGAAAAACATATACGACCTGGCCATTGAGAATGTTAAACCTTCTCGAGAACTCGAAGACTACAATGTGTCCACGATCCCCTTCCTGAGTTCACGCGGCCCTGTAAATCTACAACCCAAGGATGACTCTGCTGTGGTTTGCGTCAAGCAAGGCTGGCTCTTTTTGCGTGTCTTGTCGAACAAACCCACCAGATATACTTGGATTCGAAGGTGGCATTATTGCCGAGACAGAGTCTTTGGTTGGCTGATCCCAGGCGCACAGGGTGTTCTTCAGGGTGATGAGATCGGAGTCTTACTTTGCAATGCCAGACCAGCGGTTGGTGAAGAGAGGCGCTTCTGCTTTGAAATCAAAACCAATGACCAGTCCCTGATCCTCCAGGCAGAAAACCAAAAGGAGCTTACAGAGTGGCTTGAAGTATTTGAAGTGGCAAAGAAAGCGGCCTTTGACACCAGCCGGGGAAGAAGTGCGAGCTCCATGTCGCGCCACGATCCTGCATTTTCGATCAACCCCCCGAGCGCCCCCGAGTTTTCTGCCAATAATGCTGATACGTACATCAACGTCTCGGAAGACGCCGCAGTCGGCCTTGAGCGAGCCACGACCATGCTCATGCCCCCTGATGCCCACACCATGCCTCGTCAGAGCGTTGACGCACACCCCGTGGGTACAATACCACGAAGGTCCTTTACGGCTCTCGGAAAAGAAATTAGCAAGGACTTGGTCACTCGTGAGGACGGCGAGTCTGGCAGAGAGCACGCTGCGCGCATTATCCAGAAGCTGGACCTGCATAGAAAATCAACTTTTGGGCCCGGCAATGAAGGCTCCATGGGTAGTCCGGCCCAACCAGCTTCTGGCAGCGGCATTGCCAGTTTAATATCGGCAAGCCACAACGTCTTTCCGGGCTACCCCCATCCACTACTCTCGCCAAGCGTTACAAAAAGAGGCAGCCCGCTCCCAAAGCTTGATAGCCAGCTGGGTTCTCTCGCGCCGTCAACGTTGGAAAAACCACCCGTGGTAACAACCCTCAGCCGAGCCGCGGCTATTCATGCAGCCGACAAGTCCTCACTAGGAGACTCCCGAAAGAAACTGCCAGCTTCCATTGTCGCCAATTACTGGGGTACAAATATCTGGACTGCTTCGGATAATTCCAGCCAACCCGTACTGCCCAGAAGAGAGGCGGACGATCCATTTGGCGTGGTGCTGCCGGAAGGCATGCAGACCACCCTCAGCACGCCCACAAAGGAGAAAGCATCTAGTGAGCTTTTCCCAATCAACTACCCAACAGAGCTGCGTCTACAGACTGCGCAGTTTAAGCTGCTCTTTCCCGACGTACAAGGAGATGAAAAGCTTGTGCTAGTATTCCGAGCGTCCTGGTCGTTCAAGGCGGCGAAAGACTCGTCGCAAGGCTCTTTTGCTGGCGATGGCAGAGTGTATGTCACGCCAGACTACATGTATTTTTATAGCCAGCGCATGGGGCTCATCACGACATTCTCTGTTAGCTTGGACATCATTGCCGAGGTGACTGCCCACTCTGGTCGAGAGTCGGATTCCATCACGCTGCGCCTAGGTGAAGACATGGGCGAGACCGTCTGGGAAGAAGTCAACCTGAAGGTGTATCTGGACGACCTTCGTCTGCTGCATAGTCGCCTGAACCTCATTATCGACAACATCCAGGCGGAAGAGCCCGCTAACACCGAACACTTGATCTTCGCCCTGATCAACCTCGAAAGGGTGGACGAGAGGCCTAGCCCTAGCATTGACGGATGGGATGACTCGTCGCTCTATACCCCGATTGACACTGGAAATTCCAGCAAAATCCTCGGTCGTTCACCTGTTGAGTCTACCCCGCGCTTACGGCACTCGCAATCCCGCCAGAGATTATTACTCCCCAAAATTCATCTGCCAAATCATGCTGTTGAGTACGAGCCAGAGAACATGACCGAGATGGCTGCTGAGCGCCACTTCGAGATAAGTGCGAAGGCCTGCTTCCACGTTTTGTTTGGCGATAGGAGCTTTGTCTTTCCCAAACTATATTTCGAACACCGCGCTCAGCAAATCGCCCAAGGGCCTTGGGTTTTGGTAGACCAAGGCCGGATGCGCCGCGAGTTCCAGTTCAAGGTCAACTACACGGATATGCTCGGTCGAGATAAAAGTGCAGATGTGAAGGATGAGCAAACAATTGATCTTTTTAGCGACCATGTCACATACGTGGTTACGCATACCAAAACCGCATGGCACCTGCCTCACTCGACATCGTTCAAGCTCATCTCCAAAATTGTCATCACACACATGGCAAAATCGAAGTGTAAACTCGCCATCTGGGTCAAGATTGATTGGTCACGGACACCGGCATTGTCAAAGAACTTGGTAGAGCGCCAAGCTTTGCGTGATATCAAGAGACAGGCCGAGGAGCTCGCGGAACTTGCGACCGACCAGGTGCGCAAACTTGGATCTCGGTCCAGGACAAACAAAGCTATTCATGTTTACGGCCAAGTTGGCAATCAAACGCAGGTTGTTGTCTTCTCGCCAGGCACAGACTCGACGAAGAAACAGGCAGAGACACCTCGAACTCTGACGTCAATGATCTTTGATACCGTGCGTTCATTTGCAGAGAGCTGTATTACATCAGTGATCATGTGGACGTTTGCTGGCATCAAGCGACTGTTTGATATCGTCACGGCACATCGGCTCATTATTGCTCTCCTTTTATTCAGCAGTCTTGTGAATGTGCTGTTGACTTCTTCGAGTACTTCGACATGGTGGCAAGAGCGCAGTGCGGCGCGATTTATGCACCGTATTGGCGTAGTACCACACCCCATTATGAGCAAAGCAATATACTTTTCAGACTTGGCCAAAGCTACGGGCGCTGGTGGCTCTCGGCCGACTTTTGGCAATGAGAACAGCACCTGTTACGACACGTTTGCAGACTTGATGGAAGCGACCGACTTGGACGCACCGTGGGACGAGTCCGGCAGTGCAATGGCGCCGTCGAGCCGCTCTACTGCCCGGCGCATTCGCCGTACGAGACAGCGCTTGGGTACATATCGGCACGATTTGCTCGTGGCCATGCGCGTAGTCAACAGCATCGAGCGCGAGATGATGCAGTCCGAGTGGGAGAATTGGCTGGTACACGAGAACTCACTCTGCGACGAACTAGGTCGCATGCTTGGCGTCAAGGAGGAGCAGAGCGAGTACAAGACAGTCTTGGAGACGGCGCCTGGGGCACAGAGGGTTTTGGAGCCCATGCCAGATCACCAGATAGCGGAGCTGAAGCAGTGGCAAGCGTCACACTGCAGAAGCTGCCGAGCGGATTATAAGAGTGTGATGAAGGGCAGGTCTGGCCAGTTTGAGGAGCAAAAGCGGTAAAGGACAAGACAGCTTTAGCTAAGCTTATCATCATCTCATACAAAGTGCGCACGCCGTTTCTTTTGTCTGTATTCATATATGCATAGTTTTGGGAAGTGGAGGAGCGAGACTAATTAGAGAACTGTATCAACAGCCCAAGGAAACGTGGGCATCCATCCCTGCAGTCAACCGCTAGATTTAGTTATGTACTTGTGATGCATTCGTAACACTGGTGTATGTACCTCTATTTCATTTTGAGAGCTGCTAGCGGACTGTTCTTACTAGCCGGATAACCTATATTGATTACTTTATTTAGGTAACATTCACGTAGATCGATCTGTGGTCTGGTGGTTTCCTGTCTCTCACCCCTGTGTATCTCGTGACCATCTTCTCCATCTCAACAGTCAAAGGGTTAGAATTAGAATGGCCAGATAAATAGACAGATATACATACATAATAGTAAGTACATATGCATAGCGAATAAAAGGGGGGGTCCAAAATCAGGAACATTATAATGGCTGTACTATGAAGATCCATCCCATCAGCAATAGCCGCCTGCTCCTGCGGGCCGAGACGGTGGCTGGCTGGCTGCTTACAAGGTGCCGAGAATGAGACACGCGAGCATATTCGCAAACTTCGGGAGAGAGCTATGCAGTTCATTGCCTGTGTGCGGTTTGCTGATCAATTTGAATAAAATTATCCCGTAACTAGTTATCCGTACTGGGCACCTTGGCACCCAAGCGTCTTGTGTCGTGTGCTCCCGAAATAGACACTTGCATTGCGTTATGAAACAATACATGACTTTCAGCTCGTCATGGCGACATATTCGGATATGTCAGCGTCTCGTTTTCTTTTTCTCAACCTCGTCGCTCACGACGCATCGACCACGGTGGCGGTTCAGACAGAGTGACAGGCTCACACAACCGAATAACTATCATGACTTGTTTTATTCACTTCCTGCACAAGCACAAGTTTCCACAACGATTACAGAGTAATTCGTAGAGGCATAACAAACCTGTTTTTTTCGGGACCCGGACATGGCCCCCTGTTCCTGAGCACGCTAAAAAGTAGCTCCCGGGTTCTCATCAAAAGCCAAGCCTCAAAGGTAATTTTTTCTTATATTTTTCTCGGAAAGCCCAGGGACAAAGAAAGGGTGGGTTGGGCTGTGTGGGCACGGGCTTGGTTGGATTCTTGCTTCTTCCCATTGTTGCAACGGGCGGTGTGTCCGACCAGCCAATACCCGCCGATCTGACACTGCCTCACCAAGGGTCGGAGCCCGATTGTCACAACTCCTGACTCTTTTGGGTGCTTTTCTTCGCGGCCCCTCCCCCGTTTCATGTTCCTCTCTTGCTCGTCCTGTCTTGTATTGAAGAACACGTAACTCAAGCGGGTCGTCCCCCCCCCCCTCCAAGCCACAAGCCTGGAACAATGCGATCCGCCCGGGCTACTTGCTTGTCAGGGACTGATTGGTCTTGAGGCCCCTGTCATTGGCGGCTTACCAGAGGGGTTGGAGGTAATTTTCTTTCCTTGCAAGTCAATGGCACAAACCAAACACTTGCTGTGGCGAGCGAGGCTGTACGAGTCGTCTCTCGTATTTACAAGGTATCCTTCTCCCCAAAGTCTCCAGATGCCTGACAAGGCTTGGTGGGATGATGGGCCTTTGAACCTGTTGCTGTCGGGCGATTTTCTCTCCTGAATCGTACATACTCTCGTTTATACTCTGTACTCCTATCCACCTTGTTTATTATCGGAACCATTATATACTCTCCCATTATATACTCTCGTTGAGCCTTTTTCGTCTCCAGGACGCGTGAGCAACAATGTCAGACGGCGGTATGGACCACGCACCTCCTCCACCACCACTCCAGCTGCCCAAGGAAGCGGCGGCATCACGAGCCATGACGGGCGAGACGCTGGCCCGCGACGACATCCTCTCACCAACTGTCCCGTTTGGAACCTATCCGCCGTCCTCGTTCCAGCGCCATGGCCCCCAGGGTCTCGACGACTACTTCACCGGTCCCCGCGACCTCGCCCGGCACTCGAAATGGCCCGTCTTCCTGCAGATGCACGGCAGCATCCTGCCCAAGATGATCCTGCCGCTCTTCTTCGTCGGGGCCTGGGCGACGGCCGTGACCGTCATCTCCGAGACGACGCACAGCCTGGGCGTCAACTCGGTGCTCCTCACCATCACCGGTTTCGTCGTCGGTCTGGGCCTCTCCTTCCGCAGCTCGACGGCGTACGAGCGCTACCAGGAGGGCCGCAAGTACTGGACCGCCCTCATCACCTCGTCGCAGACGCTGGGACGCATCTTCTGGATCCACGCCAAGGACCGGCCCGACCAGGACCCCCGCGTCACCATCCTCGGCAAGATCAGCGCCATGAACCTGCTCGTCGCCTTTGCCGTCTCCCTCAAGCACACGCTGCGCTTCGAGCCCTACACCGACTACGACGACCTCGAGCATCTCATCGGCCATCTCGACACCTTTGCCAAGGCCGCCACCCAAGACGTCGGCGGAAGCAATGCAAAGGCCACGCGCAAAAACATGTTCAAGGCTGTCGGCGAATATCTCGGCGTGTCCTTTGCCGCCAGCAACCCGCGCAAGACGCTCAAGCGCGCCACGAAACCCCTCGGCAACCTGCCCCTGGAAATCATGAGCCACCTCGCCCAAGCCATCGACGAGCTCATCGCCAACCAGCAGCTGCCCGTGCCCATGCAGCAGACGCTGGCGTACAACAACCTCAACACGCTGGGCGACGTCCTGGCCGGCTGCGAGCGCATCCTCAACACGCCGCTGCCCATTGCCTACAGCATTGCCATTAGCCAAATCACCTGGGTCTACGTCATGCTGCTGCCCTTTCAGCTCGTCAATCTCTTGCACTACGTCGCCATTCCCGCCACCATGGCCGCCGCGTATATTATTCTCGGCCTGCTGCTCATTGGTCGCGAGATTGAGAACCCGTTTGGCCAGGACGTCAACGATCTGCCGCTCGAGTGCTTCTGCGAACAGATTTCGAGCGAGCTCGACATCATCGCCTCGTTTGACAAGAAGCCAACCGCAAATGTCTTCAATACCGATAGCAACTTTCCCCTCTATCCCGTCAGCATGGCACCAGCCAGCATCTGGGCCCAGCGCAGCGAGCAGAAGCTGCGCCACACAATCCGGTCAAAGCCAAATGTGACTTTTGACTGGAAAAACTCGCGGACGGCGCGAAAGGAAGTCGGCGATAAAAATGTTTAAAATATAATGTCAGTTCCGGCGGCGAGACACGGAGGAGCGGACACATCACAAAAGGGGATACCGAAAAACGGTTCTAAAATTAATAGACTTATACTTGTTTTTTTTATATACATATGTTACAGCTTATAAGCAATATATACCAGATTGATTCAAAGCTCTGATTCTTCTTCCACAGTCGCACAAGCGACAAGCTGCTTGTCGTCTGGCAGCATGGGGATCGCAATCCACATGAGCATCGACACGGGGATAATGACAATCCAAGCCAGATGGCCTCGAAAGATTTGCTCCCGCACCCCAACGGCATACAAGACGGTCGTCAGGCCGGGGACAAAGGAGCGCAGCGCACTCGCCATGGTCAGGGCAATGCCGTTGAGCGTGCCTAAGACGTGCGGGTCCGGCGAGGCGTCGTTGAGGGCGAGCTGGACGCCGGTAAAGGCCATGGACACGCCCGGGCCGACGACGGCGGCCAGCGGGCCCACGATCCACGCGCCGGCCATGGCGGCCGGGGTGCCGCGGCGCAGCAGCTCGTTGAGGACAATGTAGGTCAGGAAGAAGAAGGGGTACATCACGGCGCAGGCCATGAGCAGCCGCCGGTTGCCGAGCCGCCGGTGCAACGGCGGGAAGACAAACACCAGCCACACGGCCTGGCTGAGGCCCTGCAGCGCCATGTACACGGAGATTTGAAACGCCGACAGCCCGAGGCCGCCAATCTCGACGGGCGTGTACAGCACCACCGGCAGCAGCGCCGTAAACGCAAACGCCATGACCATGACGGACGCGTTGACGAGGAGCACCGTGGGGATGCCCCGCGTGTGCAGCAGCTGCCAGACGGACAGCTGCTCGGCCTTGCCGCCGCCCGGCAGCTGGTGCCGCCCGGTCCCGCCACGCGCGTCCCTGTCGAGCGTCTCGTCCAGGAAGAGGATGGACGTGACGACGCCGGTCGCGGCAATGAGGGAAATGGCAAACCCCGGCACGGCGTACGGGTACTTTTGCAGAAACGGCCAGTCGCCAAACACGCCCGGGTACTGGGCGGCCGGGTCAGCGAGGACGCCGCCGATGAGCGGCCCAAGAAAGATGCCGATGTTGCCGGCAAAGGCGAACCAGCTAAAGGCGCGGGCCTGGGTGGCGGGCGTGCAGTGGTCCGAGACCATGGTGCGGATGATGAGCGTCGACCCGGAGAAGACGCCGGCGAGGCTGCGGAAGAGCATCATCTGCGGCAGCGACGTGGCAAGGCCAAAGAGCGCCGGGCCGACCGTCAGCCCGGCCAGGCTCCACACGAGCACCGGCTTGCGCCCGAGCCGGTCCGCGAGACGGCCCCAGACGATGAGCACCGACATTTGCGTCACCGAGAAGAGCGACTCAATCAGCCCGCTGTAGAAGCCCACGTCCGACTTGGCCAGGTGCCCGTTGCGCCGCACCATGGCCGCAATGTACGGCACAATGGCGAAGAAGGCAATCGGCTCCATGACGCGCGCGTAGCAGAGGAGGAAGATTTGCAGCCCCGGCAGCGGCTTGCTGGCGGCGGCGGCGGCCGTCGGTGCGGTGCCGGGTATCTCCTCGGCCCCGGAGGCGAGGTCGGGCGTCGGCCCGCCGGGAAGGAGAGGCGTCGACTCCTCGGCGTCGCGCGCGGCGTGGCCGTCGCCGCCGGTCCGTCGTGACAGACTCATGACTTGGGCTGTTTTTGTTTTCGCGCCGAGAGATGTGTGGTTTTTCCCCCCCCGAGACTTCGGTTCTAGTTAGTTGGACCCTTTTTTGTCTCAGTCCGCGACTTCTCAGTGCAGTATCAAACAAGCGTCAATGGGAGAAGACCGATTCGCAGGGCGGACGAGCACAGCAAGAGAACGGGAACTTGAAGGTTTGTTGGATTGCAGAAGCCGCCGTTTCTTTTCCCGCTCAATCTCGGGTCCCGGTCCTTCAAGTAACAAGGAGAGGATGGGCGCTGCATGTCAGCAAACAAACGAAGAAGAAGAAAACCAGGAAAATAACGCCCATTCCGCTCGTCGGAGAATGAGTTTGAGTGGCGCCGGCGCTAGACCGGGATGTAGTCCACTAAATTGAGCACCCATGTAGCGGATTGCGATGACGCAGATTGGAGCGTTCGTTTATATTCTTGGGACCAGAGCGTTGGCCCTCGTCTGGGAAAAGATTTGTTTGCAACTATTCCACGGCAAGGCAGCCCTTGATTGCCAGCGCATCCCTGCCAGCGCATCCCTGCCAACAGCTGCAAGCGGGCTCTGGGCCAAGCTCACTCCTCCCCGTCACAAACAGCGGTCATGATTCGTTCCTATGTACATACATACAATACACTCGCTATGACTTTTGTCCAGATTTACATGACTGGCCAGTTCCTATCCATGCGCTGGCGCCAGCCCCCCTCTGGCAGCCCCCTGGCGAACCGCTCCCGCCAGCTCAGCAGGTTGCAGCCGCACAGGGCCACGCCGTTGTACTGGAGACGGCCACCGGTCGCCTTCCACGAGGTAAACGCCGGTCCGTCGTCGGGGAGGCCCGGCACGCCGCCGAGCTCAAGCGTAGGCACGCCGGCGGCGACGCAGACGCAACCCTGGGCGACGCCCTCGGCCCACGCGCGGGCGACGACAGCAGCCGCGAGCAGACTGATGTGCACAATGGGATCCAGGCAGCGGGCGTCGTCAGCCGCGCCGCCCGCGTGGGCGACGTGCTCCTCGTAGAGGCGGAGGATGGTGAGGGCGCCAATCGCGGCGGCGCGGCCGTCGATACTGACGACCCACTCGGCGATGCGGGCTTGTTTCTGCAGCACCATTTCCGTGTAGAGCTCATTGCCCTCGTACAGGCCCGAGGTGATGTCGACGAGCTGCTGCACGTCGACGCACATGTGCAGCTCGAGCAGGCTGTGCAGCACCCCTGCGGCAAAGGTCCCCTGAGCGAAGCGCCGCAGCGCCTCGGTCAGCAGCACAGGGCTCGTCTCCTCCTCCTCGCGCCCGTAGTAGGCCGTCAGCAGAACCTCCAGCTCCGCTGGGTGGTTCTTGGGGAAGTGCTGCACGCTATACATGCGGTTCAGCTGGTGCTTGCAGAGCTCGAGCTGCATCATGATGTGCAGACGCTGCCCAGACAGGTCGGTCGCGGCCGCCCCGGCGCCGACAAACTGCCGCCGGTAAGTCCACACGTGATTGGCGGTGCCTAGGAGAATGAGCTCCACATCCTCGGCGAGGAGGGGAAAGGGAAGGTTGGCATCGGTCTGGTTCATGAGCTGCGACATGCGGTAGTCCTGCCGTTGGGTCAGCTCCCGCGGGGCGCGGCGGTACAGCACATGAAGCCCGTGCGCATTCCACATTGCGTACGAAGAGGCAAGCTGCATGTTGATCTCGTCGTTGTGAATAAAGGCAGACTGGTTGTACAGCAGTGCAATGTCGCGGTCCAACTTGAGGGCACTCATAGCCAACCTGTTGCCGTCAGCATAATGTACTGGGAGCACACTTTCTCAAAATGGTACGAACCTCTTCCATGACTCATGTTTTCCATAGATCCATGGCATAAAGCTGCTGGGGTAGTGCCTTCGTTGGTGGTGTATGGCACTTTCGCTATTGAGCATGTTTGTTTGTCGCAAAATCGTGGCGACGGCAACATGCAGCATCCTGCCTCTTGGTATAAAGGACCATTTCTTGAAAACGTTAGTAAAGAACATGGCAATGAATTCTCTCATGTAGTACTCACGCCTATCTCGAATGCAAATATGGCATTGAGAAGACTAGCCTGGTATAATTCAATCGGCCAAGGCTGGCCCGAGTCGAAAGTGAACCGAGTCTGTCGGCCGGCGATTAGTTGACGCTGCGGCCATGGGCTACCAGTAAGCTACTTACCAATTGGGCAAATAAATATTGCATCAATATTTGATGAATTGCAAGAATCATTTGCATAGCGGCCGGGTCTGTGATGTTGCGCCAAGCTCCGATGATGGCAATGGAGGCCGCCAGCGGCACAAAGTCCAAAGGGTCATCGCACTCGGGCGCGTGCAGAATTGGCCATGTCTCATGAAACTGGGCAAAGTACGACTTGAATGAGTCATGCAACCAGTCCTTCATCTTCGGGGACGGGTTCGATAGCGCGTCAGTCTCGCCGCCATCGCGGAGCACGCCCATGGCGTGGGCGATGACGCGGGTGCCGGCCTTGGTGCGCTCATTCCACGAGACTTCCAACGGCGACGCATGGTGCGACGTCGTCAGGATCGGCGGCGATGTGGTGTCGCTCGCCGAGCTGCTGCTGGCGCGGCTGGCTGCCCTCACTCTTCCGCCGGCGGCTGGCTTGGTTGTACCGTGGTGGTTCATGGCCGTCTGGTTCTGGTTGGCGGAATAGTTGCCGCCGCTAAGATCAAAGATGACGTCGGGATTGGCCTCAATGACGCGGCGGGCGAGATTGGCGCGCTGGTAGGTGCACTCGATGTCGCGTTTGCGGCAGAGGGAGCATCGGCTGCCACCATCGCACTTGATCTTGCTGGCGTGGCAGGCATCGCAGGCGGGCTCCTTGCGGGAGTCGGGCACCACTGCGCCATGAATCTTGGAATGGCGTCGGAGCAGATCGCTAGGTAAAATGATTAGAAGTGAATTTTTGAAGCATAATGCAATATGCGTGCTGCGTGCTGGACGCGACCGCCGACGGCACAGTGGGCGAGCAACTTGCAACTTACAGGCGAGTAAAGGACCTATCGCAGGCCGGACAGGTAAAGGACGGACGACCATGGGTGGCTTTGTGGCGCTGCAAGTGTTCCTTGCGAATATACTCGCGACCGCACTCGCAAACAAACTGCTTCTTGATAGGGCTTTCAGCCATGGCTGGCAGTTGGGCCGTGCCGTTGGGGGCTGTTGCGCACGGTACCCGTGTCCGACACACTACCTAGGTACCAGGTATGTAGGTAATCACCAATGCCACGCGCTGCTGATGCTGACGAGGCTGGCTTACTGCAGACCCGACCCAGCTTTGTGGGATGGAGTGTGGGATGGCAGTGTGGGATAGGTAGGAACGAGATAATGGATGGCCGATGGCGTCGTGTGGGATTCGGATATCGCCAAAGAAGCCACAACGCATCGGGAGTTCCTGACGGTGAATCTGGCGGTGAATGAAAAAGACGAAAAATGTTTTTGGGAGTTTCCATCATGACACGACGTATTCGAGAGAAATGGTTTTGGGCATTGACACGGCCTCATTGTGTTTCTAAGCCGTCCTGGCTGGTGCGCTGGAGAAGCGAGGCACGTTGGTGAGAGGGAGTGGGATAGCCGACTTTTTATCGGTCATCCCACCTGAGTTGCCGTTTTGAATTAGAGCTCGCGCTACGCCGCTTGTGGCTTAGCCTGATGGTCCCTTGCACCAGATTTTTCTCACGGCCGGAAGTTCCGTAATCATGGAACTTTGCAGAAAAAGACCGTCGTCGTGGAATCATGGTTAGTAATTTGCTCGAGTCTATCTGTGGCTGATGTAATTCGTACAGCTGCTTGCTTGTCCTGAACCTGCGTCTTGACAAGCAACGACACCGCCACTCGACTGGGTATACCGCGAGCTGGCTGCTACGACCAACCAGAGACTGCGCCAAACGCTTTTCATCAGGCCATTTTCATGTCTGTAATATATACTGGTACATGGCCGAGTACTCTATTTAGGCTATTGAAAAGTGTGGGAGCTTGGCAACTCGACTTGACCGCAACAAATGCCCCCCACGTTACAAGCCCCGATGCCCATGGTGTCATCCATGGCACCACCAACACTCTCCAAAAGGCCGGTTAGCCAAGCCTAAAAATAATACTTCCGGAGAAAGTGGCCAGCAGAAACACATCGTCAAGGTGACAAGCTAGCCCCGATTCCAAAGAACCGGGCGATCGATAATCAGTCGGCATCCCACCCCCGGAACGAGCGCGCCTGACGGGCTGCAATCGGCGGAACTTGCAGGCGGACAAGCGGGTCACACGGCGGAGGCCGCGAGCGGACAACAGATCCCTTGGTTGTTAAGCAATCCTTTTCCCGAATGTTGCAAGAGATGTCGCAATATTTGTCTATCGCGGCTCTCACGCCACCGTATCAATTCTCTATATAAAGTCGCGTTGCAGTCTTCAAGTTTCGTCCATCATCATCCCTCACCCACTCACCCACCTCCCGCACACCAACAGCCAAACTACAGCTTTTCTTTCATAATTTTGAAAACACGTACACATAACAATACCCAACATCACCATGCCTTCCACTGTCCAAAACGTCACTCTCGTCGGCGCCACCGGCAACGTCGGCGCCATTGCTCTCGAAAAGCTCGCCGCCACCAAGCACAACCTCCAAGTTCTGCGTCGCGAGGGCTCCAAGTCGACCTTCCCGGCCTCCATCAAGGTCATTGACGTCGACTTTACCTCGGAGCCGGCCCTCACACGCGCCCTGCAGGGCCAGGACGTCGTCATCTCCACAATCCCCGCCGAGGTCGCCGGGCTGCAGACGACGCTCATCGACGCCGCCATCGCCGCCGGCGTGGGCCGCTTCCTGCCCTCCGAGTTTGGCTGCAACATTGAGAACCCCAAGGCGCGCCAGGTACCCGTCTTTGCCGAAAAGGTCCGCATCGAGGACTACCTCAAGCAAAAGGCCGCCGCCGGCCTCATCTCGTACACCTTCGTCTTCAACGGCCCCTTCCTCGAATGGGGCATCGAGAACAACTTTGTCATCAACGTCGCCGGCTTCAAGCCGCGCCTGCTCGACGACGGCAAGGCCATCTTTAGCTCCGCCAACCTTGAGACGGTCGGTCGCGCCCTGGCTGCTATCCCCGACCATCTGGAGGCGACCAAGAACCGCGCCGTCTTCATCGAGGACATCAAGATCTCGCAGGAGCGCCTGCTCGCCCTCGCCAAGCAGGCCGCCCCGGAGAAGCCGTGGGAGGTCACCTACGCCAAGACCGAGGATCTCGTCAAGGTGGCTGGCGAGGGACTGGCCAAGGGCATCTTCACGTTTGACAACATTGCCCCCTTCCTTCACCAGGCCGTCGTCACACCGGGCTACGGTGGCAACTTTGACAAGTCGGACAATGAGCTTCTGGGTCTGGGCCACAGCTCCGAGGAGTTTGTTCTACAGCAGTACAAGAAGCTTCTTCAGTAGTTGGGGCAAGGAAAGCTACAGATATAGCTATAGAATATACAATAATTCACCTTTACATCTATGTTGCTCTATATGGGCTTTGGCGGCCGCTACCGTAGGCCAACCTGGTTGTGGCTTGCGTAGATATTAATCACTGCACTAAAGAATAAATACTACGAATTGATCAGAGCTAAAAGTATGCAGGTATCCTATTTTTCCCCATGATTTTGTACTGGTGACCAGCTTGGCTGGCTGAGTTGATGGGCGCGTAATCGACCAATAGCGGCACTGCGTTGGAAGATTCTGCTTTCGATTGTGCTACCAACACCGTTCTCGTCATTACAGTCACAGGCATCAACTTGGAATATTCAACCTGTTCCTATACCTTGTATCACCCCCGACAATTTATCAGGACGGCAGCGGCCATCTCACAGCCCCTTCAACAAGCCATTGTGCAGAGCTTTTGATGCCCGACTTTGGACGCCCGACTTTGGACGCCCAACCAGCCATTTCTCAACTGCGCAACCGACCAACCTCATCAACCATGTGCTGCATGAACAGGGTGCAGTATAGCTGTGGCTGCGTAAAGGACAGCAAGTTTGAGCAATGCGAGCAGCGCAAAGACACGCCGGTGAAATGCGACAAAATTACCCGGAGCGTTCCCGAAAACCTGCTCAGTTACTGCATGTCCCATTGCATGCCGGACAAAGGCCGCGGCCTTACAAAGGCCAACTTTCAAACGCACAAGAATGGCGAGAGTGGACAAGTCGAATTCTCCATTCTCAAGGATTTATCCCAAGGGTAGACATGGGCGAAATACGACAGCGCCTGGTAGGCAGTCGATGTAGGGTAGGGCGTTGCGGTGTAGGGAGGCGCAGAATAAGCCAGTGAGATGTGAGATTAGTTAGAGCGGGAGAGGGAATAGGGCATGGGTAATGTGAAAGGGTCTTTTGGAAGGCTGCGACATGGGGGGTTTTTCGCATGTCAAATTCGGAGATGCTCAATTTTGCGCTGCGCTTCAAAGAGAACAAGTCCAGCTGGGCTGAAATTGTTTGCTCTGATCTGGTAGACATCTGTGGCGTTTTCTGTACATGTGTTGGCGGCAAAATCGGCTGTCTGGGAATATGAATACTTGCGCCAATATTTTTTCATGAGTAGTTGGTGGTAACACCATGGATTACGACGCTGATAAAGCAAGGGAACGCAGAGCCTGGACTTCATGTGTTGCAAGGATTTACCATGTACGAGAAAAGCATCGAAAGAAACTCAGGGAAGAGAAGCCATAGTTATCTTATGTAATAAGATCTGGTAAGAACCGTTGCTTAGTTCACCGGTTTATGATTTAACGTTGTGAAGTGGATTGCACCTTTGTGACTTGGAAGAGGTAGAGATCAGGGATACACCAACACTGACAGCAATAATTAAGGAACTCGGCCCCGAAGTATTTGAAAAGCACGCCGTGAAACACGACCAGTTCTGAGACCATGCGGGTAACTAGCTCCATGCTGCGAAAGGCTGGCATATGAGAATAATAAGGTGATGAATAAGCTCTCGTGGCAAGAGGGGTGGCGGGTTTCACCCATGAACTGGGATCATCATGCTTGCCGAAACAGCATGCACAGCAGCTGGGGTAGAGTGTAGGGGACTGAACGTTAATTCGTAGTCTGGAACACATTACGAGACATGAGCCAACGCATAGACTCGGCTAAGGATCTTTTCAGGTCAATTAGTCAACCAGCGACTGTGCGTCTGCAGGATGAATTATATTATGTCAGAAAACGCTACCAGTAGACAGTAGGACCAACGGCACAGTGGTGACTTGGCGCAAGCAGCGAGCTGCTGAGTTGGCCAGGCCCTGTACATCTGGTACCAGCTGGAGGCACTATATAGGTCATAAAAGAGGTGGTGGGGACGAGAGGACGCCACCCAGACCACGTCATGGCACGATAGGAGGGCTGTAGTGGTGGTTAGTTGACAACGGAACATGACGATGAGAATGACTCGGAGTGATGAAAGATGAGAGCTGTCAAGGAACATTGGGCGGCGATGGACAACAATGAATAGTAATAAATATGTACTGTTGACGAGCTAGGAGTAGCGGAGTCTTGAATCGAAGTATCACCAGGCAGGGAGGGAGTCGCCCATCCTGGTACATAGGTGTTAGCTTATTTTCTGGGCCATGGTGGGTGCAGGGCAGGGCAGCAGGCATGCAGCATGGTGTCATGCATCGTGTACGGAGTACAGGCTGGGGACTTTGGGGTAGCTGGGTAACTCAGCAGTATTAGCAGGTCGGGATGGTCGGGATTAGCGTTTTGCACATGGCAGGAACCATGAGCGTCGCCGAGCGTTTGGTTGTTTGCGTGTCTCAGTTGTTGGAAGAGAGGCGCTGAAGTTTCGCGACGTCATGTCGGTGTAGAGGTGAGAGACTGGATGACTGGTAACGGAGAGCGGCCGAAACGAGATTAGAGGAAGCTCTGTGCTGAGATTGATGGGGCGAATCCTTACCTTTTGCGTATTGATGGCAAGTGCGGCGAATGGCTCGATGCTTGATTGATGAGAGGGCGATGAGGCGATGGAGAAAGTGGGCGGGCAGTGGGAGAACTGGAGAGGGCTAGAGTAATAGGGAGTGGAGTTGGGACCTAGACGAGCAGAGTTTGGCTATCAATTGTGTTGATACGTGCAGTAATTTGTAGAGAGCGAGACTTTCTTTTTTTGCTGATAGCGGTGGCAGGAAAGGTCAGGATTTCTGGCCATCCTTTTGGCTACAAGCGCAATTTGGAGACGCTTGGATAGTAATAATGACACGAGAATGAGGCTGATCGAGATGCCAACCCCTCTTGCTCTTGTGTTTTCGCATTGCCTGGAGCAGAACCAGTCTGTGCTCAGACTCCAGCAGCTCCAAGACCTCCAAGACAAGAGAGGGTCCGGCGACCAGCTGTCGAGGATCTTGGTGAGACGCTAGCCCGGTTGGTATGTTGAGGCTGGCTGGGATCCACTGGGCAACATCGGCCTCGGGTGGCTGGATGGACAGGGAAAGACGAGAAGAGGTTCCCTGTTGGTGCTGTAGTTGAGCCTGTAAGCCCGTCAGCAGCACTGCATGAAGGACGATGCGGACGATGCGGGTGCCAGCTGCCTGGGCGCTCGTGACATGAGGTGCAGAGAAGAGGGTTGCTGACTTGGCTGCTTGGAGCTCTGCGCAACGCTGTACCAATGTCTGTGTATTATTACCTGCCTCTACTTGACAGCTGCAGGGCCCGCCCATCTCATCTCCTGCAGCTCGGTTTGGGGTATTAGACTGCGGAAGTACAAATTACGGAGAACGGAGTAACGTCGATAGATGAACACATCTTTTCCAATGCATACTAAAAGTTACCTTCAGTACACAATGCAGTGCCTACCTTACCTACCTAGGTAGGTAGGAGGTAGAGCTGCGTGATGCGTGATGCATGTATTATTATGGGCTAATTCTCAGGAACTTCCCCTCAGCACTAATCACTTCTAGGTACTTAGTAGTGGCCCTTTGCAGCGCAACTCGCTCGCCTACAGCAAGCCTCCAACACCCTGAACCCCTTGCAAGCCCGCTGTAAGCTCTTCTGTGGGCGTTTTTCTGTAGCGTGGACGTTTTGTACCGAATATTAGATTAGAGGTACCTAGGTACCTAGGTACCTAGGTAGGGAGGTACCTAGGCACACAGGTACCTGCGCCGCAAGCCACTGCCCCAAGACTGTAATGATATTTTTGTCTGCGGCCTCTCGCTCCTTGCTATCACGCCTCATCCTCTAGTTCTCCCGTTTGAAGCTTTCCATCGACACCAGTAGGCACCTACTCTCCCTCAGATTTCAATTGGCATGACTTGCCAACGTAGTCCATTGACACGCCGCAGGTAACGCCGTCTCTTCCCGGCGATGACCTTGAATTGATCATTTAGACAACTTGGCTACCCACCTCGTTTGCTCCAAGCTCTCTACAGCTGCCTTCCGCCTTGGACTTGCTCTCCTCATTTGCGATCAACCTCGAAATACACGTGCTAGACGGCGTGGCCGGGCGACTTCTCCGACGACAAACTCTCGGTCGTCCGCCAAGTGCCGCAAAAGAAACGAAAGAGACGGGCCCCGATAGCTAGCCCTCCTGCCTCTTTCTCTCGTCAGACCAGTTCAGCTCTCCACGCCCGCTCACACAGGCGCAAAGTACCACATTGCCACACAATCATAACTAACTAGCAAGACCCGGATACGGCGATTCATCCGCAACAACATCCACCATAATCCACCAACAAACTACGACCTGCCCATCCAATCTACCTAGCAACCCAGGTATTCATCACTCGGCCTCATCCTCGTCCTCGTTCTCGACGTTTCCCCCAGCCCGACACCAACGGCCGGTAACCACCCAGTTCGCCAACCTAGTGGGATCGCCCGGCACTCGGATGTTTCTGACTTCCGCCCACCCACCTCTCTGAGCCTTCTGTGCCCGTCGCTCTCAAGAGGCTGACTCGCCGCCGCAATTGCGCTGGAAGCTCCTCTTCCGCCGCCGCTCATACTTCCTTCGCGCCGGCCTGCCTTTGCTTTTCCCATCTCTTCCCGTCGGCATCCTGTCGGCTCGATCATGCCTCTTGTCCTCGTCCGCGCCCTCGATCATGAACCTCTAACGATCTAGCGCATCGCATTCTCCAGCCTCATCTCATTTTCCGCGCACCCCGTCGCTCGCTTGCCTGCTGCGCCCACCATCATGCCTGCGACCGCCGTTGAACCTCTAGAACAGGCTGCGACTGCCGCAGCCTCCAACGACGGCCCCAAGTCTGATATCGGTCAGTGCCCCAGAAATCTCTCAACGAGATCCGCTCCTATTTATTCACCGTCGTTTCTTATTCTTTGCAAGTTTCATTCTCTTTTTTACTGACATGGTCCCTACTTTTTGCTCTGTAGCCTGCCTTATTTGCCGTTCCCGCAAGGTATGTCGTCACCTGCCCGACCGTCCGGTCTCTGTCCTCCCCGCAGCCTCGCTATCCAGCTGAGCCCAGCCGATGCTTTACGTCGCTGTCCACCAAGACACACCGACCAGAAACCCGAACAAAACAAAAAACAAGGTAAACATAACCTTTGCTAAGATTTCTTTACCAGGTTCGATGTGATAGATCCCTCCCCGACTGCCGCAACTGCGTCCGCCTTGGCGTCCCGTGCCCTAGATACGACCGCGAAAATGAATTCATCTCTCGCAAAGAGTTGCAGAAATCTGCCGACGACATATTTCGTGCTGCCGGCGTCGAAAAGCGCAAGGTAGGCTCCTGCGAGGAATGCCGCGCCTCAAAGCATCGCTGTACAAAAACTCGCCCCGCCTGTCGTCGTTGTATTCTGCGCAACCTCAGCTGTACATACCCCGGCAAACACGAACGTGAGCCCTCCATCAGCGGCAGTCTATCTCCTGGCAGACAGGCCCATGTTACTTCACCGACAAAACAAGAGCCTCGCGATACATATACTCCCGTGGACATGCATCCTATGCGACCCGAGCCCGACCAACGCCAGTTTCAGCCGCTCAACCGCCAGAATGCCCCCGCCGAAGAGCCATTGCAAATGAGCTATCAGCAGACGCAATACCAACTACCACAGCTTCGTCATCACCAGGAGCCTCCAAATACGCAGGGCCACATGTACAGCCACAATGCCATGCAGAATGGGCTGAACAGTTACACTCACCAACCCTTGGCCCACGACGGCTATCATCAGGCGCCGGTCTCGAATGTTCCTCAATATCAGCAGCCGCTACAGCAAACCCAGCAGCACATTCAGCCGCTGCTGAATATCAAAACAAAGGGCCCTCTACCTGACATCCTGGCGCAGGAACCAGAAGGCGTTTACTCGGAACGGTTACCCGAAAACCGCAGCTTCCGCGAAAGACTTATCAAAACATACTTTAACCGGTCCGCTCCTTTACGCAATCTATCCTTTATCCACAGACCATCTTTCATGAAATCGCTGGACCAAGACAGTGTCGTGCAAGACTACGGAGAGCCTTTGCTATACGTCATGTGTGCTCTTGGAGCGCGGTGCGTTTTCTCCCCACTTCTCACCGTTATTGTGACAAAGCTCATCCTATTTAGGCATTTGTATTTCGACCATGTCGCTGAATGTGGTGAGCCCATGGTGGTTGACGCAAATCAAGTACCTGGCGAGAAGTGGGCTGTCAAAGCCAGACAGGATGCAATGAGAGATTTACATGCGCCAGACGTACACAACCTCATGGTATGAAGACACAAAGCCCATTTCCACCTGTAATTCTAACGTGTATTGAAAATAGACAATGGTGTTGCTATGTGACTACAGCCTCCGTGAGGACAAAAACGCCATGGTTTTCGTCCTCATCTCTGTCCTATACCGCATGGTTCGACTGTTGAGCTTAGACTCGTATCGACCTCTAGACGCCAATGCTACCCCAACAGATATCATGGAAAGAGAGAGCGAGATTCGGCTTGTTTGGGCATGCTATTATCTTGACGTTCTTGTTGGGAACGGCGTAGAAAAGAATCTCTGCTGGAGAGACGACGTACCCTCAATTCCCCTACCCTGCCCTGAGCAAAACTTTACATCACAGACGGCGTCGCATCCATACTTCCTCGAAGAAATTGAGCAGAATGATGTGACAGAGGTGATACCCCACCTGGATTTCCAAGCACTCTCCATATTGATACTACGGCTTCGATCCAAAGTCATGCAGTAAGTATACTAACAGTCGCTCATCACTGAGGCACCACTAACGAAAGCAGCCTCATTCGCACACCCGAGAAAGACGAAAAGTCCTGGGACAATGATTCAAAGTTCCTACAAATTATCCGCCGACTCGAGACTATTCTTGCCAAACTCCCGGAAAAATATCAAATGACGGACATGAACATGTATATTCTCAGGGAGGATAACATCCTCGGAGCTGTATTTGTGCTACATCTGCTTATGCACGCAGTCATTTTTGACCTGACCCGGACATCCCTGGCCGGCTTCAACTTTCCACTATCAAATGATTTCAAGGTTGCACCAGAAGCATTCAAGACCAAGTGTCAGGATCTCTGCCGGCAACACGCCATTGAAGTTTCGCAGCTCTTTCGAAGGGCCCTCTACATGGGACGAAGCGCTTTCGATGACTTGTTCTGCGTCGATGCCGCTTTTGAGTCCTCCAAAGTGCAGCTTGTCTATGCCGCAACTGTTAACCATAGCCCGTTCATCGTCCAGCAGACAAAGTCCAACCTCGGCACTAATATCGAATGCCTCCAGACGTTTAGTCGCGATACTGCCACTAGGAACTCTGTCCTCCGCGCCTTACTTCCGATCTGTACGCTCTTTGGATTTCGAGAAATTGCAGAAAAGTTTGCGCCAAGCGGAGAAACGACAGACGAGACAGAGGTTACCGGTTCTGCCGATATGCATCATTTGTCTCGTCTTGCCCCATTCCGACGAGGACGGTCCGAATTGCAACGAGCTTCGCATGCGTCACATAGCCCGAGAACCCCATCGTCTTCGAATGCATACCCGTCGCCGATGACACAGTCGAGTCGAAACGTACCACCGAGGAGTGCAAATAGCCAAAATGCTGCGCCGTTTGGTGGAATGATGCAGATGACGATGGATGGAGGCATGGGGCCTCTGACGCCAGGGACTTCGCAGCGGCCGCCCCTACAGATTATGCCATCGGCCGGCGTAATGGCGCAAAACGGGGCCATGCTCCAGCCCTCGATCGACGACTACATCAAAACGGCCGACGAAATGTCGAATTTGCTTACTTGGAACATGCCGGACCTGTCTCCATGGTTCACGTTTGATAATATGCTGCTCCCGAGTTAATGTATAACGGCCTGGTGCAACAGGAGCGGTGACGTGTGGCAAGGGACTGGGGTCCAGCATGCAGTCAGTTGGTGGCGTTTGTGAATAAGCGAACTTTGGACAGGCATCCAATCCTGTTAAGCTGTGCACCTCGCGGGAAGCTGTTGGGGCTTTGGACCCGAAGACATGTAAGCAGCGCCAAGAGGCTAAGCACGGATTGATCAAACCGTGCGTAGGCTATCGCCCGGACGGGACGGAGATTTACCAGGCTGACAGATGTCACTCGACTGCTTTCATTTATGGATTTATGTGTTGTGTGCTTAGGGGGTGAAGAGTGAAGAGTGACTCGACTTGATGAGCTGAATACAGGGATCAGCCGAAGGCGTTGGTCGAGATTGGGCAAGATTTTTTTTTTTTCCACCACAGCTTTTGTTTTTGTATGCCATTTTGCATGGGGAGGCGTTGTATTGAGCCGATTAGGACTTGGGGAGATTTCACGGTTTCATTTTTGGGAGATGTATATTCTTGAATACACAAGTCTGGGCGGCTTGGATGGCCATGCTCTGCCGTGCACATTTGATTGGTCTCGACGGATATATTACGCGCACACACCCACCACCTCTGGTTGCCACGATGAAGCCTGTGCAGGATTGACGGGAGACGAGACAAGGCCTAGCGGCAAGGGCCATCACACATGAAAGAAACGGGGGAGGGCGGTTTCCAACGGCCGCACTTGCCTTGGACGGCGAACAAGGCACTGGCCGTGTGTGATGTATTCCTTTCCACGCATTTCAATTATGCATTACTTGTGATCTAATTTGCATCTGATTTCTTGGGTAGCTTCGGTGGCAACAAGTGGAAGAGACGGGAGGGAGGAGACCCGACAACGTCACACCTTGCTTATAGAGGGGAGACGAGGGGACTTGGCGGTACTATTCGTGTTCAGTCACGGGGCGTAGAGATGGCCAAGATGGCGTTTTCGGAAAAGGAATAATAAAGGGTTTCATACATAGGATGAGATGATCTAGATTTATTCTGTGGTTTTTGGTTAGTCGTGAATGAGATGTACATGTCAATAATTAAGTGCTGATTTTACTGGAGCTTGTCGCGCATTAGACGATGCGACGGAGACATTTTCTTTCTCGACGGACTTGGACGGGACAGGTTAATCGGTCCCTGAGGCTGACTTTTAGGCTGCTGACGGGGAGGCGGCTTCCCGTGAGTTCCGGGTGCCCAGGTGATGGGTTGCATCGTGGATTTCTTTGGAGAGGGTGCGTGTGCTGAAGATGTCTGGAGCCGGGATGCTGGGTCGAAACGAGGCTGAGAAAGATGGGAGATTGCAAGTCATTGTCTCGGGAGAGATTCTTCAACCTCTGCGTCATGAGCGATGGCTGTTCCTTTTCTGTCTTGACCAGAGGGCAGACAGTGAAGAAGAGTGAGCTGAAGTGAACTTTGTGGCAGAAGAATCGCGGCAGGCAGCTGTAATGACTACCTACTTACCTACACACCTAGGCACTGGGCAGGCAAGGCAACAGTCATACTGTAGGCAGCAAGTCGCGCGTGGCGGTGGTCATGACGCCGCGCCCTCAGCCCTCACCAGGTTTCAGCTCAAAGGTTGCCTATCTTGCACACAGGCAGGACTGGACTTTATCTCCAAGAGGACAGGTGAGGCTGAGTTGTTGTGTCTACTAATGTAGGGTAGGCTAACTCTCGGAGGGCGACGTCGACAGCACGACAGGATAGGGATTGGCGGGCCGCAGGAGCGAATGCGAGAAATCATGCGCCATGAGTAATTCTGAGCAAGGAAAAGTGAATTAGAGTTTTTTTTTTTTTTTGGTTTTTTTTCTCTCTCGGAATGCCTCTCGAGGGACTACTACACATATGTGCAGCCATGATGGCGGCACGAATTCCGGAGCGGAGAGGACCTCAGTGTCAGGCCTTGCTCGGTCCCCGCAAAGGTAACTATTGATTGATTGATTAATTGGGAGGGAGGGGTTCGGTGCGTCGCTGATTTCCATTTCATGGTTCTTATCCGAAAAGGAGTCTTGGCGCTTGAAGGGGGGGTCAGACCAAGTGTGTCTACTAGATCTTGGCAGGCTGGTTGGTCATGTCCTGCCGGCATTTGTCGCAAGCCATGGGAAAGAGAAGGAATTACGGCGAAGAAGAAGCCGGCAGGGGGGCCTCGTGAATATTTGCTTTTTTTCTCTTTTATTTCTGCTGAAGTGGCTTGTTTCTGTCGGAGCTGGGGGCTATCGGATGGAGCTGACGATTTCATGGTTCGCTGTTATGTATCCACTGAGCACAGTCAGGCCAGCGGGGAGGAGAAACAGGTGGGAATTGAGTGGAAGTAATTTGTACTCTGTACATAGGTAGTTAGTTACTGGTGTGCAGGAAGAAGAAGAAATCCAAGGAGGAGGAGGAGGAACAAGCAGGAAAAGGGGGGACACGATTGGCGGCGATGGCCTGCTCGAATGTTCTTTTCCTTCTGCCACATCAAACAATAACAAAAAATAAAAAAAAATAAAAAAATAAAAACAAAGGGCCGATGAGATCTGTATCCTAGGTTTCAACGGCCTGCGCCAAAAAGCGATGAGGACGGGATGACTTTTGGGTGTGTGTGTTGTCGGTGGTCTGTGGTCTGGCTGGCGGCGCCACTTTATTAACGGTTTTGTGACGATATCCACTGATGCAGCGGGGGAAGTTGTCTTTTTGAGAGTTCTCCCTAGTTATTATTGTCTTTTTAATTACTTGATAAAAGGAGAGGGAAATAAAGAATTATTTCCTGGTACTGGTAGGGAATACCTTTTTTTTATGCCCCACAGTCGTATCATGGTATCCGTCCGAAAATGATGGAATGCACACGTTGAATAAATCATGTATAAATTATACATTATCCGCCAAGCTTGGGATCGGTTATCTGTGCAAATGTCCCCCCTAGAAACTAGTGCATCAGTCTCGGCAGATGACTTTTATTTAAACTTATCGGCATCAGGCTTGTTGCGCCCACTGCCCACTGTAAATAGAACCAGGGCAGCGGGCTGTAGTGTGGGGAATTGCAGTCATCCCTTTTTATTTTTACGTGTTTATTATTATCAAGTACAGAGACCCCAGTCGCTTTCGGTCGATTTCCTGCAGAGGGGACCATCCCTCCTCATAGAGTGTGTGTGGATGGGGTGATTTCTGTGTGGTGTCAACGTGCGCGCGCCTCAGCTGATGAACAAGGGACAAGTCTCTGTGGCGCAAAAGTCAAAAGTCAAAAGTCTAAAAAAAAGGGAAAAAAAAAAGGTCAACGGATTCGACGGCGGGATACACTGCTTTGTAAGAGGTTGAACACATACAGAGACTTGAAACGGCAACGCATACCATTGGTTCGGCACCTGGTTGCTGCCAAGAAACACGTGTTGCCGGCAAAGGGGAAAGGGGCCGACGATTAGCCAGATGATGTGCGAGGATGCACAAGATTGTCGTCGGCCCAGTCGGCGTCACTAGTTTCTTGTTCTTTTCCTTTTTCTTTTTTTTTGTTAAATATGTTTCTTATTACAAAAGCATGCACGACTAACCAGGAATAGAAGTCGCTGATGATGGATGCCTGCCTGCCTGCTGCCTGCCTGCAGCTACTTCTGCACCACCACCACCCAGCAACACCCATTCAACGGTTTCGAGGTCATCAAGACATCAAGACAATAAACCAACCCTTTGTGGTTGACGGCGCTGATAGATCTACAGATTCGCTAACTAGCGACTCACTACGGAAGACTTGGAGCTCAGCGACTGTGTGACCCTCCTCCTCCCCCTCCCCCTCCCAACCCCCTACACCCACACCGAGTCCACACTGGGAAACCTTGAACACACCTCTGCAAGTCGTCTTGCCAAGACTTTAGCAGTATTCAGCCAAGGCCCTTGGGCCCTTGAGAACAGCTGCTGCCTGGGGGGGGGGCGAGAAACCTGGCGGCAGGGGAGGTGAGCAGCCAATCTCAGAGACTGCCCTACACTAGTTAGCTTTCAAGGCTTTCTTCGTTTCGTTGTGTCTCTCGAGAACGAACTCGTCCTGGTCTTTCCTTTGACCTTTGCTCTCTTGTCTGATGTCTGACGGCCTCTCTGAGGCAGGTTCGTCCCACCAGACCAGGTTGCGCACCTTCCTGTTTCCTGCTCTCAGCCTTCAGCCTCGACAGCTTCACTGCTTTATTATTATAGTTAGCTTTGCGCCCATAATCCCTCGCCTGGACCAGTACTCTCTCATTCAATCGACTCTTTGTGCGACGCCGATTCAACGTCTATTAACTCTACCGTCAACTTACTTTCAGTTTCATTCATACGTACATTTACTTACTCGCACAGTCTTCAATATCCCCTTTCCCCTCACCGTCAGAATCATCCCGGCTTACCGATACTTTCCCCTGCCCCATCTCCATCTCTTCCCCCCACCAGTCCGACGCCGCCGCCGCCGCCACAAATCAAGTTGCGCTCTCTGCTTTTGCTTTTGCTTTTACTTTGGCATTCCTGACGCCGATGCCGAAGCCGACTGTGGCCGTAAAAGAAGAACAAATAGGAAGAAGCCCGAAACCCCTTCCGCCAAGCAAACGCCGAAATTTCTGGGGACCAAAGGACCCAGAGAAGGCCTCGATCAATTTCGCCCGCCAACGATAAAGTCAAGCTATAAGCCAAACCGAAAGAAGAAAAGAGGCAACATCCTTTTTTTATTTTATTTTTTTCCATCTTTTTTTTCTACCAGAATAAAAACCGCCTTGGCTTCCTTGGCCTCATTGGCCCGCCGTCCCGGCACTTCCACCGTCGCTCACCAGTGACGACCAGTCCACGACTCAAGTCCCTCGCGCCGCCAAAACTTAACCTGGGCCTCGACGATGCGCCATCCGCGCTATTGACTTGCTTCTTGCTCGTGTCTTTTCTTCCTCACTTGCTATCCATAACAGACCCCCCGCGCGCCCAGAACTCTCTCGCTCGTCTCTCTCGTTCGTCTTCTCCTTTGGCGTCCTCGTTGCTTTCTCCGTCAGCATCATCAGTCTTGGCTTCCCTCGGCGCCAGCTGCAAACCTCCCACGTCTCCCGGGCAGGTTGTTATACCACGGTCGACTCGTGCGTGTCGTATCGCGGCATTCTTCTACGACGACTCTTGATATCCTGCCTTACTCGCTCCAGCGCCCCCGCCCGCCGCCACAATTCACACCCATGCGCCCATGTCCTGACAGTCTTTTATACCTCCGGCTGTCATGCATCGGAACCAACGACCTTCAACCGCTTTCTCCGCATTGCTAGACTACTCGCAATTCTAGCCTCGCCGCGCTTCATTGACACTCGAGGCGCTCGCCTTCACACGCGCCTCCTGGTACGCCATGATCTCTCACGCACCCTCAGGCTCTACGACTCCCACAGCCTCCCCCCAGCTTGGCCACACGCTTCCATCTCACTCATCCATCCCCGGTGGCGCCTCAAACCCGGTAGCCGACGTTCGTCCCTCGCCCGTCTCTAAGCTAGCCGACGACGACGAAAACGACAGTCATGGGTCTGCCACCATGCATATCCCGCCACGAATGAAAACCAGAGACCGACTAAGGCATTTCAATGGCATGCTCATCTTTTTCATGATGTTTGTTCTCCCCTGTTTCTGGCGTAACGACTAAGACTCTAACCTGCCATCCCTATAGATACATGGCACTATGTGCCTTCAACTATGGTTTCGATGTCGGCACCTTTAGTGGTGTCCAAGGCATGCACAGCTTTACACGACGTTTTGGCGAATACAACGCTAAGAAGAACATATTTACCATTCCGGCATGGCTTCTCTCCATCATGACTGCCACTCCCTTCCTTGGCAAGGCTGTCGGCTGTATCATTTGCGGCCCCATTGCTGAGAAATGGGGTCGCAAAGTCGCCATCTTCGGCCTCTGCATCCTGTCTTTCATGTATGTCTCTCGCTCATCCATTGTAGCCTTTGGTCATTAACTTGGCAGTGGCGTCACCCTTCAGACATCGGCTGCCTCGGCCGCTCAGTTTACCATTGGCCGCGTCTTCACCTTTGCCATGACTGGCATGACCATCGTCGTCGTCCCCATTTTCCAAGCCGAAGCCTCGCCCCGCGTGCTTCGCGGCATGTTTGGATCGACATTGCAGGCCATGGTCGTCTTTGGGCAAGTCATTTCGACGCTCGTCACATACGGTACCGAGACGATAGAGTCTGCTGCTAGCTGGCGCATCCCCATCGGCCTTCAGTTTGTTGCCCCATGCTTGCTTTGTTCCCTGCTGTATTACCTTCCAGAGTCTCCTCGCTGGCTGCTCAGCCGCGGCCGCCGCGAAGAAGCCATAGAAAGCCTCGGCAAGTTTCGAACCAAGACCACGCTGGAAGAAGTCAGCGTCGAACTAGACGGCATTGCCCTTTCCCATACCCGAGAGAACCAGGGAACGTGGGCCGAAGTTTTCAACGCAGAAAATCGCCGGCGTACGGCCGTCGCCACCCTCGCCATGTTTGGTCAGCAAATTACTGGCCAGGCATTTGCCTCGCAATACGCCGTCGTCTTTTACCAGTCGCAGGGCTTTGGACAGTCGGCCTTTCTCTTCAACGTTCTCAACAGCGTCATTAGTCTGTTCGCTGTCATGATTACGTGGCTTTTCGTCGACTCGACTGGTCGCAGACCGGTTCTTCTCGTCGGTGGCGCCTTCATGTCCTTTTTCTTCTATCTCTTTGGAGCCATCGGCAGCATACCCGAAGACAGCAGAAGCGGAGCCATGACGAATCTCATGGTTGCCTGCCTCATGCTCTTCTACTTCTTTTACAACCTCTCATGGGCCCCTGTCTCGTATATTATCGTGTCAGAAATCGCGGCCCAGCGCGTCCGAGAAAAGACGAATCTGTTTGCCTGTGTCATTTCCGTTCTCACCACATTCACCACTTCATATACCATTCCATATCTCATCTCTGACAAGTATGCCAATCTTGGTGCCAGGGTTGGCTACATTTACGGATCCACGAGTCTCGTCATGGTTATTGCTACGTTCTTTTTCATTCCCGAGCTCAAAGGACGCACACTAGAGGAAGTCGATCAGCTATTCGCGAGTGGTATGCCGCTTCGTACGTTTAGGAAAATACCCACTCGCAGCCCGCAAGACCTACATGACGTTGAACTGGAACGACAGGGAAGACTGGATGAAGCGGCCCGACAGATGCAGGCCAGCATGCCAGCCGGAGCAACCGCACAACCTGGTGGTTTGAATGAGAAGGCACCAGGGCGCCACTCAGGGAACGAGGTTGTCTAGCTGGCCCTGTATGTTACCTTTTTTTCCACAGCACGTAACTTTGGCATGGATAGCGCAGCGTTGGAAACCACGTACCACGTACGATGGAATTTTCCATGTTTTGATAAACAATACATGTTTTTAATGCCTGAGATTAGGTTGCAAACTTGGCTTTGTTTTGATTGGTGTAGCCGAGGCTGTAGCCGTGCCTCATCGGACCCTGATCTGTGTAACGCGATCTACGATCCGTCATGTGCTGTGATGTAACGGCTGTTTCAGTACGGGACAGGGTTCAGGTACCACACAATCAAGACATTGAAAGACGTGGTGCATCAATAGTAGTACCATTATTCCTAGCTACTATACCCTTTATTATTGTTATTGTTCATAACCGTATAGAACGCCACCCAAAACCCACATCCAAGGAGCAATGCCTTGTCCCTCTACAGCTGCTGCTTGAGAAAGTCGAGAATGCTCTGGTAGGTGACGACGTGGGAGTAGCCAAAGTTGAGGCCGTGGCCGGCGCCGGGCACCACCATTGTCTGGAACGCGGCGGCCTGGGCGAACATGGGCTTGGACAGGGCGAGCAGGTCGGGGGCGTCGCCCATGGGCATGTTGCAATTGCCGCCGCAAAAGGGCACGTCGTGCTCGCCGGTGATGATGAGGACCTTGCCGGCAAACGCGCTCGGGGCGGCGGCGGCGTCGCCAATGGTGAGCAGCTCGCCGACGGCGGCGGGCTGGCCGTGCACGGTGGCGTCGGCGAGCAGGGCGTCTGCAAAGTCGCCGGGGGCGAAAAAGTCAATGTGCACGCCGATGGCGGTGCGCGGCGCGACGTAGCCGGTCGCGTACCGCTCGGCCAAGGCCGCGCTGACGGCGGCGACGGGCGCAAAGTTGGCGCCGAGCGCAAAGTACGCCATGTACGCGGGGGCCTGCGAGAAGCCGGTGAGCACCACGGCGTCGCTAATGTCTGGGTGCTGCGAGGAGAGGGCGTATGTGAGGGCGGAGCCAAACGAGTGGCCGACGTGCACCGTTTTCGTGAAGCGGTGCCCGGAGAGGAGGCCGCAGAGGTCCGATGAGGATCCGGCGGCCGCCAGTGTCAGCTGCCGCAGCGCCTCGACCTCGAGCCCCAGCTGAATCTCCTGCACCGGGTCCCCGTGCGACGAGGCCGCGATGCCGAGCCGGTCCCAGGCGAGCGTCGAGTGGCCCGCGGCGACGGCCCGGGCCACGTACGAGTAGTTGAACCCGGCAAAGGGGTAGTCCCAGTAGCTGCGGTCGAAGCCGACGCCGTGCGTCAAGATCTGCAGCGTGGAGCCGGGACCGTCGGGCGGGTGGCAGAGCGTGGCGGCGAGGGTGTAGTCTTTTTTGATGTTGGTGTCGTTCTGGTTATTGGTGTTAGATGGCACTCTCTCTCTCTCTCTTGCTCTCCTTCTTCAACCCTTACTACAAAAGTTTCGTTTCTTTCTTCATCAGGGAGCAGCAAAACGTACGTTTATGGTGAGACGCTTCACAAAGTCGCTGCCCGGACGCGTAAACTCGAGAAAAAAGTTGGTCGTGTCCACCTCGGAGTCGGTCGGGTGGTAGTCAAACTGCTTGAGCGTCGTGGCGACGGTGATGGGCACCGTAATGTCCTGGCAGTTCTTGCCGTTGTGCGGGTTGACGTCGATGGCCGCGGCGGCGGCACAGCCGATGAGGGCCAAGATCTTGTACATGTTGTCTTGGTACAAAAGGAAAAAAAAAGAAAATACTAGAGAGTGTATAGACTGAAAGGAACAAGGGAAAAAGTTATGAGATGACGGACGGACAAGGTTGTACGGGCATGTTGCAATCTTATAGCCGTGCTAATCAATAACAAAACAAAAGAGACTTGGACAGACGACAGCTAGTCCGCAGCTCCACGACTCGCCTTTCCTCTGTTTCTTTTCTTTTGATCATCATTAGGCGAGATTCCCGGATCCATGATCCAAGACAAAAACCTTTTCCACAAACCCGTCATGGTCTGCAGACGTCCAGCGTCGCATTGCCTAATAAGACGAGAGTGTGAGTGGAACCCCCTCTTTTCTTTTCTCGGGCAAGGCTTTTAAGTCCATATGTTGGAATTTCCATTGCTGGTACAGATGAGCACGGCCAAAACACATCCTCTTCCAAATCATGACCAGTTTGGGTGTGGGGGGTGGAGTGATGGGCTTTGATGCCTCCCACCACATCTCACCGGTTCTTGCTTTCTTGACAAATCTGTTTGTAAAGAAAGAAAAGGTTAGCTTCCCGGAGGACACGAAGCTTTTTCTGGTTTAGTTCCTGCCAGTTGAACAGGTTTGACCCGTCATGTCGGGCTGTTCTTTGCGTAATTTATGATGCTGAGACATGCTTGGGACTACCGAGCTAGTGCGGATGCGTTCCTTTTTGGGGGTTTCTTTTTTTGTGTAATCAACTAGTTAACCAGATTTGATTATTATTCCGTTTGGTATTCGCGCAGTTCTTGGAGTTGGGTTGTTGTTGTCAGTTGTGCAGTATTTGTCACTACCGATCCATCCATGGCCTGCTGACCCACGCACGCCGTCATCCGGGATTGTAAAGAGATGTTACCAGCTCTTAACACCGATCCTGCTGTTTCCTCTTGGTGCCGGCCAGTTTTGGGATTGCACGTCATGAGAGGCTGACTCAGTGGTTCACAACGCCCAAGCAATTCTCGGCCCCGGCAACTGCTGTTTCAGGCCGGCAGATGGTGGCGGTCGGCTTGAACGGGAGCAGCCGGGGTGGCAAAAGGCAGTGAAATGAAGATCAAAGCGGTTGACAAGGGCAAAAGAAAAAGGGAACAAAACGGGTATGTATGAATCGAAGGACAGCCTCTGCTGTCGCTAGAGTAAAGTGAAAGCGAGGAAACAAAAAAAAATAAAAAATAAAAATAAAAAATAAAAATAAAAAATAAAAATAAAAAGGAATTGCGAGATCTGTCTGTCCCCTTAACGCTTGCGCTGGACTAGGTAGCGCTAATAGCGCCAGCAGAGCAATCACAAGCAATTTTAGGTCAACATGTCTCTTACATATATGTAGGTAGGTACATGCCTGCCCAATGGATTGTGACAACCCGTGTCTCTTCAAAGGTAACTAGGTAGCTTTACTCGCCGCAAATCTATCGCAGTTATAGAGACTGTGGCGCGCTCCTTGCCCAGGTTGTGGCGTGTGCGTGTTGTGAGGTTGTGAGCCACACAAGCCTACCAGGGAGTTAGGTACCTTAGTACCAAGCTAGGCCCCACGGGGCATAGCCCAATACGAGACATTTTCATCTTCGCACACACTGCAACAAACGGGTAGCAATTGCCCAAAATTTTCGCGAGACCATCATCAAAATTAATTAAAGCCATCAGAGATCATCGTGACCCAGTCACATCATTTCAGAAACCCCAGACAAGCCCCCAGCAATCAATCAGCGACTGTCTACCCCCTGACCCCCGTCCCACGTCCGAGTCCTAGAGGACAACCTTGCGAATATCGAAAATCGCCCATCCGCTCCACACGCCGCCAGAATCACCGTCACAATGGCTTCCACCCTCGATTCCGAAGCCCCTCACAACAACTTTGACACTATTCTTGTGCTCGACTTTGGCTCCCAAACTAGCCATTTGATTCTGCGGCGTCTTCGTGCTCTTGGTGTCTTTGCCGAGCTGCTGCCGTGCACCACCAAGGTTGCCGAGCTGTCATGGAAGCCTAAAGGAATCATCTTCTCCGGAGGCCCTGCCTCTGTCTATGACGAGGGCTCCCCCCACGTTGACCCTGCCGTGTTTGACCTCAACGTCCCCATTCTTGGCATTTGCTACGGTTGCCAGGAAATCGCTTGGCGAATCAACTCCGAGAATGTCGTCCGCGGAGAGACGAGAGAGTATGGTCACGCCGACCTCAACATTACCAAAGTCAACACCCACGCCGACCGGCTATTCGCCGGCCTCGGAGACAGTATCTCCGTCTTCATGTCCCACTTTGACAAGCTCATCAAGCTGCCCAAGGACTTTATTGTCATTGCCGCCACTAAGAGCTCTGAGTTTGCCGGCATCGCCCACGAGGAAAAGCCCATCTACGGCGTGCAATTCCACCCCGAGCTCGAGCATACGCCCCAGGGCACTAAAATCTTGTCCAACTTCATCGCTATCTGTAGTGCTAAGGCTAACTGGAAAATGGGCAACTTTGTTGAGCTTGAGATTGCGCGTATCCGCGAGCTTGTTGGCCCTAAGGCGCTTGTTATTGGTGGCGTTAGCGGCGGCGTTGATAGCACTGTTGGCGCGACACTAATGCGTGAGGCTATTGGCGACCGCTTTATCGCGATTGGTATTAATAATGGCTGTATGCGGTTGAATGAGTTTGAAGAGGTTAAGAGGAATTTGCAGGACCACCTTGGCATTAACCTCACCGTTGTCGAGGCGAGCGAGCTGTTCTTAGGTCGTCTGGCGGGGGTTACTGATCCTGAGAAGAAGCGAAAGATTATTGGATCAACTTTTATCGATGTCTTTGAGCAAGAGGCTATCAGGATTGAACGGGAAGCAGAAAACACACCAAACTCTGGCAAAGTGGAATGGTTCCTACAAGGAACGCTGTATCCCGATGTTATCGAGTCGCTCTCGTGGCGCGGCCCGTCGGCAACGATAAAGACGCATCACAACGTCGGTGGTTTGCCCGAGCGAATGATGAATGGCCAGGGTCTACGTCTTATCGAGCCGCTCCGGCTGTTATTCAAAGATGAAGTGAGGGCAATTGGCCGTCAACTCGGCATTCACGAAACACTCGTCGGCAGACACCCCTTCCCCGGACCCGGAATTGCCATCCGAATCCTCGGCGACGTTACGCCGGAGCGAGTTGAGATTGCCCGCAAGGCTGACCATATCTTCATCTCCATGATTCGAGAGGCGGGTCTTTACGACCAGATGTCCCAAGCCTTTGCCGGCCTCGATACCAACCGTAGTGTTGGTGTCTTTGGCGATCAGCGTGTGTGGGGTTACATCATCATCCTCCGCGCCGTGTGTACCAAGGACTTTATGAGCGCCGAGGTGTTCAACTTTGACAATGCCTTCCTCCAGGAGGTATCGCGTGCCATTTGCAACCAGGTAGATGGCGTGTCTCGTGTCGTCTACGATTTGACATCGAAGCCTCCTGGCACTATCGAGCTGGAATAAGCGGTCCATTAGGGAAGACTTCACAGCGTTGCCTAGAAAGTGGAAGAGACAGTGAGTTCAGTACGTTCAGAGGTGAAAAGGCGCATGAGAGGAAAAGGGCTGGATGAGCTTAGAACATACATCATGGGCTTTAATCCCCGGGCCGTGGTCGACGGCCTACTGCCGGCCACGGTAACCGAGCCAGACACGGCCACGGCGAGAATCACAGCTCACGACTGCCATGGCGATAGCGGCAGTGACCATACAGAATCAAAGACAGAGGTGAATAAAGTAAGAAAGTATAAAGAAAGAAATAGAATAAATAGCATAAAAATGTTAAAAAGGAAAAATATAGGAACAAGGTCAACATAGTATAATACTGAGCGGCAGTACATCTCGCCGGCGCCCAGTACATCGCCAACCCCGCAAACCGTCACTTGTCTCCGATCTTGTTCTTGTCGTTTCCTTGGGCGCGAAGCCGGGAGATGCGACGCTGGCTTCCACGGTCAAAACCGGCGACGTTGTACATGTACGTGGCTCGCGCATTGCGGTGGCAATGGAAAGTGCTGGCGAGGCCTCCGTCGTGAAAACAAACGGGATCAACTGGACGCTTCATATACGCCTGCGCCGTCGGCGACAATGGGAAGGATCATGATATTTGGCCGGGGAGTGGGGCCGCGTCGGCGACTGGCCCCGGGGCGTCCGGAGTTTCAACAACAAAGTACCCCAAGCGTGCGGGTTCCGGCAGAATCCCTTTTTCTCCTAGGAAAATTCGGTTTCAAAGAAGAAAATATATTTTATAAAGATAAAGGAGCACGAAATTTTTATTACACAATAAAACAAAGTGCTCAGTCTATCAGCGCTAGTGAGTCATTGTATCCAGGCTTCCACTCCAAACCAATAATAGACATAGAGTACATATATGCAGGATATACTCCAACAGCCAAACGCGCTGCTTTGCCAAGCCAAAAAAAAAGCCAGAGAGTCATGGTGAGCTTATAAAGACCAGTCCGGGGGTGAAAGCACCCCTTCTTTTCGAAGTTTTTGCCAGATCCCGAAAGAGCACGGGGGGATCCTTGGCGGACCTGCTACAAGTCGTTGCCCACCAGAACCCAAGCAGCGGATGATGGATCGGCCGCAGAATGCTGAGTGCTGTAAGGGGTATCCTGCATTTCGCTATCAGAGAGGATTTCGAAGTCCTCGGAATCCAGAATCAAATCAGGAGGCTGCGACGCATCGATGTCAACGGAGCCTCGAGAGCCATCCAGCTCGTAGATAATCCGGAGAGGAGGAGGCGCAGAATCAGTCGAATCCTTGGAAGATGCATGTTGAATTGCTTCCTCGGGAGACGCTTGTTGAGAAGCAAAGAAACGAGCAATGGCCTCATCATCCCCAATGTCGGAAAAGGAAAGGTTGAGATACAGAGGGTGCTCTAAAGCATATGTACTGCCATCGTCATGGCCGTGTTTGGCACTTTTGCGCCCACGCCTGGCAGGGCGGATAATGTAGGTCGGTTCGCTGTGGCGGATGCTGTTGAGATCAAACGTCGTCCTACTTTCCTCTGCGCTGTTGTAGAGAAGACCCTTGTGATAGAGCGCGGCGACCTGGGCGTCCTCGGAAGCTGCGAATCGTCGTACGTGGACCTTGCCCTTGGTGGTGGAGGCATCGTAAAAGGCCTCTTGGCGCTCAAGCGAGGGACAGCGGCGGTTATTGCACTCGCCAGGCAGAGGAACGCCACTGCGAGCAAGAGCAACGTCGTTATCGAGCTCGTTTGGGTTGAATCTGCTGCGGTTATGAAGGCGGCGTTCACTGACTCGCGCCTCTCCATGGCCCTGGGCCTTGAGTCTCCTAGTTTGAAAGGCCTTGGGGTTGTTGTTGTAGACGATCTGCAGCTGCCGTTCAAAGTGGTTTTGTCGAGCAGAAGGCTCAGAAGCTCTCAGGACCGGGCACAAGTGCGAGTCGGAGTTTTTGGCGCAGGCAAATCCCTCTCTCCAGCAGATCTGAGGGTCATTCTCCTTGACAAGTTTTCCTGCCAGGCGACGACGCTCATGGAGCCATGAAACGAGAGGGGCGACAGGCGGGTGAGCAACGGTGCCAAAGCGGCCGTTCTCGAAGATGGCGGCAGGTAAGGATGCTGTAGAGTCGGCGTCCATGTTGGGCAGATATAAAAGCAAAGACGGTGGCAGAAAGAAGTTTGGCGAAGCAAATAGAAGAGGACAGCGTGTAGTCGTCCTCTGGCCGATGAGTAAACGGCGGGTAGGCTTTTTTTAGGTGGATGGCGAGGTAGATGTAAGAGGTGAGCAAAGGGCGTGGTTGCGTCGAGAAGTTACCTAGGCAGGTAGGTAGGTAGTCAACAGCCCTGGTGAAGTACGGGTCACAGGGCGCGAAAGAAGTGACAAGAAGGGCCGTGTCGCAACGTGTCGTTGTGGAAACCTCGGGTGAAGCAAAGCAGAAGCAGCGATGCGACGGGAAGTGGTGAAGCCCGCACTGGCCCTTTTTATTAGTTAATAAGAGTCGGGTGCTCGGGAACAAAGCAAAGGGACATTCAAAGAGACATTTGGCGCTGGGGAGGGCTCAGGCCGTCCCGTTTGGGCAGGGAGGCGAAACAGGATAAAGCTGATTGGGCCATGTTGATGTCATAAGACGGACTTGGCTTATCTCGGGTTCAAGGTGAGGCGGCGCATGACCGTGACTCACGACTCACAGCCAGCCTCTGGGTATGGCGCGAGCGTGTGACACGGTGGCGCAGTCACATAACTTAGTATGTAACAACGCCAGCACATATTACCCAACGGTTGTTCCCTGGCTGCCAGCAAGGTCAAGGTTGATTGATTGCGAGTCTTGTTCGATTCTAGACTCGGACTTATTTCTGCTGCTTTTTTTTCTCGTTATTCTGTCAGTTTCCCTCGCCCCCCAATATTGGCTGTCATTCCCCCAGTTCAGCCTCTTCCTGTCACATGCGCCACGCTACCCAAAACTCCGAATGCTTATGTAATACTTCTGTCACGAAAGCTGTTTCGCTCACTGCCCGGCGTGTTGCAAGTAAAGACGGGAGGAATAAACTGAAATATGATTGGATAGCACTCTGCTAAGCTGCAGGCTTACGTGTCACTCTTGTTGTGGATTTTAAAGTGTGTGCATATACTTGAACTCATACCTCAGTACCAACATGACAACCCAACTACCTAGTTAATACGTGGCCGCCACCAGCGTAAAAAATGCCGGCCAATGATACTCGAGGCTTTTCATAGAGAAATAAAATATGACGACTAAAATGAAGGAAATGTCCATAATAAAGTCTGATTATTTTATCCAGATGACTGCCGAATTTTGCCATCGCCGTTGTTGCCTACCTAAGCATCCCTAGGTACCTACTGCATATGCAACCCCTACCTTGGGCAACTTCTCTCCGGCTGACAGGCCAACCTACTTGGCAAGCAGGCACCAGCCTCGTGACAAGTCGTACACAGCTGTGTAGCATAAGCGTGGCGGGGAATTCTAGAACGCGGTCCCAGGAATTCATGTAAATGCATGACCAGCAAGCAGTCTCTGCCTAAATTTCATTTTCGCTGCCCATCTACGGAGTACTTGAGCGACATTTGGGCCTCTTGCCCTGCATATCTTGTGGGGCTTCGGCTGATGCCGACGATTCGATCCACGATTCCGCTTGATGGGACTTGCAATGTTGCCGCACCCCGAGTCCTAAACTTTTGCGGCAGAGTAAGGGGGTTAAAGGAAGTTGATTCTCAACTATTCTTCTGAATTATTACTGTGCCTGTACCTAAGCCACATTTCCCTCCTCTATGGTTCACTAACACAGTCTCATTCGACCACAACACTTACTCCCGAGGAGACGAGACCAAGTCGGTACAAACTGACGTTACGTTCAAACCTGTATATCCAATGTACTTGGTCACCCTCAGAAACTATTATTTGTCTAGATCCCGCTATATAAGTCTAGAAGCACCTTGCTCCAAGGCCACCTTCAAGGCCGGGGTTTGTGTGGCCCGAGAAGGTTCAGCAAACGGAGACAACTCGCTTGAACTTTTCAATCATTTCTACAAGTTCAACTTATACTAACTATCTTACAATAGTCAAACCACTCAACTGATTTGAAATGTACCTCTACCATGTGCAACTTGTGGTTTAGCCAGCCAGTTCTGAGTGAACACTATTTGCTATTCCCGGGGCGAGACGGACACTTGTGAACAGTACCTAGGTATAGTAGGTAAGCACCCGGCAGTGGCCTTGACTCCAAGTACAGTCTGACGGCGGTACTTGATTACCACAAAGCGACCTTATAGCGGCTTGTGTCGAGGTTTACCAAGTTCATCCCACACCCTGATAGGCACGCCACAGCCGCTAGTGCACTCCAAAAAACAATGGCAATGCATCGAATAACTTAATAATAAAGCGCCGAGATACATAGATAGATAGTCGCAAATGCAGGGCTGGGAGGGGCAAGCGGCTGCCGGAAATTTCTAGCGCCTTCGTAATATCGTGGGGCGGCTGTCGGGGCACCACGCTAACTGGTTTGTGCGTACTTTACACCACCGGCTGTTAACATCAGGGCGGCCGCTCGGTGCGGAGCGTGGGCGACCTGAGTGATAACGCCATTTTCGCCTCAGAGCACTCAACTATCTCGACGAGCTAGAACGGCCAACGCAGGTGCTACTGTCAGCCATCAATCACGCAAGAATCCCCAGTCTCGTTTCGTCTCCCTGCCTGTCGCCACGACCCCCTCGTATATTGCGAAGACCTCCGCCCGATTCTTCAGCACTGTCTCTCGGAATCTTCCCTGCCCTGTCTCGCATTCGCAGCAAAGACGCCCCTCGTCTCGCGTGCTTTTGGCTTCTGAGCCAAACTCTGTCCTCGGGTTGCGACGCAAGAACGCCGCTTGGATCGGGCTCGCAAACACTTGTTTCAACCTTCATCAAAAACCCCCTGTCATTTATCTTCATGCCACAGCACGACCGTTTGCGTTGTTAGGTTCCTTCCAGGTTGACGCCATCCCGCGCTGAGAAGCCGCAACCCCGACCCTCCCTCCGCCTTGTACCTGTGCGACCTTGCCTGTGCGACCACGAGGCAGAGAAGCACGCCATTCCATCCTCTGCCCGCCTCAGCGCCCGCAGCAGCCGATGACTGGCCCTGCTTAGCACCCACGCACACTCTTAAAGGATATGACGGCTCACCGCATTCCCTTCGAAATGGTACACGCAACCGAATCTGACGCTGCCCTTTTGGCGTCCGCTGGCCAAGAAAACAATGTAGCCGCCCAACACCTCCACCAACAATCCGCTCCTGCGACAACCCCTCACCCTCAACACAATTCCTATCCATCTCGAGATAACTGCGATCGAAGACGACCTGCGGAGGAGGATCACTCCCGGCTCAAGAAAATGCCTTCGGCGCTGGTCGGTAAGACCGTCAGCCCGTTCTTGAAAGAGCATATCCCAGGTATATACGCCCCTGTCGGCAAAGACTTCCAGGATGAGTCTTCCCATACGGTGTCAGTATCTGTTCCAAAAGATGGCAATACTCGATTTTGCTACCGCCATCGCCCGGACTCCAAGTGTCGCCGTACTGCGGACGAGACCAAAATGGGCATGATCCAAAGAGTATGTACTCATCGCCGTCAACTTGGTTGCTAGTATACTAATTATTGTACAGGATCTGAACAGTCTTTCCCCCGCCGACCAGGAGGCCATCACGCACGTCTGGTCTCTCTTCTCGGCAGCGCCCGCCAAACATCGAGAGCTGATGCTTCAAGGCATCATCACTCAATGCTGCTTCCCACAACTCTCGACCGTCTCCCGCGAAGTACAAGAGCAACTCAAGATCGACTTTCTAACAGCCCTCCCGACAGAGCTGTCATACAAGATCCTCTGCCACCTCGACACAGTGTCGCTATGCAAGGCTACCCAAGTCAGCCGACGCTGGCAGAACCTTGCCGACGACGACGTGGTTTGGCATCGCATGTGCGAGCAGCATATTGATAGAAAGTGCACCAAGTGCGGCTGGGGCCTGCCGCTACTAGAAAAGAAGAAGCTTAAAGCATGGAGCCGTCACCAGCACACGGCCCATGGGAAGGAAAGCGACTCGACCCAAACTGCCGACGAGGTCAACGAATCCAACAAGCGTCCTTTAAAAGAGGAGGGCGCTCCCTCAAAGCGGCAGCGCCTCGACGGCACCGGTCCGTCCTCGACTAGTCTTGAAACAGAGCGCAAGTTCCGTCCATGGAAAGATGTCTATCGCGACCGCTTCAAAGTTGGGTTTAACTGGAAGACTGGTCGCTGCACCATCAGGACCTTCAAAGGCCACAGTAATGGCGTTACGTGCCTGCAGTTCGATCAGAATATCCTAGCTACTGGCTCCTATGACACTACCATCAAGATTTGGAACATTGAGACAGGCGAAGAGCTGCGTACCTTGCACGGCCATACGGGAGCAGTGCGAACTTTGCAGTTTGACGACAGTAAGCTCATCAGCGGCAGCTTCGACAAGACTATCAAGATCTGGAACTGGCAGACGGGCGAATGTCTCAACACGCTCCAATGCCACACCGATGGCGTATTGTCGGTGCACTTTGACAAAGGCACACTGGCGTCTGGTTCGATCGACAAAACGATTAAAATCTTATGCTTCGACACGAAGCAAACCTTCTATCTACGCGGTCACACTGACTGGGTCAATCATGTCAGGCTTGACACGGCATCTCGCACTGTCTTCTCCGCATCTGATGATTTGTCGGTCAAGTTGTGGGATTTGGACACGAAGCAGTGCATCAAAACCTACCTCGGTCACGTCGGGCAAGTTCAGCAAGTTCTTCTCATGCCTCCCGACTTTGAACCCGACGAGGTTCCTAGCCAGGACGACAACGACGGTGCCTCTGTGCGCAGCGGCCGGAGCGTATCGCCGACACCGTCGCCATCACCGTCGGCTCAGGTTGATCGATCGGTGTTTGGTCCTGGATTCGAGTCGACCTCGCGACCTTTACCGCCGCGCTACATGCTGACTGGTGGTCTCGACAACACTGTGCGCTTGTGGGACATTGCCACTGGCAAGTGCATTCGCAGCATGTTTGGCCACGTTGAGGGTATATGGGGCCTGGTGGGTGACACGCTGCGTGTCGTCACTGGTGCCAACGATTCGATGACCAAGATCTGGGAGCCCCGTTCGGGCAAATGCGAGCGAAGCTTCACTGGCCATGCCGGGCCGGTGCAGTGCGTTGGTCTGAGCGACAGCCGAATGGCCAGCGGGAGTGAAGACGGCGAGGTGCGCCTCTACAGCTTCGAAGGCGAGGCAAAAGAGGAGCGGGGGACACCCTCGTAACCTCTGCCTGGATATTATACATGTGTGTTTGCCATTTGGCTCAATTTCTGTTGGAGGAATTTTGTTTTGTTGTTTCTATGCATTGGCGTTGGAAAGGCATGGCATGCGAGCAATGATGGTTTATATAACGGATACCCCTGTCATGGAAAAGGCATATGAAGAAGCTCTTGTATGTTGACGTTTGTGGTTGTTGTTCCCGACATGGCAGGCGAGGTAAAATATACCAAGATGTGGGGAAAAATGTTGAAAGCGACGGTGTTGGTGGGATTTGCATTTGGGATATTCAAAAGAAAGGGACGGATAGGGAACAGCAGAGGCACCAGTGCCAAAAATAACGTTTGTTTAGAGGGACAATGAATGATAGACTTGCTTTGAAGACTGGCACAGACCTGACTACGAATGAATCGAATGACTCTTGTTGGCGGCGTATTTTTACATGTGACTGTGGCGGGTTCAGGTGAGTACCATGATTCTTAGCGGCCGACTTGTGGCGTTTGGAGTCGCGTGTCCAGCACAAATTGTGTCGAAGCATGGGAAGCTTTGGCATTTCTGGTTTGGCTAATTTAATGATTGTCGTTGTGCTAGCTAGATGCGCATATCGGAGGAGGCGCCCGGCTTGCACAGGCAACAGCGAGCACATCTGTGTATGTAGGTAGTCACGTCGCCGAGCATGGCAAAGCAGCCTCCGACGCCTCCGACCGCTCGCTGACAGGATGTCGGTCAGCCTCCGGGACAAGTTTGTCATTTGCAGTAATAACACAATATGCAGAAACTCAGAGCGGCCATAATACGATGTGAAAGCCCGGCGGCGCAACGTGCAAAAGGTGCGCCGCTTTTTCTCCAGGCGGCGATAGCACCCCGGAGTCCGGTCGGAGCTCCGCTGAACCGGAGTTTTCAGGGGGGTGCCGATGAAGGAGGAGGCTTTTTGCCCTGAAGTTGGTCATGTATACACGGTTCCCGAGGTTAAATGGTAAAATTATGGAACAAAGCGGGTAAAAGGGATGGGTTCCTCTCGGGAATGGCAGTTCCATCTGTTTTGGTCCAAACTCTTGTGTCAATGGTGACTGTTTTTTTCAAGTACATGGCCGCTTGTCGGTTCTTTTCCCCAAGCCTCGGCACAAGGGCCGCCCCTCTACCCTTGTTCCCCACGGGCACAGAGGCTACGGGCCTCTTTTTGCGAGATGGCGGCATCAAGTTGAACAATTTATCCCGGGCGTGCAATTCGGGATTGGCTCCGGCGTTGTTTGGCCAGAGCCCTGTTTGCCGTCTACGCCGGTTGGCACACGCGCCGACGCGCAAGCGAAGCGCCCCGGTTGCACCCCCCATGCCAGAAACTAGATGAAAAAAAAAAAATTGTATACAGGTTGTCGAGGAAAGAAACTACAAGATTAGGCCACCTCTCTTGGCGCCAGGCCTGGTATGGTGACTGTTGTAGTAAGCCCTCAGCAAACTGTGGAGAGAGTGAGGTGATGTCGATGATGCCCGGTGCATTGGTGCCATCTGACTCTGGGGGCCGTGGTGAGATGTCAGTTTTCCCCAATTCTCTTTGCTAAATGTTGGCAAAATTTCCATTATATTCCGAATCCTCGAAACCCCAGCTCGGAAATCGAGAGCACAGCCGTAGCAAAAAAACGTCGCCCTTCCAGCCGAGTCACACCTTTGGTCCGGACCCGGTCGCGCCCGTTCATCGCAACATCGGAACGAAAGGAGGGCGCGCGCAAGCCAATGCGGCTCGAGAGAAATCAAAAACAGAAGACACACACACACACGCCCCCCGGCTCTTCTCTCCGACCATAATATCTGGTGGGGGAAAGCCGGGGTTTTTGGAGACTCTTGCCCCCCTCCCTTACGCCATAGGCTGGCGGGGGACCCAGAATCATATGCTAAAGAAGGTAGCCGTTTTGGGGGGGCGTGTAGTCGGGCTGCATGTGCTTTCGCAAGGTCAAAGCTAACTAACTATTGGAGAGCCGTGACTGTACCCTTTTTCTTTTTGTCGGCGTCGGCTTGTTGTAGCAACTCTTCTTCTTCTCTTCCTTTCCTGTCCCTGATAGTTACATCTTTGTTTCTCTCCGCTGTTCGTCCGTCTCTCTGACCCCTCTCCCCTCTACCGGTGTTGAGAAGAAACAAAACGTTGTTGTTGGCTTCTGTTCCTTCTCCCTTGTCGTCTTCCTCTCGTGCGAAAACTACCCGTTGCCCTCCACCCGCCAGCCGTCGTCTTGCCGTCGCATTTACCAAGACAATAAGCAAGTCGCCAACTTTGCTACAACTTTCTCGATTCTCGAAAAAAGAAAACATTTGCGCAGAATTTGTTCTCGCCTTTAACGCTCCGCGCCGCCTCTCGCTCCATCCCCCCCGTCCCTTGCACGACAATGCCGAGTCAAGCCGCCGAGAAGAGGAAGCCGCCCACGGCGGCTGTCAACCTGATTGGTACGTTCACTGAAAGCCTGGAAATTGGCGTTGGGAGAGATATAAATGACCAATTGAAGCTAATTAGATTTGTACGATCAGCTGGTGGCTCTGCCGGCATGATGGAGGCCCTCGTCTGTCATCCCCTCGGTAAGTTTGTGTTGGAAATCCGGGCGCAAGGAGAAGACCACGGCGGCGAAGCTTCCCCCACAATTTGGTTACCCGATCGCGGGGCCGCGGCACAACGGGCAGTGACGTACATGCTGGGAAGCTGCTGAATTTACCTCTCTCTGTTGCTGAGAAAAAAAAACCCCCTTCCAAAAAAAAAAAAAGGAGAAGAAAAATGGACAAGAGAATTCCAAGTTTCGCTAACATGGCTCAGATACCATCAAGGTCCGCATGCAGCTCTCGCGGCGCGCCCGCGCCCCCGGGGCCCCCCGCCGCGGCTTCGTGCGCACCGGCATCGAGATTGTGCAAAAGGAGACGCCAATGGCGCTGTACAAGGGCCTGGGCGCGGTGCTCACGGGCATCGTGCCCAAGATGGCGATCCGGTTCACGTCGTTTGAGTACTACAAGCAGGTGCTCGGGGACAAGACGACGGGCGTGGTGTCGGGCCAGGGCGTGTTCCTGGCCGGCCTGGCGGCGGGCGTGACCGAGGCCGTCGCCGTGGTGACGCCGATGGAGGTCATCAAGATCCGGCTGCAGGCGCAGAGCCACTCGATGGCCGACCCGCTCGACGTGCCCAAGTACCGCAACGCCGGGCACGCGCTCTACACCGTCGTCCGCGAGGAGGGCTTCGGCGCGCTCTACCGCGGCGTGTCGCTGACGGCCCTGCGCCAGGGCACCAACCAGGCCGTCAACTTCACCGCCTACTCGTACTTTAAGCGCTGGCTCGTCGACTTCCAGCCCCAGTTTGAGGGCAAGAACCTGCCCAGCTGGCAGACCACCCTCATCGGCCTTGTCTCCGGCGCCATGGGCCCCCTCAGCAACGCCCCGATCGACACCATCAAGACGCGCCTGCAAAAGGCGCCCGCCCGCCCCGGCGTCAGCGCCTGGCTGCGCATCACCCAGATTGCCGCCGACATGTTCAAGCAGGAGGGCTTCCACGCCTTCTACAAGGGCATCACCCCGCGCATCATGCGTGTCGCCCCCGGTCAGGCCGTCACCTTTACCGTCTACGAGTACCTGAGGGAGCGTCTGGAGAAGAGCAACCTGGCCTTTGTTGGGGGCAACTTTGAGGAGTAGAGAGACGAAAAAAAAAGCACCAAATGTCACATTATTTCCTCGACATATACATACACACACACATGACACTTACACACTCGCGCCAACATTGGAAGAACATTAACTCTTGGTTATATACCCTGTCAACGCCTCTATGGTTTCGCCCTTTGTTTCTACTACTACTACTACCCTTCTGGCTAGTATAGAAAGCACTGTCTTCTATTTATTTTTTTCTCGTTTAGTTAGGGCATTTTTGGTTGGTATCATATGTTGGTGGGCTGGAGGGCAGATGCACACCAAATGCACCGTATTGACCACGGTAATGGCTGACCTGCTGCGTCCTGCTTCCATACCGCGTCTAGCTTTCTTGGGTATTTTTCAACATCAAACGGAATAAGAAAAAAAAAGTCTTAAATATCAATCAATCGTTTTGTCTCCTACTATTACTCTCTATAATGCCCGTGGTTTCCGCCCACGTCTCATCATCCTTGCTTGTCTCACCGACCCGGTCGCTTGGGTCGGCTGAACCCTTGCCTTGCCGCCGGTTTTGGGTGCAGGTCGTCCAGGACGAGCTGCTCCGTCACCTCGCTCGTCTCCTCCACCTCGAACCTCTTTTCGATCGCGAGGCCGGCCTCTTGTTCCGCAACCGTCAGCACCGCCCGCTTCATCAGCGGATACATCATCCGGTTCTTGATCGACTTGGCGCCGGCCGACGCCGGACAGGTGTAGAAGAAGAGCAGCGGGCTCTTCTCCTCGCCGTTGTGCGTGTGCGTGTATCGGTAAAAAGTGAAGCGCGGCTCGGTGCCGGAAATTGCCTGCGACAGCTCGGCAATCGTGCCGGGGCTGGGAGACTCGTGTACTAGTTCGACGGCTTCGGTAGATGGGTTAATTTTCTAACTTGTCAGCACCAAATTTCTCTTCTCATATGCTTCCTGCTCTTCTACAAGCCAGCAACCCTATGCTCCCTCAACACTTACTAGCATTGTGACCACTCGGCTATCCTGCATATCCTTCAGGGCAGTAATAGCCTCCTCGGATACAGGCATGGCCAGGCTCTTGCTCAGATGAATTTCCCGCGTCCCAGTTCCCGCACCAGCCTCCTGTTCTGCCCGTTTCACCTCGCCCAGCGTCCGCTCCTCTTCCGTTAGGGGCGCCTCGAGTTGTGCGTGGGCATCTGCCTTCTTAAAGCCGCTCTCGGTAAATTCGTCCGGCGTCGTGAAGAAGTGACTCTCGCGAAAGTGTTCAAGCCCCAGTTCACGGGTCAATGTCAATCGTGTCGATGCGAACAGCATCTTCTGCCGCACCGGGGCGGCATCGGGCACGTAGGAGATGGCCGCAAGCTTCGGCGCGGTGTCGTATCGTCGAATGATGGCGTACAGTGCCACGTTGGATTTGATGTGCGAATGCAACGACTTCAGGTCGCCCGAAAACGAGGACGTCGAGGCAACACTAGCAGTGGGTACCAAGGACTCTTTTTCTATGCCGATCAGTAGAGCAAATGTCGATGAGGACGACAGCAACGAGCTAAACTGCTCGTGCAGCTCCTGCGAAGCTGTCTCAAGTTAGGTGACAGTCTAAGACGCAAACATCTCCGTACATACCAGCAATGCCCGACTGCATCTCGCGAAGGCTCAATGATTTGATTAGCTTTGTGTATCAAGAGGATGCAGGTCGTGGGCTTCTCAGCTTGTGACAGTTAGGTCTGGCTGGTTACGTGGCGGGGTTCCAGCGTCACCGTACCCCGCTTCGGGAAGCTCAAACTCATTCTTACCCGGGATCTCTACTTTGAAGCTTGGCATATGAGCACGCGGTAAACACTTAAAAATAAAGGTGCAAAGTGTCCAGCGAGAATTAAACTTCTGTATTAGGCACATGTTTCGACATGTGTGTAGGATTTATGGTCCTGCTATAAGTACAATCAAGTAACTAAGCACCTGTGTAAGATACTTCCTCCATCATTACAACCACCATGAGTAACTGCGAATAATTTGCGTCGTAAGCTAATTCCTGCCAAAAAATGGGACCTAAAACAAACGAATGGAAATATGACATAGCTAAACTCGGCCCCAATAAATGAATGAGTATACCTCAGAATATCACATCATCATAACCGCAATGAGTGCAAGACCGCCAATGGAAGAAAATGATGGTAGGCAGATACGGGCAGAGTCAGAGCCTGGTACTTGAGAAGGCACATGCGACTCTCCATATGGCTTGGAGGTAGGTGCTGCTTTGGTAACCATAGTAGTCTCGTATTGTGGGATAGCAGGTGCCGATGTTGCAGAGTTCGATTCAGTGGCCTGGACAGCGTCTGCAGTTGAGGTCTCGTATTGCTGTGGCTCTGGCGCCTGCCCTTGAGCAGTTCGGTACTGTGACGGCTGGGCAGGAGCGCAAGGCTCAGAAGTCTGAGAAGACGCAGAATGTGAAGCGGGAAGGGCTGTGGATTGGCTCTGTGGCTCAGGTGCTGGTCCAGTAGGGGTCACCAGCTGTGAGCTGACAGGAGCTGGCGTTGAAACAGACGAGGATGAAACCGTAGTCGATGCCTTGGGAGCGGCGGTGTACTGCTCAAGAGGGGGCTCTTTTCCGTACACGTTTGCAACGTTAGGGTTTTCTTGAGGGCAAGAGTTGCCGCAGCTGCCAACAAGTGGGTTGTTCTCGCAGAAGTGATCACACATGCTTTCGTCCTGAGGAGTGATGGCAGTCAAGTCGTTTCCGCAGCGACATTCCCTAATGATGTTAGATGGAAAAGACACATTGATGATATAAAACGTACTCATTCAGAAGGACAGCGACCTGAAAACCTTCGCAAGCCTTCTGGCAAGCTTCGGGAGTAACACAGCCATCAGAAAAGACGATGGGGTTCCCAAAGCAGGTAATGTCAATGGAAGAGCAGCCAATGTAGTGGAATCCAGGAATGCTGTGAGGACTCTGAGCAAAAGCCCCGAGGACCCAAGAAATGACAAGAATGGTGATAGCGGTCATGGTGAGCGTATGAACGGAGTTGCAGTAGGAGAGACTAATGGACCAAAAGGATGGGAGCACAACGAACTTGTCCCGGATGAGATGCAGAATCAGGATTAAATGATCACTGAGTGTGTAGGAAAAAGAAGAGAAGGAAAAATCGGGAAGTTGGCGGGAAACGTTTTCATGCCGGCAGAATGGGCACTTGCCCTGCCAGCTGCCAGCCGAACGAACGGCCGACTTGAGCAGCTGGCAGTCTGTTCCTGCCATCAGGCAAACACGGCTACAGCACAGACAGTCTCTGGATTTGATCAAGCATCGGATAGACTTGGGAAATTCTGCCGGAAAAATAAATGGCGAAGCTTTACCATTGAGGTAGGTACTGGGGTATTTTTTTTTATGAACTTCGACTTACACGGATGCTGGCAAGTCAACCGTCGGAGGTAACTATTAGCAAACCTTTACCTACGTGCAAACGGAGCTACTCCGCCATGCCCGGATCCGTGTGAATGCAAAACGGTCCTAATTACAAAATCCCGAGATAGCACAATACGACACATGTAATTTTATGAGAGAATAATCTCTGAATTATTTTCATCTCATAGTCTGAAAGCGACTCTTTCACAGTCAGGCCAGCAGAGACCCCACACCAACTGCTCTTAAATAGGAAATCGTTAAACGGGACTAGCGGGTGAAGGAATCGCGTACAGACTCACGTGATCCCACACAATTCCGCAGGTAAAAAAACGGTGGTCCACATACCATCAGGGCAAGCGAGCCCCAATTTACAGACCACGCCCAACCGCGCAAAACTACTACCCAAAATTTGTCCCGACTCCTATCATCCGCAACCCGTTGAGCATCATACTGTCAAGATGAGCGCCCAGGCCCAGAACAAGATCGCCCCCAACAGCCCCTCGAGGCAGAACCCCTCTGAGCTCGAGCAGTCCATTGCTCAGGCTCTCTACGACCTCGAGACCAACACTGCCGACCTCAAGGCCGCCCTCCGCCCTCTGCAGATTGTCTCTGCCCGCGAGGTGAGATTTACTTGAAAATGCTAGACCGGCCCACAGACTTTTCGACATCCTGTTCCCCAAAGGCGATACGACGGTAGCAACGAGCGTACTTCCGCGAGCGAAACTCAAAACACTGATTTTCCAAGAATTGGAAATTTCTTGGTCGTGGGCTTTCGTGAATGGACTTTGCGTGCGCAGCATCACCGACAGTCGATTGACTTCGCGGAACAGGACGGGAAGCGGTCCAAGGCATTGCGTCCTGGAGCTCGCATGCTGACTTGTGGTCTTTTTTTAGATCGAGGTTGGCCACGGCAAGAAGGCTGTTGTCATCTTTGTCCCCGTCCCTTCCCTGCAGGGCTTCCACCGCGTCCAGCAGCGGTATGTATATCTGAACCACCAAAACCAAGCATGAATGAGCAGCCGTATCCTAACCATTGCCTCCAGTCTCACCCGTGAGCTCGAGAAGAAGTTCTCCGACCGCCACGTCCTGATCCTCGCTTCGCGCCGCATTCTCCCCCGCCCCAAGCGCTCCGCCCGCTCTCGCAACGCCCAGAAGCAGAAGCGTCCCCGCTCCCGCACTCTGACTGCCGTCCACGACGCCATCCTGTCCGATCTCTGCTACCCCGTCGAGATTGTTGGCAAGCGTATCCGCACCAAGGAGGACGGCAGCAAGCTCCTCAAGGTTATCCTTGACGAGAAGGAGCGCGCTGGCGTCGACTACCGTGTCGACACCTACGCCGAGGTTTACCGCCGCCTCACCGGCCGCAACGTCACCTTCGAGTTCCCCCAGACCGCTTCTGAGTACTAAGCAGTTTATCACCTCGAATTAAAAAAAAATGAAATGAGACGGGATGATCATGGTTTGGTTGGAATGTGCCATTTAGTATTGATGGTTGGTCAAAAGGGCTTGGCGTCTTGCGAAAAGTAGCTGTCGTAATGATACATGCTACATGATTTTTTATCATTCAATCGATCCTATCCTACTCCAACGTGACAATCGGGTATCTAGAAATGTGACATTTTTCTTCCATTACTGCCGTGCAATTTTTCCCACCCCAAGAACACACCAGTAGGCCAGTTCCCGTTTCTCCCGTGCGTCTCGTTCCTTGCCCAGCGAGGTGCCCATATCATTTTGCACATCAGATTCCCACTCCATCCTCACAAACATGGGGATTTCGAGAATGTCTTCCCCCTCCTTGAGCGGCAGTTTGCTGGGATCGCTGACTAGAGAGGCCGGAACGACTTCGAGTATAATGCTTACCCAGTTACGGCCTCTTTCCCAAATCTTGCCCACCTCGACCTGATTGGAACCATCGGTACGGTCCCTGCCATCGTCCTTTAGCGCATCATCCCACATGTCAGTGTTGGCATCAATCTCGAATTGCGGGCAGAGTACAGTGACAATGCTTGCAAATCTGCCTGGTGTGACATTTGGGGTTGCCAGTGACACCTTGATGTTCTCGAATAACGGGTTTTTGAAGGTGAGGATGTATTGATAGGGTCGCGAGGGTTTCAACAGGCCCTCCTCTGATATTCCAGGGCGATAAGTGACCGGGATGGGATTGGACGTTGGCTGCAGAGGCCGAATTGTGGTCGTCGGGATATATGATCTTGCGACAAGTCGGATTTTGTACCTCGTCGACGTGACTTTGTTTTCCGGCTTTGAAAGAATATGCCTACAGGCAGGGCACCGCTTTGAACGCTTGGTGCGAAGCAGATAGGGGATTGGCCGGAGTTCGTCTTGGAACTGAATGCCTTCCAGCTGGTTCTCCTTTTGCTCAGCTCCGACGGTACACTCCCATCCACCTGTAGTTAGCTTCTTGATAGAGGAAGAGTCGTTGAGCTGAGCCAGCTTGAGGCCCTCATCAGTGTTTAAGGCTTCACGCATGACGTACGGCACACCCTGCTGGGACTTTTGCCCTCCACGGCCGGTATACAACGACATGATCCGTGACAGGGCGGCAGGAGAAGAAAAGCCGCCATCATGCGTCGATAGCCCTCCCATCGCAGAGCTGACATCTGCCAATTGAGATTGATAGAATGACTTGAGATTCGCAAACTGCAAATCGGCGTCAACTAGGTCGTCAGGGAGCGGGGTATCGTCGTGTGTCTCTTTGCGACGCTCCTTAACTTCCTTGGCTGTAATTTTTGGCTCGCCGCCATTATTGACTCGGGACAATTGAGAGTGTATGCCACTATGTCGGTCGAATTCGATTCCGATCTCGCGGGAGGACCAGTTGCAATATTGACAGATGAGGGCAAACGGACCGGTGCTTGTGGTGGATGCGCCGTCAGGCCCTAGGAGCTTTGTCTCGCTGGCATTCGGTACAGCAACAACCTGTACAGGGCCAATGCAATTCGGACATTGATAACAGCTTCGTGTACATCTGTCGGCGCATGTTTAGCACTGCCACCGCAGATATCCAAGTGGCGGACACGTACCTGGTGCCCTCGCTTCGAAGGTTGCTACTAGGAACTTCGAAAAGGCAATTCGGGCAGAAATAGGTGACCGTTTCCTCTGTCACACAGCGTGGGCAGCGAATTTGCTGGCAGTCTTCGCAGTATAGCAGATATTCAAGAGGGTATAAGCTGTAGCTAGATCGAGGAGCTCGTGGATCGAATGTGCGATCATCGTCGTCGGATATTGTGGTGGTCGGCGAGTCCCTGCCAGCATCAGCTGGAGGCTGGTCGGAGCATGAGCATTGAATATACGTATACGGGGTGGTTGTCGCCATTCTAAAGCCCCATACCGGCTGAGAGCACCATAATCCAAGGTCCGATCAACGCAGACGATGCAGCTGGCGACAGGAGAGTGACTGGGGAAGACCCACTTTCGTTGAGCTCGGTGAGCTCGGTGAGCTCTACGGTAACAAGACAAGGCACAATTATTTCCATCGTCTCTGAGCACATCAGTCAATTAAACAAACTACGGTGCAAATATCTCTGGCGGATTTTTCATACCCTCGGAGTGACCGACAGCCGCTACTGAACTCTCCTAAGCCGACGGTCAATGTTGGGAGTCGATCTGCCGGCCGCAGCGACGGCCAGTTTCGGGTAGCAAGGAGTGCTTTCTTCAGCAGTACTTGCGTTGACGAGCCTGACATCGCGCCGCTTCGGCTAGCATTACTCAATCACAGTCCCAAATCGAACGTCTCCTCCAAGCTCTGCCACTGGCCATTGTGGCGTTTTGCCATGCCGGCGTACTCCGACGAGACGCGACGAGCTGCAGACAGCATGCGTGTCACCGCAGATAAGCTTTGTAAGTGATACATGCGAGGAAGAAGCAATTTGGACGTGAATCGCGGTAAACGAGATGCACACCGATTCAGGCAATGGAATTTCACCCCTATCCATCGTGTTGCAACATCCGCGCAATTGGGCTATTGGGCATCAATGGGAGCAACTGGATTCTTCGCTGTTGGCCCTACGCAGGTAGTTGACATTTATTTAGCACTTCAACCGGACTATCAGAGAACTTTTCATGATCGCACGACTGCATTTTCTCCGCTCAGACGCCATGGCCCCTACTTGTCCCACAGCCCAAAGAACACAACGTTGGCCGCCTGGAAAGCCTCTGCCCCTCCGCAGCCGAAAAGCTGAGCAAAATACAGCATCGCTCCCGTTGTGTTGATGGTGTAGATTGGCACACCATGACTTCACTTCTCATGAGAGGGGCTTTGCCTTGCATGCGATCATCAGCTCAAATGTCAATGATAATCATCACAGCTGCAGCTCCCGCTGCTGTGGAACACGGGGATGCTGTCAATACCAACTAAATTAAAGATAGCGCTGCTGAAAGCTGCGTCTGCCTCATGTCTGCTAGGCATTGTACATGAGAGGCAGTGGCGCCAGGCTCAAACCCAGGAACTGGAGGCGCATTAACTATTTCACAGGCGGATATTATTGGATTGATGGGGCAAAGCCACCAGGACGCATAATATTTGCCGCTCGCCTAGAGACTTGTTACAGCCACTGGAACAGCTTGGAACGGTACCTGGGAGACTAACGTTAGCAACTGATGACCTGACAACAACCGTGTCTACAACGGATGGTGGCTTCTGTTGGCGCTCATTCCTTCTAACTACCAGTTCGCAGCTCTAGAGTAACGAGAACTAGCCCTATGAAAGGGAGGCAACCACACCGCCTCGGTATATCTCAATCCCGTTGCTAATAATACTAGTTATCAAGCCACTGTTGAAGCCAGCGTGCTCCAACACGGACTAGTGTTACCGAGCTGTGTGCCACCAAGACCCGTCCATCGTTATTACACCACACACACCAAAAATCTTAGATTCGTCATAGGCACTTTGAGAATGCCATGTCCGCCCTCGTCAGGGCAACCAAAATACCCGTTGACCGTCCCAGCGCTAGAAGTTTGGGTCTTGGCCCTGCGACCAGACGAGGCCGGGAGTAACCTTGAAATTTACGAGGACGACAATTGGATTGGCCAATTGAAATTGCCCAAACTTTGCCGAAAGCTCCCCCCCACCAAGCGAAAAGAAGAAGAAGAAGCAGACATACCCAGCTGAAGGCCAAGGAGCTAATGAGCCCACGTTGGGGTTGAGGCGAAAGGCTGTACCCGGCAAGGCACGAAGAACAGGGGCGAGGGCCAAAGCACCGAGCTTTCATTTTAGTCAAACTGCGCAAAGAAACTCAAAAAACTTGTAGCCAGCCAACTTTTGGGACGATCAGGCATTCGTGGCCAAGACATGCCCGATGAACTGTGCAGCGGTGACAGAGAGCTGGGTTGTCCCAGGACGCTGAGTTCAAGAGCTAGCTCGACGCTGGGCGCTGTGCCAACAAAGCAAGGCGTTTTCTTGATGCATGTCTTTCGTCATTGGCTGCTGCAGGGATATGTCGACCACCCTCTGCGACAGCGTGGGCAGCTGAGACATGACATGCACGATTGATGATTGCAAACTGGGACCTGGCTAGTCCATTTCCAAGTACTCTGTATTCGCCAGCAAGTCACAGCGGCGCCTACAGCCATGGGTACAGATTACAGACAGCTAACAATCCCCAAGCTGCGGACTGGGGGCGCATGTGGCCGATCGAGCTGATACTTGGGGACCATATTAAAAAGTCCTTGGCCCCGGACAAGCTCCTGTCGGAACATCCCTCTCTGCTCTTTCCGAATTCTCAAGCAAGCTTTCTTGTCCTCTTTCTTGTGGTCGAAGCTTTCTTTCTTTGTCTGGCTGGGTAATCGCTGGCGATGCGGCGTACCTCTTGAAATTGCAAGGGCAAAAGTGCCGCGGGCTAAAGAATCTTTGACATCCCTTTTTTGCCCGTCTGTTCGGGAAGCACTGCATGGGGGACGCTTGCACAACGGCGCGACCGGACCGGAAACGAACGATTCTCTCGGGTGGCTGCTACATGACGACAGAGGAACGAGAAGCTCGTGTCTGGCAAAATTCATCTCAGCTCAACACGCAGGCTGTGTGACAAGGCGTACGGCTGCTATTGCCACAAGCGCTTCCCGTCTTTGTCGTCACCTTTCTCTTTGTATCAGTTATTTTTTTCCATAAGGGGATCCGGCATCTTCCTTCTTTGTCTCGCTCTTCTTGCGCGTAATTCCCACACGCAAGGGGAGCCTCGAATCACTTCGCTGCTCGCCAATGATGCTGTCAACTGATTCTCAACGACACCATGATGGCGAGATGCGGGCCGCTGCCGCGCCGACTATGAAGCTGTGGGACGGACGCAACCGAACGACAATAGAATGGAGCGGACCACATCGAGTAAGCAATATGTGACGGCCTAGGTGGCTATCATTGACTGACCATTTAAGGAATCTCACTTATGGACTGCTAACGGGAACTGTCGCGTCTATTTGTATGGCAAGGGACAGTGCAATGCTGGTGCCTCGTTTCGTGTCGACTTTGCTACCTTGCTTAAGACGCAATGTCATATATTCATCGAAAAGTATATGGACAGCTCAAGTCATACCTTGGACAAGTCAAAGACCGACGTCAACGGCAATCGACTAGGCCCCAGACGAAATGTATCATTATACATACCAGCTGCGCCAGGTAGCACTCGCTCGGAGATTGCACGACAACATCTTTCAGTCCGCAACCTTCTGGCATGGGTGGAAGGGGTTCCCCTGGTTGGAGCTCATCTCGGCGGAGAGATTGTGACTCTGTTTCGAAACATGGTTACATACCGACTGCCTGACACGGATTCAACTGCAGACCTGTTGGCGTATCTGGAAGCCGTCGGATATCTGGACATGGTGGCACAACCAAATCATGCACTCGCCACTTTGTACGTTGCCGAATATCTCCGCCATCGAGACCTATATACCCGGGCATTTGTACATTGCGTCGGCATGGGAGATCGAATATATCAAAGCAGTGAATATACTGTGAGTAGGCAGTCTGTAAACGACGACGATTCAGCTAACACGGAGACTTAGAAAACCAGTCTTGTGTCAAGAAAGCTCATCAGAGCCGCGAGCCGCGATCTGAAGATGAAGCTCAATGGCGCCATTGAGGACCTAGGCTCATTTCTCGACGAGGAGCTGTCGGAAAGCCGAATTGGCCTGCCCCATGGCATGCGCACGCACTTGGACCGATTTCGCACCGTCCTACTCACTTTCTACACGGCCAAGTTTGGCTACTTTCCACCTCAAGATTTCGACGCAAAAGTTGTGCGGGCCATGTTGGAAGATTTCGAAGCCCTGTACGATCTCTTGGTTGATGACAGAGTGGGCGCGGCCGGCATGTTTGGCGGAAACCCTGGCGGTGGGTTGTGCATTTTGCAAATCCTCAAGACTTTTGACAGCCGAAACTCGTTCAAAACCTGTCAGCACCCTCTGCCTCTGCTTCCAGATGCCTCCGAGATTCGCAAGACGCGCCGCATGTCATGGCTTGGCCGTGGAGACATGGAAAAGCCAGCCCATCGGCTTATTGCTCATACGGCGCTGATCAAGGCCTCTAATTGCCGCGAGTCGTCCAATAAGAATGCTCTTGTGCGAACATATCACGATTTCGAAGGAAAATCACTAGAGCCGTCCGTGGATAAAGGCGGCAAGCCGTGTACTGTGTCGATTACGGACGCCCGCAAAGTGCGCTGGATCTTGATCTATGCCATGTGTCAGGTCCTGCGCAGCATCTCACAGCATGCACCGCAAGTGGCGGGCGAGCAAGCACCTTATTTCCTCAGCGCATCTGTGGCCGAACTCCCACCGTGGCAGACGGCCCTCGACACGACAGTTGAGCTGGACATGTCTAGCAGCGCGCTACCTACTATGCCTCTACCTGTTGACGAGCCTTGGCAGCCCCGATTTGCCGATGGCGTAGAAATAAAACCGGATATCGACTATCTCGCGCTGACGCACAGTGCGGAACGCCAACAGCCGGAGAAGCTGAGGCGCAGACAGTCCATGCTAGTCGCGCAGGCTACTGGATCGCCGACGAGGCTGTCGGGCATGAATTACGTGCCAGTCACTGTCCTTACGAGACAGTCCACAATACGAAACTCTATCAAGCGGCGACTACGCCCGCGCACCGCACACGCTGCATCGACAGCCTCGTCACCCATGAGCAAGAGCGCCTACCACGAGATTGTCGTGGAAGGATACGGGAATGGTACCAACGAGGTCAAGCTCGAGCGGCGCAACACGGTGGGGTGCGACAATTCCGAGGCTGGTAGATGGCCTCCTGCCATCTTGCCGCATGATTCACGCCTCCCTGTCGTGACTACCATGGTCGTTGCGTCTGGCGCCGCTCCCACGGTGAGCTGCAGTAGCTCCAAGCGAAGCAGCAACGTGAGTTCCATGGAAACAAGCAACTCGCAGAGCGGGTCGGACCCTGCGTCACCCGCCACCATTTCCACGCCCGAATTCGAGCAACACGCCATAGTCGAGCCCGTCATTGTCCGCAACTCGTCGCACAAGAGCCTCACCCAGCGGTACCCGATGAAGTCGGTGCTGGACACCATCAGCCGCACCTCGAGCAAGCGCCGCGCCTCCTTTGCCAGCTCCATTGGCAAAGAGCCGCCGCTCTCCTCCCTCCCGGCGCCGCCGCAGCCGCCGCAGTCCTTGCCGGGCAGCCTGTCGCGGGCCCCGAGCGTACGCAAGAGCTTGCTGCCGGAGAGCTGGACGCTCCCGGGGCGCGCGACGCTGCGGCAGGATATTGACGAGGAGGACGAGATGCTGGCGCTGCAGGCCGAGGCAGATGAGTGGATTGCGATGCAGTCCTTTTTGGACAGCGACGTGTCGGAGACGCAGATGGCGGGCGGCATGGTCACGCCCGGGTGGGAGCAGTATCATGATCTGGGCGGTCTGACAGAGGTTCGGTGAGAGCTGTTGCAGGCAGGCGGCGAGAGACGACTCTTTCAAAGGGCGAAGTGAAGTGAAGGAAGGAAGAGAGCATTTTACTAATACGCAGCAAAGCTGCCATTGCCCAGCCCGAGGCATCTAGTATCGGTGCCAGAGACGACATACCTGTTCCATCATTCCATTGTTTTTTGTTTTGTTTATTAATCTACTGAAATCTACTGAGACTGCTGTTGGGATGCTGCACACACACATGTGCATCCTCATGGCCTCGGGCAGAGGTGTTTTACGGGGCAAGCATGAACGTGCATGGAATGATACCCAGAGAACAGCCTTTTCGTTGCTTGTTTTGAATTGACTTGAAATACAATAGATTTCATATACACGAGACTCCATCACATCCTCATGCACGTGCCTGACTTGACGCGATATATTGGCATGAACAATCGATTCGTAATGATACTGGGGGTATAATGATTACCGAGAGAAATACGACCAAGGAAAACTGATAAGCGCACGCGCGCGTGCCAAGACATTTCAATCATGAAAACCCGCCCAGCGTTCCCTCCATCACTCCTTGTTCCCCTTTTCGCCTCGTTCACATTCAAGTTGCAAGCTGTTTTGTTCTCGTGTCGTACTGTACAAGGATGGAAACAACCGGCATGTATATTCGTGTGTAAAAGACGCAGCCAACCCGCAAGGCGTTTTTTTTTTTGTTCATTTCGTGTCCCTTTCTTCTTACTCGCCCTTGACATGCGAGGCAGTCTCGATTGCGCGAAGAATGTCGCCGCCGAGGGAGTATATCATCCATGTCGAGCCGACGAGCCAGGCGCCGCTACGCAAAAGGTCCGCTGTTAGCAATTGTATACAGCGTGTTTTGGAGGGGGGGGGAGGGGGGGGGGGGGGTGGTTGTCAACGTACTTGGGAATGATCCAGAGAAAGATGAGGCTGACGAGGTCATTGTGGCCGATGTTGTCGAAGCCGCTATAGTATTCGTTGAGCCCTAATAGTCCAGCAAACGGCACCACATGGTTAGCGTCTTTCATTTCTCTCCCGCCCGATGCGCCGCTTGCAAACGGCTTGCCCCAACATACAATAAAGGAGCGTCTTGGAGAGCGTCATGACGGCGGCGCTAAAGCCGACCAGGACGGCCCGGGCGCCGGCGCGCCCCGTCACGGCCCTCCTGCGGCGGCGGGAGCCCTCCCCCCCGGCGGCGGCGTCGACGGCCTTGGTCAGGCAGACCCAGGCGTAGGCGAGGTACATGACGGTCTCGACGGCGTTGAGGGCGCCCTGGGCGGCGGTGAAGCCGCTGCGGGCGTGAAAGGCCTTCCAGCCGTAGACGTGGTCGACCTGGCCGTAGAGCTTGTACGGGGCCCAGAGCGGCCAGTGCAGCCAGCCGTGCTCCATCGTGTGCGGCCGGCCGAGCACGTACGCCGTGTCCCAGATGACGAGCGGCAGCGACACGCCCAGCCAGAACAGTGTGGCCGCGTCCGGCGCGTGCGACCAGCCGCTGGTGGTGGTGGTGGTGGTGGTGGTGGTGGTGGTGGTGGTGGAGGGCAGGGGGGCAGACTTGCGGCTGCTGCTGGTGCGCTTGCGCGTCGGTGTCGCGGGTGTCTCCGGGGCGGCGCTGCCGGCGCGCGACGAGGAGGAGCGCGTGCTGACCATGGTTGCAGAAAATAAAGGAGAGAAGGGAGGAGGGGCAGCAGCGAGGGGCGCGCGGTGGATCGATGGGGGGTCGGTGGAGGGGATCGAGGGATGCGATGGAGAAGTGAGGGACGAATTGATGGATGCGCGCGCGCGCAAAACGGAACGAGGAATAGTTAGGTGACGGGTGGTGGTGTTGATGGGAGACGCGGAGGGGACACGGGCCGAACGGTGAAGCTTGGATTGGTGTGGATGGCCGTAGCAACGGGCGCAGCGACAATGAGCAATGAGGCAGACGAGACCAGTCCACGACGGGTTTGCAGATCAAAGTCAATCGTAACTAACTACCTAGTAGGCCAAGAAGCTTTGTGTTTACATTGGGTTTACTCTTATTTTGAACCCGGACTGTCACTGTACCGGTTTCCACTCTCCCGAGTCTTGGAGTTCTCGGCAGTGGTGGGCACCGGCCGAGTAACTACCTAGTTACACTAACTAATAGTTAACTTGGCTAAGTTGAATTGGTGCGCGACGCCTTCACTAGGTTTAAGGTACCTACCTAGTTAATATTAGTCCGGCTTCGTTTGTTTACAATGTTGCCATCTGCCATGTGAAACGCCTTCAACACACTTTGAAGAAACAATGCGAGGCGCCCTCGAGAGCAAATGTCGGTCCCATCGCGCCCGCTGTCTTTTGCTTCCTTGCCCTGAACGACCCAAAATTCACGGTGACGCCACTGTACCTTTTGGCTTGTTTACTTTTATCCACCACGCTTCAGGCTTCAGCTGAGCACATCGCAGGGCCTCGAATAATGTACTTCTACAGATGTATAGTACACTCTTTCGCCCTTTTCTCCTTTATATGATTCCATCGCTTGTCTGACAATGCACTTTCACCTAGGTAGGTACTTTAGTCCCCTGCACGACCTCTCGGATCTCTTCTCCTCCGAGGGGGCTGCATACGCCGTCGCCACAGCTCGTTTATGAGCACCTTAGTCCTATAATCCTGCCCAAATACGGCGTAGGGCATTCACATCCTTGCCTTCATGTAGTTGGCCTGGTGCATTGCAACATAACTTCCAACTAGAAAGAACTAGGTATGAATTTCGTCTAAACATATGACTGTCGAAGCGGTCTAATCGCATCCGTCAAATTTCTCAGTGCCTCCAACAGCCTCTTGTCCTCGTCTTTGCGCAAGCCAAGCAAGCCAATATTGCCCTCACCGTCGCCCTTGTCCTTGTCCTCGTCCGCCGGGTTGATGAAATACGGCCCCTCGGTCGGGCACTTGGTGTGGTCCTTGTCCGGCAGCTCGCCCGTGGCGAAGAACTTGCCCACGATGCGTGCCGAGCATGGCGACGGTATCGCGAGCGAGCAGTGCCCGTAGCCTTCCACCTCGACCAGCTTCGCGCCCACAAACGCCGCTCGCGCGACTTTGGCATTGACAAGCGGGCAGATGGGGTCGTACGTCGTCGAAAGCACCAGCAGCGGGTGCAGCGTCTCGACGTTATGCCGCGCCGCCTGGAAGTCGTGCGTCTTTGCGATGCGCCACTGGGCGCGGTTCATGTAGTGCCCGAGATTGCCAGCGCTGTAGGGCAGGTATTTCTTGATATAGGGCACGATAATGTCGAGTGCATCGCTCTTCTTGGCCGGCCAGCGCGACTTGCCCGCAGGCGCGTCGTTGGACTCGACAAAGCGACCAGAATCGTCGTTGCGAGTGTCGGCATCGCTCAGATTAAGCCCGAGACCGCCCCAGGCAATGAGCGCCCCGGTGCCGTTGCCTTGCATCAGCTGCGCGAGGTTGTCGGCCAGCGAGTACCACTCCTTGGGCCGGTACAGGTGGGAGAAGACGCCGTCCATGACGGTAGTGTATTTGATGGTTCCAAAATAGGTGCTGTTGACGTAGACGGATGCTGGTTCTTCTTTGAGGCTCTCGATGAATCTCGTTACGTTGCGCTCCAAATCACTCTTCTTGTCGGCGACAAAGTGCAGCGGACACTCCTTGCCCGCCTTGGCGCACTCGTCGAAGAAACCCGAGAAAACATTGCTAGTATCCACGAAATCCGACTCCAAGATTCGCTCGTCGTACCAAATGAAGTCGTCTACCACGCCATCAACAATGACACGCTCCGACCGATTCGGGAACAACGTTGCGTACGTCTGTCCCAGCACAGTGCCGTAGCTAAAACCCCAGTAATAGAGGTTATCCTGCCCGACGGCATCCAGAATTGAATTCATGTCCGCCGCCGTCTGAGGTGTGCTGATGTGTGGCCCATACTCGCCCATGTTGTCCGCGCATGCCTGCATCAGGTTGCCCGATTCGCCCCACAGCTTGCTGTCCCGGGATACGTCGCCCGTCCACTCCGGCGTGAGCTCCAGCCGGTGGTCGAGGCTCTCGAAGCACTCCGCCCGGGGTCGCGATCCCGCGATGCCACGCGGATCAAACGATAGCAGATGGAATTTGTCCTCGCCGACAATGGCGTGGACAGGGCCACCCTTGCGCTTCATAAAGCCGATGCCGCTGCCGCCAGGGCCGCCAGGGTTGAGGAGGATATTGGTCGTGGCATTGGCGCCGCCGCGGCGTCGGATCAGCGGGAGATAGAACGTTTTGTTGCCAGATACCTTGGCGTCAAACTGGTCAATGGGTACATTGATGGAGCTGCACTCGACCGGCTTGCCATCGACCTTGCCGCATGGGCTCCAGGTGATGGATTCGCCGGGGTACCGCAGCTCATCGCCCTTCGTGCTGCCGGGGCGGACGAGAAAAAAGATGGCGACAGCGGCCACGATTGCAGCGACCATGGCAAGAAGCGACCAGATGATGGTTCGCTTTCGCTTCCAGATGGGCGGCTCGCGGAGGGCGGCGGCCTCTTCCTGGGCGTTGCTTGGCAGCAGAGGTGCCCGTTCGCCGTCCATAACTGCGTTCGGGAGACGCTTCTGTGCTCTGGTAGCTGTGAGCCTGTACGGCGATTCAAATTTCAAAGTAGGAGCTGTACCAGGTTATAGAGAATAAGAATATGGATAAAGATGCTCCCGCAGCTAATAATTGTTGATGAAACGAAGCTTGTGCAAGCACGCCTTGTGCCCTGGAGCTGAAAGAGGAGAGGCAGCCAGGCCATAGAGGTCACTGATGGGTGTTAGGGCCGGGTACGCTTCACGGTTGCGCCTGATCGATAAGCCCAGACAAGTGCCCCAGGCACAACTGCCAAATCAAATGTTCAGATAAAACCGCTTCATTTGTCCTAGCTAGAATCAGTGCTGGTATTCATGCTGTCTTTAATTGCTGTAGTCTTGCGACGCATGCAACAGCACTCGCACATAAGTATTTATTTACAGCACCGCACGCACTTCATCAAAGTCGAGATACACAATGCAAGTCCATATTGGCAGCCACGGATTAGAAGCAGCTTTAATTAGTAGTTACAAGCATATACTATTTACTCTGAAACGTGTCGCCTCCACCCTCCAAAAATGCCTTTTCCTCGGCAGTCGTCTCCCGTCCCAACGCCTCGTTTCGATGCGGATAGCGCCCAAACTGCTTGATGATGTCCTCGTGGCGCCTCGCGAAATCGAGCTGCGCCTGCACCAGCGCCCTGGCCGCCTTTGGTTCCCGATGCACGACCCGCCACGCCCGTCGCCTGTACGCATCATTCGGCCCCTCGTCCTCTTCCCCCTCGGCCAGCAGCGCTTCAACGTCACGTGCGAGCCCCTCGCACTGCCGCCGGCACTCGTCATGCATGGCCGCGTCCTCGGTGTGCTCATACGGCAGGTAGAACCACGTCCGGAACGCGAGCTGCCACCGCATCTCGGGCGCCTCGTGCGGCACGCCCGCCGCCACGGCCGCCTGCGCGACGGCGAGCGCGATCGGGTCAAAAACGGAAAAGACGACGCGCGCCGCGGCCCCGCGGTAGCAGTTGCGCGGCATCTGGTCGAGCAGCAGCACGAGGCCCAGCCAGGAGCACGGCGTCGTGGGGCGCGCGAGCCGCAGCAGTCCGGCGCCGTCGAGGCCGGACGCTTGGATGGCGTCGAGGGCCGGTTCGAACTGCGTTCTAAGAGGTAGGTACATGGGTTAGCATGAGGCGGGTTGACGTGGTTGGCTTTGTTGGGCTTCGTTGCACTCACAGGCAGGCCTTGTCAAACTCGGCGCCGCCGGCGTACCAGCGCTGATGCGCAACTTGCCCGGGTATGACAAGATCATCGTCGCTAGGCAGGTGCTCGTACCAGAAATCGCGAACCGACTTGAGAAATCCTGGGGTCAAGACCTTGTCGAGCGCCATGGTGCTGCTTGATGGAGTCGTCTGCTTCGCTGGCGAGGCTGCAAACGGCGCTGTCGATGTAAATGCCCGTGTGTTTATCGGGTGATTTCTCCTGTGACTGAGCGTATCAAGGCCGCTGCTAAATCGAACCACTGTCCTGTAACAGGGTTCGCACAACAAGAGGCCGCGAGACGATGACGACGTGGCGTGGAGATGGTGCGGCGATGATGCGACCGACGAACCGATGGACCGTCGCGAGTTTCGAGACAGGGTGAGCAGGGCGCTGTGCGATGCCATGAGCTACTGCGTACGAATGGACGCGATGCAGCCTGTGGGTGATGAAAGGAAAAAAGATACGTAGCCGTGCTTACGGTCAAAGCTTAACTAATTCTTGCCCGCTGGATCCGGATCCGGTGGGATTCGGGGGCCGAATGATTTAGAGTAGCTCGTGTGGACCAGCTCCACCGATCCATCACGATGCGTCGATGCTAACCAACACCAAGTCGCTTGCAAAGACAATACGTCCTAAAAGTCGAAACAGACAACTGACAAATGAATAGTATTGTACGGAAACGAACGGCTCCTTTGTTTAACACGGGATTATTGGCGCCACTGCCCAAACTGCCCGTGTATTTATATCACGGGCCTCCTGAATGGATGAGCCTCCGTATTGAAGACGTATTGATCCAAACTAATCAGATCAGGTGGAGAAAAGATGAGATAAAAGTATTTGAGCGTCTCCCCAAACCAGAAGCTCTATTGACTGTTAGCGTAGGACAAAAAAATGAACAAGAAAAGCACAGCAAGGGATGTACTCACCTCCATGTAATCGTCCAGATTCTGTTGTCTCGAACCTTCGTCGTAGACGGTGACGACATCGAGAATGGCCGCATGGCCATGCGTCGTGCGCGAGTGCTTCTCAATCGACTCAAACATTTTCCATGCCGACTCCTGGTACTCGGTGTCTCCCGTCATGCGGTAGAGCAGAAATAGACTCTCAATGGCCTCGGGGCGGAGCAGGTAGCGCGGGTCCTTTGCTGTGGTGAAGCCTTTGGGTAGGGTGTCCTTGTACTCCCTGCGGGTCTCGATGCCCTCCTCCCAGCGCTTCTCGTCCCACGGGCACGTGTCGGCGAGTCGCGGCTCGCAGGGAACCGTGTTGAACCGCTCCGGCATGACGCCGCTCGCAAAGGCGTGGTAGACGTGCGCGCAGCCCCGGGCGAGCTTGCCGCCGACAGCCACGTCCTCGGGGCTCACCAACAGCTTGCCGGCGAGGGCGACGGTGCCGCCGATGAAGCACGTCAGGTGCTCGCTTTCCGGGTCAAATGTCGTCTCGCCGCTGGCTGTCGCCTTGGCGTTGCCGGACAGGAGAACGTCCTCGCCGCCGGGCAGCATGGGCCGGAAGAAGAGCTCCTTCTTGGCGGCGGCGAGGAAGTCCTTAGTCATGTCGGCGTACATGGGGTTGCCGCCGCCGAGAAGGGCGTGCATCTTGGGAAGGTACTCGTAGAGCGAGTCGGCGCTGCCGCCGAGGGTGAATTCTTCACGGCTCTTGGCGTCCCGGTTGGCGAGCGAGATCCACACGGGCCACAGTCCGGGGATCCGGGTGGCGTTTTGCTGGTCCCGGAAGAGCTCCATGAGTCGGTTGGTGACGTCGTAGTACTTGGGGTCTCCCGTCACTTGGGAGAGCCGTGTCATTTCGAGCGACAGCGTGCCGGGCGACGCAGAAACGACCCAGGCCTCGAGGCTCAGCCCCTTGCCGAGCTTTCCAGACTCAAACTGCATAAAATCCACCGGAAAGAGATGCTTGGTGTCAAAGGCTGAATAGAGCATATCACCGAGCTCGACAGCCTTCTTCAGCAGGGCCTCTCGCTTGCTCAAGTCATAAGCGGCGAGAATCCCGCCGAGGTAGCGAATGGTGGTCTCAAAGATGTTGACACGAGTGTCGGTAGATTTTCCAAAGTCAAGCTCGGCCACGACAGCAAGCGCCTCCTCAAACTCGTCCTTGAGCCCGAGCATCCAGAGAGCGTCGAGGCCGTCGACGAGGGTGGCCATCCAGCCCGAGAACTGGTTCTTGGCGGTGCCGGACTTGGGATTCAGGGCATCCATCTTCCAGGCAAACTTTTTGTAGTTGTGCCAGTCGTCCTGAAAGACGCGACGGACGGCCGCGCGCCGCTTCTCGCGGACCCGCGCGGCCTGCGGCGCCTCGGGGCCAAAGATGTGCTGCACGCTGGGCAGGGCGCGGGCCTGGTCCGCGGGCAGCGGGGTCACCTCGTCGGGCGGCAGATACGTGTGCTGGACCTGGCTCCAGTCGAAGCTGCTCTTCTTGAAGACGATGGGCGGTGCTGGGCCCTCGTTCATAAAGCGCTCCAGGCTCGGATGGGGCGCCGGGCCGCGGGTCTGTGGCACCGTGGCGAGGACGTAGTAGATGATGCCAAAGAGAGCCAGCCCGCCCACGATGGAGCGGACATAGCGACGAGGGGACGGGAGCATGCTGGCGGGGTCAGAAGCAACAGCCAATGCAGAATGCAGGATATCAAAGACAGAAACACAAAAAGGAGTGAAAGGAGAGACTGGCCAGCGAGTTTCACATTGGCAGAAGCTTTGTCGATTCGACTGGCCTCTCGGAAGCGTAGCAAGGGGCAATCTGAGTTGGCTGGAGGAACGGCCGAGTCACGCGACAGCGACAGAGTGAGTACCTGAAGCCGTCGGCCTCCTGAAGCTGCCCGCCTGAAGCCGCCCTCCCGAGCACTAAACGACAGTCAAAATACGGGGGTTTGATGCTTCTTTAGTGGGCGACAGCGGGTTTAAGTGGACTTCAGCGCACTTCAATGGCTGCTAAGAGCCCTACAGGCCCTTAAGGTCCAGCCACCCGCCGCCAAAAAGCAGCCACCCACCCCAGACGGCACCAGACGACCCACAAACCTTGATTGGCCCTGTAGCCCTCCAGATTCGACGCCGCTTTTACTTTACGGTACGTACCTGTCTCTGACCTCGTCGTCTTGACTTCTCGGGGAATGCAAGACAGAAGAAAAAAATGAAAACAACATAAAAGACACCTAACACGTGCAACAATCTTGCCATGTGACTACGTCTAGAGCATTGTAGCTCTGTTGTGTAGCTCTAGTGGTCTTTGTAGCCACGTCCACTAACACAACGAAACAACCTTCTATCAACTTCTTGCAAGAGTGATGCTTCACACACAGTCGTGGTTATACAGCCTAGAACAATAGATGAGGGATGCTGTAGACATCTCAAATACACAAAGAGTACTTGAACTCGACTCACGACCGAAGCTCTCGAGTAACACATGCCAACCGCGGCCAGAACCATTACTGAAGGCACAAAACATTCGTTCATTGAGTCGTAAGCGCAGGTTAAAGCAAAATATGGCCGCTATTTTATATAATAAAAATGTAAACAAATCACAAGTAGAATACTGCTCTGCCAACACAATGCGACACCAAGGCGTTGATGCCGTCGATAACGGGAATCCTTTTTAGAAGTAGTGATAATAATAATAACAATAAGACCAGAATACAGTTACAATGTTTATCAGAATCAATAACACTGTAAGCGCCACGGAGAACTCTAGTGGTTATTCTTTGTTGCTTGTGCTGTGATTCGATTCTGTCAACAGTCACACCACCACGAACCTGCGACAACAAAGTGTATAAAAAACCCCTTGAGATTTTATCTGGACAGGGTAAAAGTCATTGTTTAAAAACTACTTAAAAACTCCAAATCGCTTTCAAAAGTAGACCGAGAAACGCAGCATCCCGTCTCGCGGACGGCCTTGTAACAACGCACTCGAAATGTCTTCCCCCCAAGTTGTTAATAATGACAGACACAATCCCGAAATCATATATTATCTGTTAGAGTGCCAATCCATATCCCGTCTCGAATACTCTTACAATGCTCTTGATCACTTGCTCAGCCGCGAAGTGCCTCCCAATCAGCAAATGCTTCACCGTGCACCATCGAAACCATATCGCACGTTGAGGAGGATGCGCGGCCGCCTCTTCAAACAAACGGAAGAATCCGTCGTTGTTCAGCCCAACGAGACCAAGCCTAGCCCTCCACTCGTTGACGGCGACGACGACGACGGTTCGGCGAGCGAGGAGTCCACTGCCGACGCGGCCTCCAGCTACATCGATCTGGAGCGGCGCCTCCGCTCCAGAAGCTCCCTGGATCTGACGGCCGACACAGACGCCATCCTGGAGAGGGACTACTTTCACAATGTTCGCCCCATCTACGACGCCAGCGAGATTGTCCGGCGCATGACCACGCGGGACGGCGGAGAGCAGTACTTTAGTCCGCGGTTTGACCCGTACCGGGAGAACTGGCGACGGCTAGGCGCCGAGGGCACCATGGCGGGCCCGTTTCAAGTTCGCTGCCCGGGCCCGGTCGTGCCCGGCCCGCAGGGACCGGCGAGCGTCAGTATCGCCCACGTGTACCTGGAGGGCTGGTCGGGGACGCCCTCGGAAGACGAGCGCAAATCGTCCGAGTGGGAGCGCGCGATAGCCCTCGCCGCGGGCCGCCATCTGCAAGCCTCACTGCACCCCAAAGACGGGGAGCCCGCCCCGGACCTGCACCAGATGCTGACGGTGCTGGGCTTCCCCAGCACCGCGACGTTTGACCTCTTCATCCGCCGGCCGGCCATCAAGGCGGCCTTTAGCGAGCTGTGGCACGCGTGCCTGCGGCACCTGCCCGACGGTGACGGCGGCGTGCTCCCGGCGACCCGGTGCGGGCGGCGGCCCGTCGCCCTGCGCGTCCTGTACTCGCGTAGCTATGGCGGCCGCTGCGAGTACAACGCCCTGCTCCCGGACAAGGCCGGCTGGGGCTTGGCCTGCCACCTCGCGCGCTTCTGCCTCGCCGTGGAAAAGGTCTGCGACGCGAGCATGCTGCCCCCGATGCGCGGACAGATCCCGCTGCTGCCGGGCAAGGTGTCGAGCGCGGTGGTGGCGTGGGGTGGGATCGAGCTGGCGAGGACGCTGAGGTGTTTTCAGACGGGATTTCCAGGCAGGGCGCCCTTGATCGCTGATACTCCGTCTGTGTGAGGGAAATGTGGTTGACTCACTTGTTAGTTCGGCTTGTTTGTTTTGTACGAATAGACTAGACACGACTTTTGCAACTGCGATTCTTACTGCTTCTTCGTTGGGCCGACTTCAACGAGGTGAGCTACCTTTTGTTCCCACATCTTGCGCGACAGTCTTGGCATTTCCGACTCTCACTGCCAGAGTTTGACTCGCCTTGACTTTTTTTCATCATGGCTTGGTTTTACTTTTGGTGCCAGTGGAGCTAGCCAACCTCGACCGTATATCTCGCGTTCAGCCTCACGACTAGGCCAAGCAGGGCTGTTTTCAGCTGCACCCACTCTAGTCACCTTGGTCCAATTTTTTGCTTGGAAACTAGCAAGGGTATCGGGCACGATGACGGGAACTGTTGAAGCATAGAAGTTTCTTTGTTTGGGCAAATAAACAGTTACTGTTTGAAAGTGAGGACCAGGAATGGGCAACCAACAGGAGTACCAAAGACGAGAAAGATATACCAAGGTGTTTCGAAACAACCTCCACGGCTGGAAATAAGCCATCTGTGCCAGCGAGATTGGATCTGCACAACCAAGTGACCACGGGATGGCTGCCTTGAAAGATCAGCCCTATTCTATGTACACGCTTCAACGGGGCGTCGAGGCGAGACAGCCCCAGCGGCTTTAAAATGACTCCTGTCAGCCTAGGAGGCTTGAGTGCCGCCGCCACAAGCTCATGGTGGACCGCCTCACTTTGTTCCTGTCAGGGGTTAGCTATCCTTCTTTCTTCGCTCGACACCGCGCTCTCACCAAGCCAAGGCCGATCGTCGTCCAGGTGGAGCGGCCCAAGCTGCACCTGGTTCATTTTAGTCTTACATTTAGGCTTTCTCTTGACTTTTCAGCTTCTGAAAATAGTTAGGTGGTTATGAGTGCGAGACTGATGGATGTTGCTGGTCCGTGGGCCGGGTTATGTATAAGAGGATGCACCCCCATCCGCCATCCCATCTGACTGGTCTTTCGATCCTTGAAAGTTAATATTTTCACAAAGAGTAAACCATCTCCTTGTATCATCAACACTCTTATCAATTCCTCACTCACAATGCACGCCTTTGCCGTTCTGTCCCTCGTCGCCTCCACGGCCCTCGTCGCCGCCCAGCAGGAGACGTACGCCAAGTTCCAGCCTCTGACCAGCTTTGGCTCGCCGCTCGAGGCGCGCCAGGAGCAGACGTGCGCCTCCCTCGGCGGCAAGCCCTGCGGCAGCAAGTGTATCCGGATCACCTACACGTGCTGCGGCAACGGCCAGGGCGCCTGCGAGGTCGGCTACACCTGCGGCCTCGCGGCCAACGGCATCTACGGCTGCTGCCCCTTTGGCAAGCGCTGCAGCGGCGATGCCCCCGAGCCCACCACCAGCATCCTCGGCGGCTCCCGCCCGACCACGACCGTTGGCAGCGGCAGCGGCGGCGACGACGACGAGCCTACCCCGGTGCCGACGACCCGGGCCACCCCGACCAGCACCCGTCGCCTGACGGCCGTCACCACCAGCACACCCGCCCGCACCGCCTCGGGGACCGCCGAAGATACGCTCCCCAGCGCTGTGCCGACGAGCGGCTCCGATTCCGGCTCGGGTTCTGGCAGCTCAGGCAACGGTTCTGGCAGCGGAAGCAGCAGCAGCAGCAGCAGAAGCAGCGTCAGTACCGCCGTTAGCGGCGGCGGCAGCACTGGCGGCGCCGCTTCTTCAGCGGACAATGTCGGCGTCAGCCTCGCCGGTCTTGCCGGTAGCTTCATCGCCGCCGTCGCTGCTATTCTCTAGATGCAACGAGCTATAGAGGCGCATGTATAAGTTGGAGAAAACCCTCAGTTGCCTCGTGCATATGGCTGAGTTTGACGACGACGATGCATTCAAATACACATATTTAATACACAAATTTCATTATTAAATCAATTGCTCTCCATTCTTCTAATGTAGTTCTATTGTAGTTCTATCCATGCTAAAAGTCTATGCAAATGAAAACTGATATAGGTCGTACTAGCTCAGACGCAGCACACCTTCACACCACACTGCCCTGCTTTCTTCTATTCGTTTCTGAACTTGGTCCAAGATTCCATGGCAATGTTGGCAATCTGTTTACCCCGCGAGATGCCAATCTCATGGCCTCCCTTGACGACATGCGCATCCACAGCGTCAACACCAAGCACGGCGCGTGCGTCCTCGACACACTCGGCCGCCACGACAATCGGATCCTTCTCCGCCACAACGAGACATACGCGCCCCGTCGACAGCCCCGACGGCCGACTTCCCTCCGCGGCAGGCCCGCGCCTCCGGACCGCCAGCGCCTCGGCCAGCAGCGGCCACAGCGCCTCGTGCTGGGCATACACGGGCGCGTGGCGGATTGTGCTCACGTAGGCGGGCACGAAGCCGTCGTTGCCGTCAAACTGCCACTGCACGACGGCGCCGACCGTGGGGCCTCCTGGCGCGACCAGCACCGCGTCAAAGTCGACTTCGGCGTCGTCGGGCACGTCGACGCTCGTGTGGTGCGCGGGCGACGGGCGCAGGCGCGCGCGGGCGAGGCGCTGGATGAGCCACTCGGGCAGCAGGCCGCCCGGCATGTACGCGAGCCGGCTGCGTCGGGAGATGCGCGCAGGACGCACGAGGCCGCCGGGGCACACGAGCGTGGCGGACCGCAGCAGGTGTGCGTGGTACGCGGCAAAGGAGGCCGCGATGGCGCCGCCGAGGGAGAAGCCGAGAATGTGGAAGGCCGAGGGGCCAGTCCAGGCAAGGGGGGACGAGGACAGCGCGAGGAGGATCTGTGAGGTGTACAGACGATCGTCATAGGGCAGATCAGCTGGGGCATCCGAGTATCCTCTTCCGAACAAATCTGCCGCCGGTTGTTAACATTGTATATTTCTTTTTCTCTTCTTCGGTTGGGCGACCGAAACTCACCAAACAGCATGACTCTGCACCCCTTGGCGACAAACTCGCGGGCCATGTCGCCCAGAGCAATGCAGGGCGTGCCGATGCCATGCAGCAGCAGCACCTTTTCGCCCTCTTCCGGGCCCCATTCGAAGATCTGCATCGTGCCGTACGAGGTCCGGACCTGCCTCCCGCCCGGAAACTCGTCGAGGCGGTACGGCGGCGCCTTTTCCGTGGGTGAGGCGGCGTCCCGGGTCCGCGCGTGCAGCACATGGTGATCAACGGGTAGCGGTCTCAGGTCCACCAGGGCTGGCCGCACACGGAGGTAGAGGCCTAGGAGAAGGGCCCCTGTGGCGGCGCCGGCCATGATGGTGCCGGTGCCGGGCGGCCGAAAGAACAGACTGCACAGGTGAACCATGACCTGCGCTGAGGAGGCAGCCCCCACGACGTAGTTGGACTATAAAATTTGTGTTTTTTTTTTGGACTTGGTTCCGGTTGATCAGTCGTACTGGTCTACTGGGAAGAGGTACTTGTTGTCATTGTCATGTCGCTGGACCGAGGTGGTTTGCTCGGGGAGTTCGGCCAAGGCGTGAGTGGGCCGGTCGCTGCAACAACCCGGGATCTGCATGCAGTACAGAGTAGTTACTCTGTACAGGCGCTGCCCGAAGAAGACATGAATTTTTCGAAAAATCATTCCTGTCACTGCAACCAACTTGAAGAATTTCCCTATGACTTGACCACCCTCGGAGCTCTGCAAAGGCAACTTGCATGCCGTGGCATCTTGCCATGTCCCCACATATTCAGGAGATGCCAAAGTTGGCCACTCCGCACGCAGGAAGCCAGTCTGGCACTTTAGCCAGCCTGAAAGCCTTCTCGGAATAACGTGTACAGAATTCATCGCACAAACACCACTACTTATTCAGGTTTTGCTTCAAAATCCCATGAAACGTCACCACGAAATCTGATTCATGGCACCTGACGCGCTCCAGCTGCCACATCCTCAAGGCGAGCCGGCACAAGCAGCGCTCCCGCGGCGCGCCGTGAGTCCAGGCTCGACGCGGACCGGCATCGTCGTCTTTTCCGGCGGCAGCGCGGCCAACAACCTCGTCGACGTGTTCGAAAGCGTCCGTGCCGCCAACGGCACCTCGCTGAGCTACGTCATTCCCATCTCGGACAATGGCGGCAGCACCAGTGAGATCATCCGCGTCTTTGGCGGTCCAGGTACGACGACACACAGCCGATGCCGTCTACTCATCGTGGGAACTGAATGAACTGACATGGCACACACCCCCATCACAGGCATCGGCGATGTGCGGTCGCGGCTGGTCCGGCTGATCCCCGACGATGGCAGCGCCGAGACGTCGGCCATCAAGCACCTCTTCAACCACCGGCTGCCGAGGGACGCGGCCGCGGCGCGCAGCGAGTGGTTCGACCTCGTCGAGGCCGCGCACCCGCTGTGGCGTGCCATCTCGTCGCCCAAGCGCGAGCTTATCCGCTCGTACCTCAACAGCTTCAACCTCGAGGTGGTCAAGCGGATGCGGCCGAGCAGCCGCTTCGACTTCTCGCGCGCCAGCATCGGCAACCTGTTCCTCACCGGCGCTCGCCTCTTTACTGGTAGCTTCGAGGCTGCCATCTACCTGCTGAGCTCGCTCTGCGCCGTGCCCGAGCGCGTGGCCGTGCTGCCGGCGCTCAACACCAACTTTGCGCACCACATCGCCGCTGGCCTGGTCAACGGGGACGTGATTACGGGCCAGAATGACATTTCCCACCCGAGCCTGCCGACGGCGGCGGTGCCGGGCGTTGGCAGGACGGGGTCGCACACGCCGGCGCCGTCCGACTATGACACGGAGGACCATGACAGAATTGAGGACGCCAACTTGCCGGGCAGCTTGCCGGCGCTGCGACGACCGGCGATTAACTTTTCAAAGGAGATGGACGAGGACCTGCCGTCGCGGATAGAGCGTATATGGTACATTAATCCGTACGGCCAGGAGATCCGCATCCCAGCAAATCCGCGGGTGTTGGAGGCCATCCACACGTCCGACACGGTCATATACAGCATCGGCTCGCTCTTTACGTCTCTGATCCCCAACCTGGTATTGAAAGGCGTCGGCGAAGCCATCGCCAGTCCCCTTGTTCGAAACAAAATCCTGCTCCTCAACGGAACGCTGGACAGAGAGACTGGTCCGTCTACGGCGCCGTTTAGCGGAATGGACTTTGTCTGCGCAATCGCCAACGCGTGCGCAGACTCGCGCGGGCTGCCGCCACCAGAGGAGGAACAGTATTCTCTGTACGTGAGCCACGTCATTTATCTGGAGAGCACGCTGTCGCCGGTCGTGGACAAGCAGCGGCTGGCACGTGCGGGCATCGAGTCTACGAGACTGTACGGGCCCAAGGACGCGGCCGGGCTGGGCGGACGATATGACGCCAAAGCGCTGGCACAGGCTCTAGAGACGATTGTCGGTCGGAAAAACGTACGGCTGGACCGGAGCAGGAGGAATACACTCGTTGGGTAGAGGAAGCTCACTTGGCGGTGGCGGCATGCTGCATGGGGACAATATACACGCGCCGAAGAAACAGTTGCACGGGCGGAAGAAAGTGTTGGTGACTCCAACGCCATTCAATTTCAAGAGGAAAAATTAGACGACAGAAAGACAAAGACGATTGCTCCCAGAATGCTCCAATCCCAGCCCCATCATATCCTCCGAGGCTCCAAAGTCCATCACCCCCCCACACAAAGGTGTTCGTTCCGATTCCGTCAACTGTTGACCAGAATGTACAACATGACGACGGGCCACGCAGTGGAGAGCACCAAGGCTGCAAAGACAGACCCGGGCCCCGTCCGTATCTTGTCGCTCGGGCCCCTCCATCGATCAATGAGCGCACAGGTCGTCCAGATCATGAGGATGGCGTAGAGCGAGCCGGCCCAGAGCACGGCCATGAGAATGTCGGCGACTCGATCCTGTGGGCTGAGGACGACCTTGGACAGGTCTGGCTGGAAAGTCGACGACAGCTCGGCACCCATGATGGCGGTTGTTGTACGATGTGGATATACGGCGTTTTCCGACGAATTTCTTTTCTTCCGTGAAGAGAGCTGAGAAACGAGCGTTTATCAAAAGTCGATAATAAATGAAAGAAAGGGATCGAATAGTATTGGCCAGCAATGCGCGTCCGTCCTCGCCTGCGAAGAGTGTTGAATGAGAGAAGCACGGGTCCGGCGGCAAACAGGACAAAGATGGGACCAACAAAGGAGTGGAAGGGAGGAGGGGACAAAGGAAATGGGAATGGGAAATAAAAATAAAAGCGCGGACCAGCAGTAGAAAAAGGAAGAGAGGAACAACATGGGGCGAAAAGCTCTTGCAGTCTCGTCGTCCCCCCCAGGTTCATCCCGGTTTTGGCTCTGGAACGGGACTAAGAGCCAAGACCAGACGGATACCAAACCGGGATGCCCGGCGACCTTGTTTTCCCTTGGGCGCGCGCCCGGATTTCAACTGAGCCGTGCGATTGCCCGTCCAGTACTCTGCACAACCACTAACTTCTCCCCTTCCTTCGTAATTTTCCGTTGGGAGCCGCCCCGGTCCTCGCCATCTGGAGTGGGCATTCAAGTCGCGGACGTGTCGCAGGTCGGGGTTTTGCTAGTGGGGGCCCGGTGTGTTATCGTCTTACACGCGGCGTCTCACGATGTAAATGGGCTAGGGCAAAGACGGACGTCGCATGAAGAGCTGGGACGACGGCTGCGACAGGGTCTCTACCAAATCGTTTTTTTTTTCGGGAGATTTATTTGAGCGGGATCCAATCTTGTCTGCTCGATTGGTTGGTGCGGCATGAGGAAAGGACAGTGCGGTTTGGCGGGTTCGATCTTGGTACAAGTTATATATATGAATGACGGACTAACTATGAGCAACTTTAATCATGGAAATTCATTAAAGACCAGTATCGAAAATCTTGTCAAATTCAATCAATCAGAAAACAGCAAACAGTCAAAACAATTCCTTCCTTTCTCCTTGGCAGCGAAGAAAAAGCACCCTGAAACACCATCCAAACTCCCTAGCCGCACGACCACGCACACGACCAAGGACTGAACAGAAGCCAACCAAACCCATGCTCAGTCCCCGAAAGGGTATCGCTTGTTATTATAGTCCCTCATAGCTCGATCGCGACATCTCACATGGTCGCCGCGGCCATCATCCACGCAGTCGTACGAGCACGCCGGGCTTCCTCTGCGCCTCCCGGCCCTGTCTTCCTCCCAACACGGCCTCGACCACGGGCTGCTGCTGTACGGCCCTCCATTCAAAATGACCACCGGCGGCGACGCGTCTCTCGGGCGCGGCCCCCCATCATCATCATCACCACCGCCGCCGCCGCCCCTTCCCCTCCCCCTCCCCCTTGGCTTGGTCTTGGTGGCCTCGTTGCGCATGCTGCCGCCGCCCTGCTCTAGGTGCAGCAGGCAGCGGTCCGTGCCGGCGACGGCCTTGTTCGTGCAGCGCAGGCGCGCGCACTCGTGCTCGTGGCAGAACCAGCTCGACGTCTCCTTGTACCCCGCGCAGTTGTCGGCGCCGCAGCCGTGGCGCCCGCAGAAGGCGCCGTGGTGCAGCGCCGCGCGGTCGCAGCGCTCGACGGCGCACGCGTGTTGCGCGCACGTCCGCATCGAGGGCTGCCGATGGCAGCGGCTCTGCAGGCACATGTACGACTCGCACGTGTCTGTCAAGTGTCAGTTGTGCCGTCCGGCCGGGGAAAGTGTGTGTGTGTGTGTGTTTGTGTCCACGTACGGTTTTCACACCAGTTGCTCTCGCCTCCGTCTTTGGTCTGGCGCTGCTGGTTGCAGCCGGGCAGGCGGCAGACATTGTCTGCATGGCTGGGCTCGTTGCTGTGCCAGTTCTCGGCGTCGCGTTGGTGCATGTCGGGATAGGGCGGGGTGTCCTCCAAGGGCGATGCCGTGTTGCGTGTCGCCCTCTCGTGGGCTTCGCACAGCGCCGAGTCCGGACGGCGTTGTCCCAGGCAGCCCGCAACGGAGCACAACGTCATGTGCGTCGAGCAGAGACCGGAACCGCTCGGCGCCCCGCACGAACAGCCTGGGTATCTGCACTTGTCTAGAGGTAGTATCAGTGAGCGCCCGGCTCTGGTCAGCAAGGGAGGTACGTACGCCTTTCGCAGTGCCACGGCAGCGTCTCGTCGGATAGCCGGGTTGGCTGGACGAAGCAGCCGTCGATGGCACAAGTGGCATCTACCAGGAGGGATTAGTACAAAACGTCCACACAAGACGTTATCATCCTTTGCGTTGTGGATTGGCAGACACTTACGCTCTGAGCAGTACTTATCACCCCTTTCCTTCATCCGCTGACACTTGGGCGGGCCGAGCTGACAAGCATCTGCGACGCAACAGTTAGCCAAACCTTTTGTCTGTCGACGTGCACCGAGTCGCGGCCACGGAACGTACGAGCTAAACAGTAGGAAGCGTACGCCCTCTGACCTTCTAGAGTTGCGTAGCAGCATTTCGCATAGCAGTCCTGCTTGTAGCAGCGATTCTCCTTCTTTCCGTTCCTACCTTTGTCATCGCTGTAGCGCCCCCTTCTGTCGTTTCTGGGCTTTCTCTGCCTGCGCGCTGGAGACATGTTTGTAGCTGCTGCTTTGCAAAGGCGTTTGATTGTAGTCGAGAGTTATTTTTTTGCGGCCTGTGACTGCCGACGATCGAATTGCGTTGAGTGAGATGAAGACTGGACTGTACTTGGAGAGAACCGTCGAGTTTATAACCTACTTGTCAAGGCCACAACAACTCATAGAAAGAACTTGATAGTCCTAGCCTCGGGACTTGTTCTCATTGTTTCTTTCGCACCTGGAAGGATTCGGCTTGCATCGACGATGAGTCTTGTCCGCCTCGTCCCTTTTCTTCCCGCCTCTTTGCAGCGCCCTAACGGGAAGCGCCTTGGAGCTTGACAAAGACGGCTACCTACATGCCGTCCTGCCCAGCACCTACGTATCACCTTGAATCATGGCCATGGCTTTTCTTTTTTCGTCTTCGAGAATGTGGTCTATACAGATGACAACATTGACAAAGAGTATATAAGAAAGCGGCTTCCCACAATCGATAGTACGTTGCCTTTGTGTTGCCTCAACCCTTCTTTGTACAACACAGCCTCGTGCGATCCCGCTGCAGTGGAGCTGGACAGCTCCGTCGCGGATAGCCGATCATCGACCATTCATGCTCAGCCTCTATGACAGATGGCGGCTATCCTCGAGGTAGCACACGAGTGGCCCATTCAATTCCGAGTCTTCAAACGCCCTTGACATGCAGAACCGAAAGAAATGTAGTTGATCTCTACAAAGAAAGTAAGTACAGTATCGAATAAGTTTGCTATGTAATCGTGACGCTCATTATGCTGTTTCTGCGCACGCTCCTCCGCACAACCCCCTGTTTGTACTGGTCGCTACCATTCTACTGAAGCTTGGCAGACAGAGGCAGATTGCGAGAGCTGCTACCAACCCAAAGAGTCTTGGGGGCGTCTGTCACGACCCAGTTTTGAGCCTGAACGTCCCAGTTGCTAATGTCACGGCGAGTGAGCTCGACACGGAAGGTGGCAGTGGCGCCAGGAGCGATTCGCTCAATGCGGTCAAAGCCACGAAGAACGCGAACCGGCTCGCCTTCACCGCCGTGGCTGAGATACAGCTGGGGAACCTCATCGGTCATAGTCTTGCCGGTGTTGGTAATGGTAGCAGTAACCTCGTATATCACATCAAAGAGCTCGCGGTTACCACCTGGCGCACCACCAGCGGGATGTTTAGGCTGGGGGGCCGAGTCGATGGCATTGGGGGGAAGGAACTCATCGGCAACCTTGCCGTAGTTGGAGTCCCCGGAAGCCTCCCGCCCAGACGAAGTATTATTGAGCCAGGGGTAGATATACTGGAAGACTTGCTGGAAACCAGCCGGGAAGCCGTAATCTTTGAGCTCTTTGCTAAAGGTGCCGAAAGCAGGAGCAGCAATGGAATTGCCAGTGGTCGGGGTATATGGGCGGTCATTCTTTTTGACAACCTGGAGGTTGGAATACTCGAAAGTAGACCAGGAAAGACCAAAACCGAACTCGTAGACGGGAGCCTTGGGGTCGCTACCAGGCTTACCGTCTGACTCCTTGTCGAAGTGGCGATAGTCAAAGAACGCACCCTCGGAAAAGTCGTCTTGGGGAGCCCCATTGCCGTTGTTGGGCTTGTAGAGAACGTCGTTACCATATGACTCCTCGGAAGCGCCCCAAGTAAAGGGAGAGCGGCCAGGGCTAGTCTTGCCGTAAAGAATGTCGGTGAGAGAGTTACCAGACTCCTGGCCAGGCTGACCAGCCCAAACGATGGCAGTAACATTGACGTTCTTGGAAATTTCGTCAAGTAGAACGGGTCCACCACTGTGAATGACGACAATGGTGTTGGCACAGATGGCAGATACGTTCCTGATCAAGTCATCGCCGTTCTTCCAGAGAGTAAGGTTGTTGCGATCACCTTCGTTGCCGTCAACGGAGATGAAACCCTCACCAGCATTGGAGTTGGCAAAGACGATGGCTGTAACATTGGGCTGGCTAACGAGATCGCGGGTAGCGGCCCAATCGTAGTTGCTAAGAACGCTCTCATAGCGACTGCCATCTTTGATAGCCTGCTGCTGCAGAGCACTGTCCGGCGTAATGAGGTAGGGGAAGTTGGAGGTGCCGGAGCCCCAAAGCATAGCATTGGTGCCGTCATCACAGCCACGGTCGGGGCAGCCGTTGGGACCCTTGGGGTTGGGGCCAGCATCTTCACCAACAATAGCAAGGAATTTTGGCTTGCTCAGTGGGAGAGCACCGTTGTTCTTCAGAATGACAGTACCTTTGGCAGCGGATTCGCGAATGTGATTGGCATGGTTGGCTCGGACATCAACCTGGAAGTTGACTTGCTCCATTCTCTCCTTGGCCGCGGCGTGGCGGTAGTCATATGTGTTTCGGCTCCATGAAAAGAAGTTAGGGTCTTTCGAACCCTCTACAGTCCAACCGACCTTAAAGAGAGAAGCCATAATTCGCATGGCCATGTCGTCAATTCTGTAGGCGGGAATAGTGCCGTTGAGGACAGCAAGGGTCAGGTTCCCACCCCAGTAGCTGTGACCAGTGTTGAAAATGGTGTCACCAGGCATAGCCATGTCCATGCCAGCAACGGCGTTGGACACACCGGAATGCTGAGCCTGCCAGTCACTCATGACGAAGCCCTGGAAGCCATACTCATGCTTCAGGATGCCATTCAGCATCTTGGAGTTCTGGCAACCGTATGAGTTGTTGATCTGCTGGTAGGAGCACATGATAGAGCCAACTCCGGCCTTGACAGCGTCTTGGAAAGGCCAAGAGTAGTACTCGTGCATGATCTTGTCATTGACGTTGGACGAAAGGGTCTCGCTAATGTTGTATCCGTAGCCCTGGGCTTCGCCAACTTGACGGAAATGCTCTGTATCCCTAGTATTAGCATATGAATCGGAAGATCTTGGCAAAATATGGACTTACCCTGCTCATTGGCAATGTAGTGCTTGGCGCAAGCAACGACACCTGCACCCTGAATGCCAGTGATAGTGTTGGCCATGGCCTGACCCTGAAGGTAAGGGTCCGAGCCAAAGGCTTCACCGATGCGTCCGCCCTTGGCAAGACGACCGAGAGGGCCACTGGCGGGTCCGAGAAGAACGTCAACTCCCTTGTCGCGAGCCTCGGAGCCCATGGCGTTGCCACGATCGCGCCAAAGGTGACGAGCCCAGGAAGCTCCAGCAGTTAGGCCGACGGGGAAGGCACTGTTGTAATCGCTGAATCGCAGGCCCAGGGGACCGTCTTGCATACATAGACTCTTCATGCCCATGCGCGGCACAGAGCCTACGTTGCCGACACACCGCTCGCCCATCCAGCTGCCCGTCGGGTTAGTACTCATAAATCAAACCGAGCGGTAGATAGGGAACGTACCCAACACCGGTGGTGATGTTGACCTTTTCCGGTAGAGTCAGCAGAGAAACAAAGGCCTGAGCCTTTGCATAGGCGTCCTCCCAGCCGGATGCCTGGGGATCCATCCATGGCGAGGGGTAGAACGGGGGCGAGAAGGCGAGGGGACCAGTGTGCTCGCGTGCGTCGTTGGGGTTTTCGTTTCTGGGCTAGAATTGGGCTTGATTAGCTCGGGGTTCTTCGGCCATATTCAGGTGGGAAGGTGAACAATGCGCCGCGCAAGGATCGTTTTCGCAGAGCTCTGTGGCGCAAGAATCGGGTAGACAGCAAACAAGCAAGAGAGCTACACTCTCCGCAAAATCGGGTAGATGCAAGTTGCGCGTCATGATAAGCGAAGGGTACCTTACATAGTGGGCGGCGTCACTGCCAGCAGCAAGGAGGGCTGCGGCCACAAACGAGGTCGTCTTCATCTTTGCGAGGTCTGACTCAACTGACTGCAGCAGAAAGACAGGCGAATGACTGATATGGGATCGCTGCAAGGACGAAAAACCCCAGGAATGGGGGAATGGGTGTCTTGATATATGTACTCGGGTCACTGGCCGCGGAAGGGCCTCTGGGGCAGCAGCTTAGGCCCCCTAGGTAGGATCGGCAACTCGAATTTTTGGGGTACATGCTCACATCCTACATGGATTGATGGGATTGACACCATGTTCGTCATGGCGCGCAGGGGTAGCTTCTGCCAGGCACTAGCCAACTTAATTAAAACAGCGTCAGCTCAGAAATTGGGGAGCAGCTTGCTTGCCCGGCTCGGCGAGCCTAGCGTCGCGTACCTTAGTCTTGGTCTTGTCGCCGTCGCCGTCGCCGTCGGGTGCACAATGTACAATACATCCGTACAGTAGGGAGGACTGTGTACCTCAATGGAGACGCCCCGCATCGATGATTGGGTGAGTCCATTCTTGCCGAATAGTGATGTGGATTTGTTGGTCTGTGATGATCAGGCGCTGCATACCAAAAGTGCAAGCAACAAAGGCTGATGATTGCTAGTTCTTCGAGAGTTGATGCGAGAATGGTGGAGAGGAGGTGTTTGACACCCGCGACGGACGGTGACAAACAACCGACGTTCTGCCTGCCGGCTGTCACAGCGCGTTTGCTCAAAGACATGACCATTCATCAGGTCTCGCCAAAGTTTTCTCTACAGATTAGTTGCCGAATCTCGAATCTCTGGTATCTGGTATCACTAGCTATCACCGTGTCATGGAGGGTTCTTGTTTCCTCACGGGTCTCACATGCCCCAGTCTATCAACACAAGGGATGCATTAGTTTGCGCAAATGTCTCCCACCACACAACGGTATTGGACAACCATTGGCTGGCGCCTCCGTCCAAGGCACTCTAATACAAGACCATAGTTCTCCGACTCTTGGCTTGTATTATGACACGAACCAGCCATACTTTCAAGCGAACGTTGTTGTTGTGTACAACATACAACTTACGCGACGCGACTCACAAAAAGTTCGGCAGTCCGTCCCAGGCGAAAACTACCCAAGTTATCCGGCTCGGCGCGAGGACGACCCCATCGCTCCTCACTACAAAATGTCGAAAGACTTCCACCTGTCACACGCACTTGAATCCGCCCAATACGGAGACTGGCGGGGGGAGGGGGTCCGGTGTGATTTCAGAAACCGGCAGGTTATTGACCTGCCCGCTACGTTGATGCCCCAAGAATCAATACGGGCTGTGGAGGCCAGCAAGATCATTTCAGATTTGGGCTGGCCGACTGGTGGAGAAGGAGTGCGGCCAGGAGAAGCCAGCCGGGCAAGCCTGTCTGGAGAACGACGCCACTTACAACGCCATTTGCGGCGGGCTTCTCGGTGCGGCGGGGCGGCCGGCTCCCAGCTAGCGGCCCATTCATGCAGCTCATCAAAGAAACAATTCCGCTGTCCCATGGGGTGCTGGAGAACCTTGTGAACTGGCTGCGCGAGAAGGGCCGAAGCCAAAACGCCATCTTCTATCCGCCAGCCCTTCGCCCCCGACCCTCTCGTGAAAGACTACTCCGTACACACATCGTGAGTTGGCATCGGCAAGCCATCGGAGGCCTTTGTTGCTGGTCTCATGACGACGGCGGAGTTGCAGTGGTACTAGCATATTTGTCCGGCTATTCTGGTTCAAGTGTTGCGCTTGGTTGCCGAACTGAACAACTATCACTAAAATGACAGCTTCCAACTTCCAATCGACTCTACAAAGTCCTGTCGCAGTTGACGATATTGGCGGGTAGCTGCCGCAGTAAACTCGTCACAAACTTCAAATGGCCCGAAACAGCGCGTGATGGCCCGCCGCATCTTGTTTCTCGCCTGCAAGTGCCAAAACACTTCAATAGCCATCTCGAGTCTCGACAACGATATCTGTTTCGGGCACATTCGGCTCTCACCTCCATGTCTCGGCTCAGGGTCGTGCATAGTGGGAAAAGCATAGCGTGTCTCAGCAAAAAAGTCAATCGAGCGAAAACCATGGCACAATCCACATCAAGCCAGTTTGCCCGCCGAGACTCAACTCGCTCGAGCACAGGAATCGAAGCTGTGGAATAACTAGCTTTTGGAGAAAATTGGGGGAAAAGGGGGCTTAAGCTAAGCATCTTGGTGGGAAAGCCACAGTGGGTAGGGATCTCCGGTCCGTGAAAAGCCACAAGGGCCTTGACAACTTCTGGCGTCGCTGGGCTTGGTTCTCCAGACGGCTAACTACGGCTACCGTCATGCAAGTTTCCCAGTTTCCCACTTGTACGTACATGATGTGTGCTCGTGACGAATGACGGAGGAGTGAGGCGCGACTTGGCTGCTCAAGGTCTCGTCAAGCTGCGCACACCACCCATCACACAACGGCCCAGTGCCAGGAACTTCTGGAGCAAGGCCAGGCTTTCGCATTTCATGGAGAGAGCCCCCCTCCTTTTCGGGCCTTCTCCCCACGGTGCGCCCAACAACGCGGAGTATCGGGTCGCGTCCCGCATGCCCATCTTCAGCTGTTGTCGGCAAATTCATGGCTAAATGATGCGGAAAATCGTTCCGTGGGGGATTGTCCATGAAACCTCCGCTTCGATATAACTTGTTCACCAAAAAGAGCCGAACCAGCATGGTGGCTTGCAGGTTACGGCTAACAATCACAGTTATTGCGGCAGTGTAGATATGCACATCTGCCTTGCGGTTTTGTGCCTCCATCAACAAAGGCTGAAGCGTTCCAATGCAAGTGCCTCCACCCTCAACCTTAACTCGCGGAGTGTCGTCCCGCCTTGCCGCATATGCTAGTAAAACCGAGTGTACAATGGCCAACATGATCAAGCCGGCGGAACTCGTCGGTGAAATAGCTTCCCGTGGGTTTTTTATCAATCCGGCAAGTCTATTCACACCGCCAAATAGTAGAATAGTAGATCATTTTCAACAAATCCCTGTACTCGTAAAGGCACCGAGAAGCGCTGCAAACACAATGCGGCGGCGCAGCATCAAGTCAAACAAGAGATCAGGCAACTCTTACAAACTGATGTATAATGAATTACGTGACTAAAAACAGCAATTGTATCGGGTAATTGTGACTCGTCACACAAACCGATCATTACCCGGCCTCCGATATAGGTAATAAGCAACCTATAACTCCATAAACCCCAAAAAGCCAAGCATCACGGACCGATTCCCCATACTTTCTTTATAAAACACGCCCGATGCGCTCCGACATGGGCCACCGGCAACAACAAATGAAGCTAATCATACAGTAAAGCTATCGTTTGAGCCATTTAGTAAATGCCGGGAATGATTCTCCAGCGGACAGCCTCCTTGTACTTTTCCCAGTCATCACCGTACTTGCGATGACACTTTTCGTCGTCTCGGCGATCGCGGTGGATTAGGAGCACGGCAAAGTAGACCACGTAAAAGTAGGTAATGGGAATGGCCCAACCCTTGGCACTACCCTGGATGACCTGACGACCGTCGGACATGATGAAAGCGCCGACAGAATCTTCGGCCAGGCTGCCGGCGGCCATAATCTGGTAGCCAGCTAGTCCAGTCGGAAGGCAATAGGGCCATGACTGGATCCAGTCTCCCAGATAGTTGATGTGGCGAGCGACACCCCACCAGCCACTGGTGAGAAGTCTGCTTCCAGTCTTGGTTTGAATGTACTTGAGATGAGCAACGCTCGGGTCGCTTGGGTTGGTGCGGAAAGCATTCTTCTGGCTGTTGGCGGAGCGGAAGATGAAAAAGCCGAGTCCAATCAAGGAGAGCATGGCAACCAGTCCGACAGGTCCGAGCGATAACGGGTGAAGAGACAGGTAGCGGGTTTGCTGCGAGTACACAAAGGGAACCCAGACCAGATCACCAAAGGCAAGCATCATTCCAAAGCCGTCAGTAGTGATGTCCATGGTGGTGAGAATGGCAGGCTCAAACCACCACGAGTCAAAAATGTACAGAGCTTGAACGACGGTGATGCATATGATGCTGTCAGTGACGTAACCATAGTTGCGGTACTGCTGGGCGCACCAAGCGCAGTTGAGGATGATCCAACCCATCATGCCAGGACGAAGTTCGCACCACTCCTTCAGGTCCACCTCGCCAATGATAGGAATGGTGACACGGGGATTGAGTTCGCGGCCAATGAACCAGTCATATAGAAGGTTCCCGGAGTGGCCGCCGGCAGCAAGCTCACGGTTGTCTTTGTTGCCCATCTTGACGCTAAAGCTGCGGACATAGACAAATGTCGCGATGGCGTATGAGATGATTATGCTCGCCGTGAGAAGCTGCAGGTAGTTTTCGCTGATAAAGACCCAGACAGGGAACTGAGCACCCTGCGCGAGGGTTCCGGCGGCGAGAAGCGACAGCGTAAGCGTGTTTGAGTATAGAGCTGTAGCCGGTTAGCTTCGGCAACGAGGGGCGGGCAAAATGTAACAAGACGTACTGTTCATGCGGTAGTTGAGGCGACCGCCAGTGGCGAGCACGGTGCCCTTGGACTCAATCGCGGGCAGGACACGGTAGAGAACCAGGTTCAAGAGGTAGTATGCCGCCATGGCCGCGCTGGCTTGCCAACTGGCGAGCCCGTAGATGCCATTCTTGGGCCAGCCTATCTCGCGCTGGAGCTGCTCGATGGAGAGCGTCTTGGGGCTCAGAAGTGAGGGTGCGGGGCAACCCGAGATGTCGTTGCACGCAAAGGTAAAGATGTAGCAGAGGATGGGGAGACCAAACGAGATACCCGCGGCGCCGAGCCTAGCACGAACGTCAGCGAAGCTCCGGGGGCGGATATCACAGGGGGCCATGCGCATGCCGTCGCGTGCTGTTGTTGACTTACGGGCCGCCGAATTCGTAGCCGTGCGCCGCTGGGGCAGCAGCAGCCTTTGCCTTGGGAGCCATTGCTCGAGGACAATGTGCAGTGAGGGAGAAAATGTTTGCAGGGAAATGAAACGGTTGAGACGGTTGAGACGGAAGACGGTCAGTATTAACCAGGAGGGCAGTTGGCTCTCACTGGTAACTAAACGAAGCTAGAGCTCAGGCCCGGAGCTTGGTCGATCCGGGTCAAGCTGTCATCGATGTGGCCATCAGTGCACTGAGAAACAGTGGCTCAGCAGGCACGGGGGAACACCTGGGCCGACCTGCAGCGCCAACCCCGCTAAAGTGTTGCAGCATTGCCCCAAAATCGACGGCAAGGAGCGCCACAGCCTCTTTAACTGCGATAGATTTGTGGCGAGTAAAGCTAAGAGACATACATGCTCTGCTGGCGCTATTGGCGCTGCCTGGTGTAAGGAATGACATCAAGAACCAATTTCAGTGCTAGCTAGCTCCGATTATATTCCGGTTCCAAGAATCATTTATACGTTGCGCATCTGTAAAATGTCATCAATTAAGTACCCAAGTGCCTTGATAAATTCGATGGAAATATCATAGTTACTTGCAGGTGGGCTGACTGGCCAGTGATCCACTGCGCCTAGGCCCTTTTCAAGCAACGTGGCGCAGAGAACGACAACTTCTCGATTTCACATTCTGCGCCAATTCTCTCCTGCGACGTCCGACAACACCGCACACATTCACGATGCGGCTCCCATCATTCTACGCGGCCGCTCTGACGGCGGCCGTCGTGGTCTACGCCGAAGAAGCCAGCACGACGGCGCCCGTCCCCGCCTGCACCGCCGTTTCCTCGACCAGCAACGGCGCATTCTTCGACCTGCGCCCCGACGTTGCGCAGCAGGCGGCCGGCAAGGCGGCGCGGCGCTCCATCACCAAGGATTACCACGCGCGTGGGTATGACTACGGCAAAAACTTTACCATCAATATCTGCGCGCCCGTCGTGGCGCCCGTCAAGGACGTGGTCGGCGTGTCCAAGGCCCTCTGGAGTAACGTCAGCGCATACTACACATACAAGGATAAAGTATACTCGATAGGGTACGGCCTATTTTGTGCCCCGGAATCGGCATGCCCCCTGCGTGGCAACTGTACTAACAGTTCCTTTCTTCTCTCACAGCTCCTCCTCGCTTGATCTGCGCAGCCGCGGCCGCAAGTTGGTGCTATCGTACGGCGACGGCTCGCCGTGTGAGCCCACGTCCAACAAGAGTGCGCGCGACCAAAAGCCCGCGACCGGCGACAAGGGCAAGGGCGGCTCGTCCGCGCGGCGCAAGTCGACCGTCATCTCGTTCCTCTGCGACCGCGACTCCGGCAGCTCGCAGGCGGCCTTTTCCTTTGTCGGCACCGACCCCGACGAGTGCGCCTACTTCTTCGAGGCCCGCTCGACGCACGCCTGCGCGCAGGCCGAGCCGCACAAGCGCGGCAACGTCGGCCCGGGGAGCGTCTTTGGCCTCATCTTCGTCATCGCCGTCCTCGTTTACGTCATCGGCGGCGTCTGCTACAATCGCACCGTCGCCCACGCCCGCGGCTGGCGTCAGCTTCCCAACTACAGCCTCTGGGCCGGTATTGGGAGCTTTGTCACTGTGTGTTCCGCCTCCCCCACCAAACCGGGCCTGCTGCCCATCAGTCGTCGCGGGAGCTGACCTTTTTGCTTGTTTCTGCGTCTGCGTCTTGATAGGACATGTTTGTCATCCTAACTTCATCGTGTGCCCGTTTCCTGCCGAGCAGGCGCGGGTACCGGAACGTCAACCAGAGCTTCCACAACAATAGAAACTCGGACGCCGAGAACCGATTGATAGATCAACTCGACGAGGAATGGGACGATTGAACGAGGTTGATGTCAGCGAGTAATGTTTCATGTGCGAGTGTGTTGTTCTGTTGATTGCAACGTATGGCTGAGACCGAAGCCCAGGGCTCAACCAGTGTGATATATTCGTGTATAGAGTTTTGGGCATCTTACCTGGCGTTTTCTTCTTTTGTGTTGGTAGAATATTGTGGCATATTAACGTCCGAACCCGAAAATTTATTATGTCAGCATGTATACACCATGGTGCCTCCTATTCACATTGTCATTTTGCATTCACATCCTTCACTACAGTGAGTGCTCCATACTTGAGGCGCCACCTGCTGATCCTGGCGGCTTCTCCAACGCATAAGATGTGTAGGCAGGCTGGTCGGTGCTATAAGACAGCAACGACGTGTTTGAGACGCGTTTCCCGTTTCGCATGGTAGATTTCTTTATTCGATGAAGAAGCGTGGTCCAAGCGCTTCAACATCTATCCGTAATGCATGGCAAGTGAAGGACCCTGGCGATGCGCAGCACGCGCCAATTTTGCGGGGAATGCAAGTAATTTTGTCATGCAAGGAGCCGCGAGATAGTTTGCTTGTCAGAAAGACTACAAGTTTGCTTCTATCCCATCGGCTAGGGGACGGCGAAAGCGCAATGGAGACTCTTTCACGTAGACAAGCTACAGCTGGTCACTGCCTCAAAGGCGATGCAATGCAATCTGGGCAACCTCTAAGCAACGACCGCTGAGTTATGCGGCAGCGGGAGTTGGGAAGAATGGCTGACCTTGTGGACAACTTGATTACAGTTGGGCTGCACTGGGAGGCCGCGGGCTGGTCTGAGCTGTTGCTGGACTGGCTAGGCGAAGTCTCCATTGATGATTAGGCCCAGGTAACTAACTTGTAGATCTAGATTGGATGACAAGGCATTGGATGTGACTAGGTACTGATACGGTAACTACAACTTATGAATCTCTTGGCTATACCGTTCGGGAAGGGTCGTTCACGGCGCAGTGTTGATCTCAGAGCCAAGTCTCCCAAGCAGGTTCTCAACTGAACTGGTAGACGCCGATGCCTACTACAACCGGAGATTGCCGATCCGGGTGAGTCTCAGAAATCAATCAGGAACTATAACGGCTCCGCAGTCACTTGGGCACGTAATCGAAGCCGGCACGCGAAGATGGCTCGTTTGAAGACGTCAAGGCCGTCATGTGATAGATTCAAATATCGGACCTATTCCCGTAGGCGATGCATCCTACATATCATAGGCACCCTATTCTCCTAATATCCACGTCGTTTAGCAGTGGAATTATCTGGCCCGTCTGAGAATCTTCCCTCCACTTTGTTGCCAGTTGCCAACTGCCGCCAGCTGGCAGCCCCTCACGTCCAAATCAGCTTCACCTTGGCCATACGAACCCCAATTTCTCCTCGCCACTGTTTTTTTCTCACCAATCAGCGGAGACGCGACTCGTGCAATTTGAAGCTAAAGTGAAATAGAAAAAGCGCCATCTCGTTTCGCTAAGCGAATCCCCCTCACCATTCGCGTTCAACCTCCCGATCACGCGGCCAACCGCTGCATCCCACACTTGCACACTTGCATCCTTTTCCCTTTCATTTTCTGCTTGTTGCCGCATATTTCTGCTCCAGCATCATTCTTCTAGATGCCATATTTGAAAGACAATATAGTCTAGGCGGTGACAGCATAGCCAGTATTGGCATCGAAGTCTTTGACGGCCTCCTCCTGCAGCAAAGCTTCACACTCTGCCGTCTTCCAGATGCCCACCGACACGATGCCGTGGGCCCTTGGAGTTGCACCGCGAAGCTGCTCATCAGATGATATATCAATTGCGTCTCCTGTATTTCCTTCGCATCACATGCATACACCCCATAACCATCAGCCTTTCCGTTCCCTGAGAGCCCGTCGCGCACAGAACAACCTGACACTCCCTCTACATCTTCGACGACGCCCTCCAATGGAGAGCGATTCTTGGATGCAGTCCATCTCTGACGTTGAGGTATACTTGCAATTCTTCTTTATCGAAAGCTTTCTAATTTGCGTTTGTAGGTTGAATCCCACTACGGTCGAGGCTTTCTCTATGGCATGCCCAAATTTGACAGAACACCAATCGAACACGACCACTCGTACACTGGCAGTTCAAGCGCTTCCCAGACTACGCAAAGCTCAACTTTGCCTGGAATTATGTACGGCTCGGCTCGGCTTCCTGCCATGGGATCGTCCCCGAGCTATAATGGCTCGGTCTGGCCGACTGAGTCGCATCAGTTGGACTACGGCGGCGTATCCAGCGCACCAATGAGCGCAGTCTGGCCTCAGAGCAACTTTTCACCGTACATACCAGATACAAGTGTGTCTCTTCCAAGCACGCCAGCTCCAATTGGCCTTTATCAGCCACCCTGCCAGGACCACACAGCTCAAATGCCCCATCTCAACACACCTCCCGCCAGTGCCATCTCTCGCGTAAAGATGAGCAGCGACGAGAGCACAGACCAGCCACAGTTAAAGGTCAGCACGGGCTTACACGGCTACTTCAAAGAGAACGGCTCCGTCATTATGAACAAATGGTTCAGCAACACAGCGACGCAGGTTGCTCCGCCGCAACTATACAACGTGCCACCACCCGCGTCCCTGTCACCGCAAGACTCTTTCAACGATGCCTCGTCTGTTGCTTCGGGAAAAAACTTTCGTGCAACACCTTCCCGTTCTCATCCTGCAAGGTCGGACTTTTCGAGCCGCGTTTCTTTCACAAATGCTGCAGACTATTCTTCGCAGTCCCCGCAAGCCAGCTACCCTGCCCGACGGAGACTGCCGAATAACACATCCCCCTCGCCTACTGTGATGAAGGGTCAGAGCACCAGTGGTGTCAGCAGCCATAACTCTCCTCGTGGCGGCGCCTCGGCCGCTCCCAGCATCTACGAGAGCGAAAGCAACTACGCTGCTAGCAGCGCCCAGTCGTCGTCTCAGCCCAGCAGACTGCCATCTCCTATGATATCAGACCACAACAAGAACGCACAAAATTCATTTCTTATTGAAGCCCGTGCCAGTGGCATGTCGTACAAGGAGATCAAAGCCAAAGGAGGCTTCTCAGAGGCGGAATCTACTCTGCGCGGCCGCCATCGTATGCTAACCAAAGAGAAGGAGAGCCGCGTGCGCAAGCCTGAATGGACCGAAACAGATGTGAGCTCAACCAAACCGAAATAACCCCGTTTTATTGCCAAAAGCCATTCGACCTAACCGACCTATTTTTGTTTCTTGTGGTACAGATTGAACTGCTAAAGAAAGCTGTCCGAATCATTACCCGTGGGAGCTTTCGCACGAACAAAATATCTTGGAAGAAAGTCGCAGAGTACATTACCAACAATGGAGGATCCTATTCCTTTGGCTACGCAACATGCCATAACAAGTGGAAAGAGCTGCCCCCGAGCAGACGACGTTGAACGAGGTGGTTCTACATACACCCACCACATGTAGCTGGGGCTTATTTCCATGGGCCGTTTTTTTCTCTCTCTTGTCAGCCACGCACTTTAGTACGTCCACGGGAGGATTTCTTGGTTTTGACTCACTGATTTTTTTTCTACTTTGATTTCTGAAACGCATCGCATCATATTAGCAGGTGTTGGGGGAGGTAATGTACCTCCGACTTGGATCAGGGAGGGCTGAAAGGCAAGTAGACAGCCAGACGAGGAGGTCGATAGGCCAAGTTCACTCGAAAAGTGAAAAGGTATTTTGAGTGTTGGAATGGTGGCCCACGCTGCCCTTTCACCAACAGCACGGGGAGTTTCATTTATCAAAACAAAAAGAGTATTGGATTGGGGAGAATATTAGGCACTGAGAAAATATGAGAACAAAGGAGAAAAAGGAATGTACAATAGGTTGAGCTTGGTTGGTCATGGTGATTTATCGGATTTCGACTTTTTCATCTTTTTCATCTAGCTAGGTGTTTTTTTTTTTTTGCCAGCACATCTACAATTTATTCACATCGTCAATAAAGCGCGGCTCCGAAACGCCCACGCTCCCTAGGATCGTCGTCAGGGCTCGCGGATGCCTACGTAAAGCCTCCCACTCTGCCTCGGTCTTGACCAGCGCCGTGCCGGCCAGCATCGTGCCGTTGAGCGACACCGTGCCAACGGCCGCACCAGTATCGGGGTCGGTTACGGTGCCCCCCTCGGCCAACCTGGGACATAGCACGAGACGGTCCCTCGTCATGGCCATGTTGTAGCTAATGGCCGCCTCGCCGCTCGCGGGGGCGAACTCGTCCTCTCCCCGGACCGCGCGCACCGCCTGCTGATAGAGCCGCAGATAGGCCGCGTACAGGTCCTCCCGCGTGGTGCTGAGCGTGATGTCCTCCGCAAACGTCGTAAACGGCGCCACCGCATCGCGCCGCGCCATCAGCACCCGCCACGCGCTGGCCGCCGGCAGACCCTCCCGCATCGCCCGCACGGGGAGCATCTGGATGTGGCGGTGCGGCTGGCTGGCGCCCGAGTGCGCGCCGCCGTTGAAAAATGCAAATAACGCGCCATCGCCGTCGTTTCCGTCCGACACTCCCTCCTCCTCCTCCTCGCACGCGCGCAGGCACGCAAGTGTGGCGTGCAGGTCGTCGGCCTCGAGCACGTGCGTCTGCGCGCGGTACGCCCGCGTCGCGAGGATGAAGTGCCCCGGCACGACGGCAAACTTGTTGAGCACGAGAAAGTGCGAAGCACCCACGTCGCCGACGAAGAGAGGGCCCGGCGGCGACGTGTACTCAAAGGGGTCAAATGGTTTCGACGGGGCCGCCGCGTCTCGCTTGGGGGACGGCGGCTGGGGCTTGGGCTTGTTGGCGAGGGCGGGGGAGAAGCGCAATTGGAACTATGTATCGGTGTTAGCTGTGAAGGTGTTTTTTTTTTCTTTTGGAGTGTTGGCGGCGGCGGCGGCGGCGTACGGAGAGGGCGCCGACGCGCATGTCCTGCACCTGCGTGGCAAAGTAAAAGAGATCCCCGTCGGCGAGCGCCTTGGCGAAGGCGGCTTTGACGAGCTCGAGAAGCCGAGCCGGCGCTTTGAGAGAAGCCATGCGAGAGAGGTGTTAAGTGAGTATCAAGACCAATGGTTGCGAGGGGTGAGTCTGGTCAGCGATCGGGGTGTGTGAGAATGAGGTTCAAGAGCGTGGTGGGGCGCGTGTGGTGCGAGGGGGATTGTTCACAAGTAAGTGACGAGAAGCTTCAGAAGTTTAGGAAAGGTGTTTAGAGGTTCTTATTTTGAGTGGTTTCTAGTAACGTCTATTCAGTGGAGAGTAGCTGCGCTGATACGAAGCAGCACCCTCGTGTATTAGGTATATCTATCCGTATGCCGACGTTGAGTTCCGGACGCCAGCTGCATGCAGTACAACCCCGTCTCTATTTTCGTCCTGCCTAAATCCCTGGGATCCCGACGACTTGCCGCAGCGCAGGCACGAACCGTGGTACATAGTATACGGCGTAAATCGCCACGAACGCTGTCAACAGTCCAGTCAACTACACAAATGGGTCAGTATTCTCGGCAACCCGCAAGAGAGTGAGAACGGGCGATAATGACCTACCTTTTCAAACCACGTATGAAAGTAAATGGCCGTCATGAGCAGCATCCACAGGTTCAGCGCCAAGACGCCGAGCGCAAACTTGCCCCCGTACCCGAGCACCGTTTCGGCCCGCCTGCTGCCCACCGCGCCGGGCGCCATCTCAGCCTCGACGTTGGCGCCCTTGAGCGCGCCGTCGGGCATGACCACGCAGCGCTCGTCCGCGTACCAGCCGGCCCAGCGCGCGAGCGGCCACAGCACCTCGTGCATCAGCAGGGCAGAGCCGAGCGTCAGCAAGAAGACGTGGCCCGAGATGTCGTGCCCGCCACTCCACCGCCCGCCTGATGCCTTGCACGCGACGGCCGTGAGCACCGCGCCGGCATCCGCCGTGCCCGCCGCGACGTCGAGCTCCGCGAGCTGGCACTGGCCGCCGGTCCAGCGGAAGCCGCGGTCAATCATGGGCGCGCCAAAGCACCACTGCACGACCAGCACCCACCAGGTCGTGACGGCGGCCCAGCGCGCCGCGGCGCGGGCGCGCGCCCCCGGCGAGGCCACGGCCGGGTGCAGGAGCACAAAGGCGAGCAGCGCCGCCGAGGTCCAGCCCCAGCCGCGCTTGACAAAGTAGACATTGAAGAGGTTGCTCTTGCGCGCAAAGTAGTTGGGCGCCTCGCCGCCGTCGGCCGCCCGGTGCGACTGCGACCCCGCGTCGTAGGTGAGCGCCCGCGTCTCGGGCGAGAGTAGCGCGAAGAGCGAGCCGAAGACGAGGAGCGCCGGGAACAGGCCGAGCGCGAGCCGCTCGACGGGCGTCGGGACGAGGGGCGAGGTGCGCGGCGTCGCGGACCGCGTCATGCCGGCACCGGAAGCGGTGGTGGTGGTGGTGGTTGCGGTCGGGGAGTGGGCGGACGCTCGTCCGGCTCGTTGGGTGGCAGGCATTGCGCCCCAGGGATGTATGCGTGTGTTGCTTGGTCTAGTGTGTGTGTTGCTTGGTCTGGTCGCGGGGCGTTGCCGTAGATGGATGGGAGGTTAGAGGAGTGGCATGAGGGAGGTTGGGGCCGGGAGGTAGGAGGTTGGTGGGATGTGCGGAAGCAAAGGTTCTGGGAAAGGCTGGCGATGGCTCCTATGACGTGGCTAGCGCAGATCGACTGTGGCGCGTGCTGGAAGCTTCACTTTACGCCACACCAGATCGCGCATGACCGCATCGTCATTGAGAGAAAGTCTATATTGGAGATCGTCTAATCCATTTCCTCTTACACGTGTATGTATTACTGCGATATTTTTACATCATTTCTAAATTCCGTGGCTTAGCATTGATCGCTCTGGTTGGGACGATTTTCACATTCCAGGTTGTTTTGATGACCGAGTTTTTATTCTATCAGTCTCATGGAAGTGTCTAGCTACCTACTGAGTACCAGGGCATAACCTCACCTCCAAATCCCCAAATCCTGCCCTGCCTCCAGGGCGGGTGAAAACGTCTTGAAAATATGGAACAAAAAGAATTGTAAAAATTGAATCAGTAGAAAAATAACACAAAAAGAGAAAATAATCACCCGCAGCAACGCAGATATCGCACTGATCCTTCTTTTCAGGACTCAAATTTGCTCCCACAAAGCCTTTGCACCAAAATAATGAAAATGGCTTGGGCTTAGACTGTGACGGTTGCAGTTACGTACAGTGTGGTGGTATAGAGTACTGTCGTTTCGAGAACGCCAGAACGAGTAGTCGTAGTAGGCGGCTTGGTGTAGGTGCTTACTGTCGAAGTCGAGGAAGTACGAGTCGAGGTCTTGGAGGACGTGGGCTTGGCGCTGCTGCTAGGCTTGGGCCCGGGTTTGCCTGGGGCACTTTCGCCGCCATTCTATGAGGAGAAAGATGCCAGGGCAGCGCAGAAGTTATTTCTATTGTCCTTGTCCAGAGCGACGGACTGGTCATTAACAGTAACCATGTTGATGCTTGCCTTGGTGGCGAGGCCAAAGATATGAATGTCGGAGTTTTGGATATCAAGAATGTTGTCCTGGCAGTTGTTGCCGTCGACGCACTTCTGGTCGTAGTTATCAAAGAAGCTGTAGAGACCAGCGCCATAGATATAAATGTCGCTGGAATCAACGGCTCGGAGGCCCCAAGTTCTGGCGCACTTAGGACCAGTGCATTTCGAAAAGTCGGGGTCGCTGTATTTGGCGTTGTACGTGAAGGGAACCTTGGCATCAGGGTTGCCTTGCATGTAGGCGGTCTCAGTCTGGATGAGACCCATGTAGACATTCTTAGCCTTGCTGAGCTGGTAGTTGGACAGAACACTGTGCTCAGAAGATGTGCCCCAGAGCCAGGCACCCTTGGTGCTCTCGATGAGAATGCCACGTCCGTTGTAGATGTTGATCTGGTTATGGTCGCCCAAGTCAAGCTCATGGTCGGCAACCCAGTACCAGGTGTTCTCGAGGTAAACGCTAGCCTCAGCAGTAACGTGCATGAGCATAAAAGCACCAATGCACTCAGCCTTGGGCGGAGCAATCTGCTGAGGGCTCTTGGAGCATTTGTCAGACTGAAGCTGGGTTCCAGCGAAGCCGCCGACGCGGAAGTGAACGTCCCAAAGACCCGCGCCTCCCTTGTCTTGGCCAGCGACGTTGAACTCCATTAGGATAGCACCGGGCTGAGGTCCCATGGTGGAGAAGATGATGTCCTGCATCTCAATGGTCCCGACATCCCCGGGATTTCCAACCTGGAAGACGGGCTTGGGGTTTTGTTGGTCCTGGAAGTTGCTATTGCCACCAGCAAAGATGATAGGCCAAATTTCACCGACAATCTTGACGTCTTTGGGGACTTTGACGGTGTTGGTAACAACATAGTTGCCGTGGTCAAAGTAGACGATCTGATCGCTGCCGATGCTGTTGAAGACGGCTTGGATGGCGGCAGTGTCGTCGGAGACCCCGTCGCCCTTCGCGCCCTTGGACTTGACGGAAACAAACTTGGAGGCATCGACGTTGTTGTACTGGGGTTTGGACTTGGTAAAGATATTACCAGCGGAATCAAGAAGCGCGGCGGGCTTAGTAACAGGGCTCTGAGTACCCTGGATGGCGCTGCCAGTGGCACCCTTGTAAGCACGACCTTGCACCCAAGACTGAACCTTGGTGTTGCCGTTGAGGATTGTAGTCTTGGATTGGGGGTTCTGGATAGCCACAGGGCAGTTCTTGCTGAAATCAACATTGTCGACAATCAATGTGCCGCGGGTATCATTCTGGCCAGTGCTGTAGCGAGTGGCAATTCCAACTGGGGTGTTGGAGAAAATGCTGTCTTGGACAAGAACGGCACCGACCTGCTGCTGGTCTTGGCCGTTGCTAGACATGTCCAGACCAATATCACAGCTGTCAATGTTGAGTCCATGGAAGGTCCAGGCCCAGTTCCAGTTCATGTAGATGGCGGTGCGGCATCCGTTGAACGTCAAGTTGCGGGTGGTGAACTGCTGAGCACCCCAGAAAACGCCGAGGTTGCCGCCGTTGAAGGTCAGATCAGACATGAAACCACCGGAGCCGTTTTCAGTAAAGATGCCCTGCTGTTTGTTGTCGCTGCTCTTGTCATTGATCATGTCGAATTGAATGTTCTGAAGAGAAGTAGCCTGGGCAACCTGCCAGTGAATACCGGTTCCAGTACTCTTTGGCTGGCCAGTAAGGTCAATCTTGAAGTTGCGAATCTGTCGGAAAAAGTTGTTTTGGTTGGTGTACCAGTTCGCACCGCCGGGGAGGTAAGGGTCCGAGTCGATGACGGCCATGCCCTCGAAATTGGGGGCCGCCTTGAGAGTAGGAACGTTAATAGCATCACCAACGAGCTGGGTGTAGTAGTATTGAATTATGGGCTTCGAGACGACATAGGTTCCTTGGGGGAAGTAAACCAGAGCGGGAGTAGTGGTGCTGGAGTCGCAACCCTGGCCACAACGGTTACCATCAGAGATGGCGGCATTGATGGCGGCAGTGTCGTCGCTCGTGCCATCACCACGGGCGCCATAGTCCTTGACGTTGCGGAAAACTTTGTAGTTGCCGTTGCTGGGGACGGTTCCCTGTCGCTTGATGCTGGATAGCCACCAATTGGCGTTGGTTCGGGCCTCCAGGGTGTCGACAGATGGCGATGGTGCTGCCGAGACCGGGGAAATGGCACTCAGAGCCAGCAGAGATGCCGTGAAAAGCGAGCCGAGACCCATCGCGATGGATTCGGGGAAGAAAATGCGTCTAGGTCCAAGTATTGCGTCAGTTACTGGAGCAGGGAACAGTAGGGAGCGTGAGCAAGAGAGTGCAGAAGAAAGAAGCCAAGGGTTGCAGAAGATGCAGTGTGTAGTGTTATGTAGGACAATAGGAACTATGGCGGAGGAAACTGTATTTGAGGAGCAGTGAATGGAATGAGCCATGTGGCTGGAGACTCAAACGGAGCAACTTTGCAACCAACTGCCTGCCAGCTGCCAGCTGCCACTTGATCGTTGACAACTGCCAGTCCAAGGATGGTGGGGCAGGAAGTCATCGGTCCATTTTCTCTCCTTCACGAGACTTTCCAGCGACGCTATAATGGCCGACTCAAAGACAACTAGTCAAAGACCATGGTGGATTTCTACCTTCTGTTCCGGGGCGCTTGCCATCACGGTGTGTCAGGTGGTTGCACAGCGTCTTACACGGGTGATGTTGATCCTGCACGACTGGTGTTGGGGAGCAAACTTACAGCTGCTTTGTCGGCGTAGAATATGTACACGAGAGGTTCTACCTGCTGCACAGGCGGCTAGGAGCAAAGAAGCAAAGGAATGTGAGGAACGGCAGTGCTGGCGTTGCCAAGAGTACAAACGTCGCCAATCGTCAAAGACAGTTCGGGCAGGGCGAAAGAGGCACGACTACCGAATCTCGACAAGCATCGATGAGACGCGGGAACCCGCCCATTATAAGCTACGGTCGAACTGGGCGAGCTCCGTCGGCATGCAAAATGCAAAATCTGGGCGTCCGGCAAGGTCGGTGCATGACAGCCACATATTGAGAAAACGGAGCCCCACACCAGCGGCCACACCCTTGCGGGCCTACCGATGCTCGACAGGTACCGAACCCATCAATTGGTCCAATACACCAAGTCCTTGGTTTCAGATGCGTCATTTGCCCTTTTCAGGGATGTCACGACGATAAATAGTAATACCTTGGTTTCAGATGCTGGGTCGCGCATATTGCCTCTCACACATGAGCTCCGACCAGCGCCGTGTCCATGCGGCGGCAGTACCAAATATCCGTATATACGCAGGAAACGAACTCCGGCCTCATTTCTCGCCTCTCTCACCCAACACACCTCGGAGACGTCACGAAACCCCTGGCGCAAAGACTACTCGGTGGAAATTAGTTTGATCCGCCACTATTACCATGTCTCGGACCACTCCCTACTAACTTGTTAACGATACTCCCCGAGGACGACTCATGATACTAACAGCATCATCATGCACGGCACTTGACAGACGAATTGATACAGCGCCTTTTGCCATGCACAGAAATCTGGCCCCTTCTCCCTAATGCCATCCACCATCAAAATCACGCCGGAGCAGCGCCGAACACTAGGTGGATGGAGTTCTTGGCTTTTGCCTTTTGCCCAAGTAGGTTCCCATTCTGTGGGGGGTTCTTCGGCCTCGTGCGTACGGAGCACAGAGAGCCAATCCACGCACGGAAACCACGCCGAGCTGACACCAGTTGACACACAGCGCCTCCTTGGCTAGTTAGTTATTAACTAGTTAGAGCTGTTTCACCCACGCCCTCAGCCCCTTTACCAGTTAATCGTTTGGAAGCAAGTTGAGTCGTGCCTATTTGAAACTAGGAAGAGTACTGATGTGTTTGGAAACAGTAACCCGATGGCCACTCAACAGGACAACCGGGCGCCGTAGCAATTTGTTTCACGCGGAAAAATTCCTACCTTGGGTGTTATTAGCCTCCAGAAGGTACAGAGTATTACGCGACATCATAGAGTGTCTCGTTTCTGTGGACTTCAAAGCTTATTGCGGCAGCTAGGCAGCCTCTCCCCAGGTCACATTCCTTCAGCTGAAGACAACGCCGATCGAAATTGTACGTGGCCGCGAACTTTTAAAATGCAACATTGCAGAGGTCTAGTATTGCCAACGGTCCTTGGTCATAATTCTGGAACTCTTTTTTTTTTACAGGTATTTTCTCGCGCCGGCGCATGCTGATCCTACACCATGCAGTTGGAGCTGAACTCAGTGTTTTCCAGCCTTCCAAACTGTGCAGCTGCTTAACCTCTAATAACTAGTGGCCGACAAGAAGTTTAGTTTAGCACCACGCCAGATCACCCGACAAACCAGATCCACAACTTGCAGAAACTAGATCGATGTTCCTCTCTATGTGCATTTGAGAATCGCAAGACTCGTTCGTTCAGTGAGACGCAAATGCCCGATGAGCACTTCGAGTAGGTCTCAGGGCAATAACTCGGGCTTCTTGGAGGACAGTTCAGAAATGCAACACTATTACTACGCGTGTCGTCACATTGCACGCGACCAGGTACACCTAATAAATCGAGCCGCACTCAATACAGGAAGTGAGCGCGCGCCACCACTCGGGTTTTACTTTACGCGCTCAGCGGCTTCTGTGCCACAACAGTTTGTTGTACCTATTGTATGACGAATAGAAAAAGGTAAATTACAAAGGGGGGGATGCATTGCTAGCTCTACCCCTCAAAGCGAACCGACTTCACCGAAGTGGTGCCCTTTTCTTTGCTCGATTCCTCACTAGTCATACTAAGTTCCGGAGCACATGAGGATTAACACAAGTGCAACCGTGTTACAGATGTTCGGAGCATATCTGTTATTATGGACTCATAAGCGACCCTTGCATACGACCGGGCAGCACAAGGCTTGCAACCATCAACTCCTCCACTATAAGATGGATGGAACAATATGCAGAAAATGGACAACATTCGATCACATGAATAGATTTCCAGTCTGCCCGCACCCCTTCCGCCGGTGGATAAACCGGTGTCTTCTCGGTCCTGCTTAGGCTTGGGGTTCTCAGCTCCGTAGCTAGACAGCCCGAGAGGCGATCGATGGGAGAGAAGAAACACTCGGCCAGCAACACGGCCAATACAGCGAAAGAATTTGCCACTGAACACAGCAAAGGAAGCGAAGGGAACTTGGAATAAAACACATGAACTTACCGAAATAGGAAGGCAGCCACAGCGAAACTATAGTACAGTCGGATACATGCTGTTTATGGGCACATCTCCGTCCACGACCCGGCCCGAATTCCATTTTTCGAGGATCACTATTTGATCTTCTAGCTGTTTCTTCTTTGTTCAGGTTCCCCAATGTCGCCTATCGCCCAACACGTGGTGCGCGATTAGGTCACCGTCATCGTTGGGGATGCTTGGGCAGTGTGGGTGTCGATGGATGGGTCGATTCACAGCTGATGGAGCGCATCACATGCCCAAACCGTGCCGCGGAATGTCGGTTCTCGCGACTCGACTGAGGTGACATGCAAGGGCGCCGAGCACAAGTTTACTGTGCGCAGCCGCGTCCGTGATTGCGCCGTGTCTTATGTGTGCCGTCCTCAACCACGGCTGGTGCCTGCCCACGCTTGTTTGGGCGGTTTGCTACCAGTCCCGTTTGTGGTGCACTCGCAAGCATCCCCTCGGGGAAATGTTGACTTCCCTTGAGCAGAGCACAGTCTTTGCATCTCGTATCATGTTCACGAAATGGGGTCACGCGTTTGATAATTGATGTCTGTTCTTTCATGTACATGGGGCCACTCCTTAGAGTAGAAACAAGGACCGCTCAAGCGGCGCTGGGTCTCGAAACCAATGCACAGACGTCAATTCAATCAGAAACGCGACAAGAAACAAAAAACGCTACAAGTTGCAATCCCAAAAGAGCAGTCTATCGAATATGTTCAACAAAAAGAGATAGGAAATGAAGAAAAAAAACACTGCGCGCTAGTATATGTATGTGATGGTGTATCTGTCCCGAAGGTTCTCTAATAAAGTCAAGGAAAAACGCCAGTCCTGAGCAAAGGGATGTTATATATGTGCAAGGGTAGCAAGTACCCTGAATCAAAAGAATCCTGTGCCGTCGTTTCGCGACGGTGGTCGCGGCGAGTTTCCCTCGCCCGCACTCTCGAGCATCTCGATGCCGTCGATGCCAGCGCCGAAATCCATGACGAGGATCTTGGGGGCCTGCCCAGTGCTGACGATGCGGCGGTAGTCGCTCTTGGCGGAGAGGACCCAGCTGGCGTGCCAGCGGGGAAAGTCGAGGAGCTGGCGGCCGTCGCGGATGTCCCAGACCTTGATGTCGGTGTCGTAGCTGGCGGAGACGAGGCGGCCGCTGACCGAGTCAATGTGGAGGCTGCGGACGAGGTTTTCGTGGGCGGCGCGGACCTCGACGAGGCAGGCGCCCGTGTGGGCGTCCCAGACGCGGATCATCTTGTCGTTGCCGGCCGAGGCGACGAGGCGGCCGTCCTCGGAGAATTGCGAGCACGCGAGACCCTTAGTGTGGCCGGCAAACTCGCGCACGGTGCGGCCGGTGGACAGGTCCCAGAGCTTGACGAGGAGGTCGCCGGAGCACGAGACGACGGTCGAGCCGCGCATCTGGACGGCGTTGACGGGCCCGCCGTGGCCGCGCAGCTGGCGCAGGAGGCGGCCAGTGGCGCGTTCCCAGACACAGATGGTCATGTCCTTGGAGCAGGTGACAATGTGGACGGCATCAAAGACGAGGTCGAGCACGGCGGCCGTGTGGTGCTCGAGGCGCCGCACGGGGCGATAGCCGTTGCGGATGTCGTGGATAATGGCCGTGGCGTCGGATGAGCCAGTGACGAGGATGTCGTCGTCGTACTGCAGGCACAGGATCGAGGCCCTATGGTGGACGTCGAAGGCGGCGACGGCGGGCACCGACACAGCTATGCGCTCGTCGTCAGGCCCCGAAGCAAAGTGTGTCGGCGTGCTGACATTGCCAAAGAGTAGCGCGCGGGCGTGCACCACATCGGGCGGGCCGATGACAAGGAGGCACTTGAAGGTGTGCATGTCCCAGATGCGAATCGTCTTGTCGCGCGAGCCCGAGATGATTTTGCGCTCGTCAAACTGCAGGCAGTAGACGCTGTCGGTGTGCCCGCTGAGGTAGACGGGGCGCGCGCGGCCCTCCTCCCAGTGCCGACTCAGCTGTTGCCGCATGCGGTAGGCGCGCTTCCAATTGTTACCGGGAACCGACTGGGGGATGCCGTGGCCTGTTCCGGGTTGCACGGGGCTGCTGGTGGCGTATGTCTGTCCCATCTCACGGAAAAAGGACTCGCGCCAGATGTGCTGGTTGCGGATCACCTCGGCCCATCGCTGGCTGACGGTGCTCAGCCCGGCGAGCGCAGTGGCGTCGAGCTTGGCGAGGATCTGAATGGCCAGCTCGGCGGGCAGCGCGTCGATGAAGTCGACACGGCGAATGTTGGGCGTCTCTGGTCCCGTCACCTCAGCCGCCTCGGCGTCGGCATCAGAGTCGGTATTGGTACCGGTGAGCACGATGCCGATGCCGCTCTCGCGGTCGTTGCCGTCGTCGCTGGTCGAATTGTGAAGCCAGTGGTTGCGCGCAAAGAACTCGTTTTGCATGGCGGCGGAGGCCTTGGCGGCGGCGCCGCTGTGCTCGGGGATGTAGGGAGGAGCGTCGCCGAGGGCGGGGACGGGCAGATCGCCGGGAGGAGCTGCTGCGGCTGGCCGATGCGGCAGGGCGCCAGCCTGGTAGGAAGTGTCGAGGCCGTAGACGGAGCGGGTGTGGCGGAACCCGGTGGCCTGGCGCAGCCTATGCCAGGTCGAGTTGGCTGTGTAGGGTCTCGGGTCGGTGTGGTGGCGGCTTTGTTGCTCGTAGATGGGCTCCTCATTCAGAAGCAATGGACGGTGATGCACCATGCCTCTAATGGAGTGCGACGCACGCCGAAACATGCCTCTGAGGGTGCCGGTCGTACCGTGGCGTCTGTTGTTGGGGTGCTGTTCGCTGATGTCGTCGATGGCATGTTCGCTCAAGTTATTGTCGTCGTCGGGAGCGAACAAGGCGCTCCGCGGACGGCGCCATGACAGGGCGGGCAGGGAGACGCTGAGGCTTCGCATGCGCTGATCATGGGACCCGGAGGGGTGAGCACCTGAATGTCGGCGCGGGGGCGACAACTCGGCCACAGGCTGTGGGCCGGCCGCAGCAGAAAATATCTCTTGCTGGAGGGCAGTCCAGTCAAAACTGCCAGCCGGCTTGGCGGGTGTGATGCCACTCATATTAATTTAGACGGTGCACGAGACAGGCTGCGCTGGTAGATGTTGGAGAGGAAGAGGTGCGCCCGGCAAGTGGTACAGTCGAGTACTGAAGAAGGGTTGAATAGGCGCGGGCACGGTCGCAAGAGCGAGGTCGTAGTCGAGAATGAGCGTCAAAGCCTCGATCGGGAAGCAAGTGAATGCTTTGTGAGCGGCGGGCTAAAGTGAACCAAATCTGGAACAGAGTAGACGGACGGGCTGGACTTGATACAGGGACGAGCAAACGGAGAAGAGAGGTAAGTAGAGTGCAAGGCAGCACGATGCATACAAAGAAGAAGGCGAAAAGACTGGTTGCGTATACTCTGTGAAGTGTCGTTTGATAACAAGGGCCAGGAAAAGAAGAAACGAAAGAAAGGGAGGAGAAAAGAGGACGAGGAAAGGGAGAGGTTGAGAATGAGATTGAGGCGACGACGATCTACCTAGGTAGGTAGTTGGAAGAAAAAGCAGCGATGACAATAAACAATGCGCAGGCAGGTCTGACCGTATTAGCAAGCTAATAAAAGTTGTCACTCTAACAGGTATTAGTGGATAATTCTCAGTGGACTCTGCGCATAGTTTAGGGGTCTCCAGGGGGCTCGGTCGTCTTTTTTTAGGTTTCTGAGCCTCTGAGACGTGCTGTACTAGTTTTGTAAGGTACCTAAAACCACTACGACAGGGAAGTACCTACCTACTACTAAGGTACAAGGTAGGTACCTACCTCCTTATAAAGGTTCTCTCCGCAACTGGCCGAGCCCCGTGTGGAGTCGACTTTTCCTAGCGCCTGCAACGACTCAACACGTAGGTGCCATAGGTAGTTAGGTACACACTACTGTATGTGGCGAGGCAGCTTTTTTTTCTCGAGTATCGACTAAAAGTATTCATTTGTATCCTGCTGTTTTTATGGCTTCCCCATATCCTATTGATTTTCAAAGGCTGTCTTCGGCTTTTGCCTGAAAAGGGGACACCAAGGCCTTTACCCCAGAGTCGCGTACAGATGCAGACAGACAGGGTGATACAATGGCGTCAATGGCACTGCAGAGTGGCGTTCTCCCACAATCAATTCGGAACTAAACCCGAGGGGTTGCAAGTCTTGAGAATACATAACTAACTAGTTACCAGTTTAACTAGAAGAGCCTCGAAAAATTCGTATACCGTCGCTGACCGCCTACACGCGTCACCAACGAGGCCAAGAAACATCCAGCCCAATCTTGCCGGGCGCTGAGCCACGCAGCGCCGAATCGGCAACAAATGAATCGCCACAATAAATTACTCCATTTGTAGGAACCTGGGAGTTCGCGACGTCCGTTTCCCAAAAGTCTGCCCTTTTTCGTCTTGTTGGTATCGTTCTAGAAGCAGCAACAAGCGCGAACCCAGTCTTTCGCCCAAGCCGGATCCCTACATCCTCATCTGGTTAGATCTTGCTAGGCTCCAAGTTTTCATCCAGCGGCGACACCGATCTTTTCGGTGGGGAGAACACCTCTGACCGGCTGCATCGAGGCCTCTGTAGTTATTCAGCAACAACTGCAGGGATGGAGATGGAAGACGCTACTGGAAATGTGTTCAAAAAGTCAAAAAATGGCCTTTATAGGTAGTCATGCCTTGTCCACATGCTCGGTATGGCCTACTGCATGGCGCTAATGGGTAGACATGGATAGTATCAAGAGTGGCATAACAAATCCATCCACTTAGCAAAGCGGACAAGACGCCGACCTGGCATTATTACCGATTTTATTATTAATAAAAGTCATGAGGAAAAGTACAGGTACCAGACAGCGTTCTTTGTGCTTAACACAGCGCACGGCTATTCTCAACGTCATCGCTAAAACGACCAACCAGCAGAACCTACGTACCCTGGATACCCTAGAGCAACCCCCCCCACCCAAAAGCTTCAGCCGTCCGTCCATGATCTCACGCGACATCGCACTGCATCCCATCACAATCACGCGTCTACACGCTACCATCAAACCAATTACACCTCACTAACAAGAAGCAACACACCCCGACGGCGTTGGCAGACAATGGCGTCCCCCCCGCCGCCCCCGCCGCAGAAGACCGGTCTCGCCCTTCCCCTGCTCTACCGCGTCTTCTTCCTCTTCCTCGAGCCCATCTCGGCCTTCGTCGGCGCCTACTTTTGCCAGGTGCGCCAGGCGCGCTACCTCGCGCTGCTCGACGGGCCCTCGGCCGCCGCCGCGACCTACGCCACCGGCGCGCCGCCCCTCGGCACCTCGGTCGCCCTCTCCCAGCTCGCCAACATGTACCTCTTCTTCGCCCTCAACGAGGCCGTTGTCCTGCGCAGCACCAGCGACCTGCGTGTCTGGAAGGCCGTTCTGGCCGTGATGCTGCTGGCGGACCTGGGCCACCTGTACTCGATGAGCGCGCTGGGGCCGCGCATCTACTACGACGTCCTCGGCTGGAACGCGGGCGACTGGGGCAATGTGCCCTGGGTGTATGGTGGCGCTACGCTGCGCGTCTGCTTCCTGGCTGGTGTCGGCATGGGTATGAAAGCACCGGCGAAGAAGAGCCAATGAGTCAATTTGTAAAGAGAAGGCGATGGCAGTTCAGCGCCGAAGATGTGACATGCCGGAAAGTCGCACGCGGAGAGCCGGGGAGTTGCCATGAGGGATACATTGGAAAACTCAATCATGTAGCCGACGCAAAGCGTCGCTGTCGAGTGACTGGGAGGGAGCCTTGGTCTCTCTGACGCTTCAATCCCGAAGCCCCCAGCCTTGGAGGTCACTCATCGACGAAATAAGTTGCCGCACTGGCGCCGCTCGACTGTTTCGGGAAAGCCGCTCTGTAGGGCCGGCGAAATACAGCAAAAACCTTACAAAAAAAATCCAAAACTCACTTACATAGCCGTCGCTGTCCTGCTTGTCCCTTTGGACGTACGTGTGTATTCGTTCAACCACCAAGTCGCAGCCGCATCCAATGTCGCAGCCTCACCTCGTCCCGGAATACCGCTTCTGGAATCGCGCCGCGGAAGCCTCTATTTGTGAGGATTGTCTCTTGAGGTGGGGATTTGGGTTCACATTCTTGATCCGTATGTACGCCTATTCTCAACACGAGTGGACGGGATACCAGTGGCGCCTCGTTGTCTTGATCCGATGCTAGACAGTGGATGGAAGAGCTGTAGCTGTAGAGTCGACGAAGCCAGACAGTCTCCGAACCGAGATGAGACAGGAGAGACAAGGACCGCAGGGTGCGCGATCTGCATCGAGCAGAAGAAGAAAAAAACACTCGATGCCGGTGGGCAGCAGACCCATCGCTCGCCGGGCACAGAAACAAGGAACCTACCACGTTGAGGGAGAATATCGTGGCAATGTTGAGACATTCTGCCACACCCCTCGTTTGCTGTCGATGTCTGAGTGCTGCAAGTCATCAGCGCTTCTTGTAAGAGATGTCGGGATTTGTGGATTTCCTTGCAGAGAAAGAGGGCGAGAATACAAACCGCTCCTGCTTGCTTCGTAAAAACAGAGTAATTTAAAACCCCCCTGAATGTGATTCTGCCATTCTAAAAGAAGAGTAACACACGGACCGTCGGGCTGTTCGGGGTGAAGAGTCAGACAAAGTATCAGTGTCGATGATGCTTTCTGCACCTTCTGTATCCCGATCTACAGACTACGTACACGGCGGGACAGCATGCACTCACCTGCATCGATGTCTTCTTGTTTGGCCTCGTGCGCTCTGACGTAGTACATGTACATACTGACTCTTTTCTCCCGAGATGTCTCGGAAGAGTCCTTCTCCATCACCAAACCCCTCCTCTATTTACCTCATCAGGCTTCTCCCAAGGAAGCTTTCCAAGTGGCTCGGACGTTGCTGCTACATTACCTGTCACCACTGGGCCGACAAAATAACCCAAAAACCATGTGCGAAAGCAAGGTCTGGCTCATTACAGGATGCTCTTCTGGCTTTGGCCGAGAGATTGCCCTCGCCGCTCTCGCACGCGGTGACACCGTCGTGGCCACCGCGCGAGACCCTGCCACACTGGCCGATCTCGAGGCAACGGGTGCCATTGGGCAGCGTCTTGACGTGACAGAGGGAGACGCCAATCTTGCTGCCGTCGTGGACGACATAGTAGCCAAGACGGGTGGCAGGATCGACATCCTAGTCAACAACGCTGGATACATCCTCACCGGGGCCGTGGAAGAATGCAGCCGCGACGAAATCCAGGCCATCTTCAACACCAACGTCTTTGGCCAGCTCAGCGTCGCTCGCGCCGTCCTGCCCATCATGCGGCGACAGAGAAGCGGCACTATTGCCAACCTTGGCAGCATTATCGGCTGGCTCGGCATGCCGGGCGGTGGCATGTACTGCGCTACCAAGGCCTGCGCCGCCATGCTCTCCGAGGCCCTGCGTGGCGAGGTCGCCCACCTCGGCATCAAGGTGACGTGCATCGAGCCAGGCTACTTCCGCACCCCCTGCCTGGCCCCGGGCCGCCGAATCCGCGCCCGGACCGTCATTGAAGAGCTGGAGGAGGGGGCGACGGGCGCCACCATACGCTATCTGGACGCTGTTGACGGCAGACAGCAGGGAGATCCGGCCAAGGGAGCGGCGGTGATTGTCGAGGCGCTCACGGGCACGGGCAGGGCGGTGGGCCGAGAGCTGCCCCCTAGGTTTGTGATTGGAAAGGACGCGTACGAGATTGTGTCGGAGAATATCAACTCGAACCGAGCAAACTTGGAGTCGTGGAAGGATTTGACCACCTTGACTGATCATGATTCTTGAACAAAGTAGCGGGCGGGCAACAAAACCGCTGAGGATCTTTGTCGAGCAGAATGGCGGCCCGCTTGATTGAGTCTTTTGAAGGACGCTTGACTATTGAATGGTACCGTTGAATAGGAGAAGGCTAAATAAGCTGCTTACAATTCATTTTACTTTCCTACCGCTGTTAGAAACTGCTTCTTAGTTACATACCATTTTAGAAGGGAGGGAGGGGTCAGCTTTCTATTGGGGTCAGTATTTGAGACTCGTTGCTTTCGAAAACACTAGCGAAAATGGAGAGATACATTTTTGCGGACAAAATATGACCAATTTGAGAAGCAAAAATGGCGAGGCCTTCAAAAACGGATGGTGAGGCTGCACGGCCCAGAAGCTCCGGCCCGGTCCCGGCCGCCGAAGACCCGCTCCGTGTTGTCAATGCACATCCTAAACCCTCGTTGGTGGAATAATTCTTCTAGGGCCTCTGTGTCACCCCCACGGAGCCGGCCAACTACACCACATGTTAAAGCTCTAACGAGGCGTTGACTCGGCTTGATTGGGCAGTTGTTTGATGCCGGGGTGAATTGTCCGGGAGTTTGGCGGGGCGGCAGCTCCGTGGGGAGGGGTTCTTGAAAGCCGTGGAAGCATTTCGCCCGTCTTTTCTGCTTCTGCTGCTTCTTCTTCTCCCCATGTATTGGACTCTTTTTCAATTATACTCTGAGCCTCAAAAGAACCCAGCAATTAACTACAGTCGATCAACACCATGTCTTACCCCGAGCAGTTCATCGGCTTTCGGGCTCCCAACGCTGAGGCGTGGAAGGACTTTCAGAAGGAGTCGTGGGCGCCGCGCCCCTTTGAGGACGTGGACGTGGACGTGCAGGTCGAGTGCTGCGGCGTCTGCGCGAGCGACCTGCACAAGATCTCGGGCGAATGGGGTGCATGCCCGTACCCGCTGGCCGTCGGGCACGAGGTGGTCGGCCGCGTCGTGCGCGTCGGCGCCAAAGTGACGTTCGCGCAGGTCGGGCAGCGTGTCGGCGTGGGCGCGCAGGTCTACTCCTGCCTCGAGTGCCGGCAGTGCAAGAACGGCAACGAGACGTACTGCACTAAGCAGGTCGACACGTACGGCGGGCTGTACCCTAACACGGAGCACATTACCCAGGGCGGCTACGCGTCACACGTCCGCGTGCATGAGTACTGGTAAGCACCCTCTGTGCAATCGATCGACAACTGTTCCAGTGTCCGTTTGGTTGGCTAACAAGTTTGACGCGGCAAACAGGGTGTACCCCATCCCGGACGGCCTCGACAGCGCCCAGGCAGCGCCGCTACTGTGCGCGGGCATCACCGTCTTTTCGCCCCTCAAACGCTTCGGCGCGGGGCCCGGGAAAAAGGTCGGCATCGTGGGCGTCGGCGGCCTCGGGCACTACGGCATCATCCTCGCCAAGGCGCTCGGGGCGGAGGTCTGGGCCATTTCGCGGACGCGGGCCAAGGAGGCCGACGCGCGGGCCATGGGTGCCGACGGCTTTCTGGCGACGTGCGAAGCGGGCTGGCACGATGCGCCGCACGCCATGACGTTTGACCTCATCATCAACACGGCGACGTCGTTTGACGGGTTCGCGCTCGGTGAATACCTCAGCCTGCTCGACGTGCACGGGCGCTGGAACTCGGTCGGGCTGCCGGGCGGCGACGGCCTGGCGGTGCGCAACCAGGACTTTCTCGCAAACGGCTGCTTCATCGGCAGCTCGCACCTGGGCAGCCGCGCCGAGATGCTCGAGATGCTGGGGCTCGTCGCGGACAAGGGGCTACCGTCGTGGGTGGAAAGGATCCCGCTGTCCAAGGAGGGCCTGCAGCAGGCATTTGGCAAGCTGGAGACGAATAAGGCGCGCTACCGCTCGTGCATGACGAATTATGAGGAGCAGTTTGGCGCGTAGGAAGGGTGTTTGTAGATGAAGGGTGGAAAATGATTGAGTGATGTGGGTGCTGGGTTATTAAAGTTGGGCGAATGTGCCTCCTAACCTTCGTCGGTGCTGTATAGGTAGACATGTGGTAGACTGATTACCACGAGAAAAAAATCAAATTTGTGAAATCAGGTATTAACAGTGCACTCACATTCAAGTGCAATAGGAAAGGTGCGGTCTATTTGTACTGGTCGAGATCGGTGCATTCGTCTTGTTTCCCGCTTTGGACTTGGTGTCAGCGCAGGCAAGCGTGACTCAAACAACACATGTCAAGAATCGCTTGCACGGCCATTCGCGAAACAAACAGCCATGCAATCAAAGTGTTACAAATCAAGACGTTGCTCTCAGGGAATTTTATTTACTCCCAGCACCACGCACACGCACGTCATGTCCGCAACCGATCTCCAAGTCAAAACCGTCCGTTTGTCGCTTCGCGAACTGCCTCCAAACAGCCACCTCGTGCACGCGACCAACTGCCTCGCGACATGGGGCTCCGGCATCGCCGCCGAGCTGGCGAAGCTCTTCCCCGACGCCTGCGCCGTCTACAAGGCCTTTTGCCACGCCGCTAAGCCCCGCACCGCCGGCGACGACCGCTGGCCGCCGCGGAGCCTGGCCGGGCAGTGCCTCGTGATTCCGCCGCAGCCGCGCGATGTGGCGCGGGGCGCGCCGCGCGTGCACATTGTGTGCCTCTTTACGTCGTACGGCTACGGTATGCCTAACCGGCGGACAGGGAGGCCGGGTCGGGATGTGGCGGACAGGATTGTGCGGCAGACGCGGGCGAGCCTGCGGGCGTTTCGGCGGACACTGGACCAGGACGCACAGGTAGTCGCGGGCGCGGCCGCAGGTCGGGACGTGGCCGTCTACTCGCCCATGTTCAACTCGGGCGCGTTTCGCGTGCCGTGGCAAAGGACGCTCGAGGTGATTGAGGAGGAGTTCGCGGGCGCGAAGGCAACCTGGACGGTGGTGCTGCAACCGGCGCAACGAAGACGCCAAGCGTAACCTGCGATGCTGTGTTGGTTTGAGTGAATAAGACAGCCTCATGGATTATACAGCAGTGTTGCACATTTCTCAACTTCAGTTATTATTCAGCTTCGATTTCAGCTCTGTGGACCTCTGGTTTCCACCCTCAACTACAACGGACGGGAGGCTTGGTGAGCGCCAACTTCCGCCCCAAGGGAAGCAGAAAATCAAATTGCCTTTTCGACCGAAACAAGCAACGAGAAACACGGAATAAAATTTGCAGGGACAAACTGCTAGCTTTGAGAGGACCTGCATCATATTTATGAATAGCACCCAGCAAATAATGAATCCAACGGCTTTCTTCTGCCGACCCTTGCGGACATACACCACCTTGACAGCACCCGACTAACACGGAAATGGACCGGCGAAGGAACAGGGCTCATGAGTCCATCGTTCGGCGAGCCCAAAACGTACTGGCCAGCGCCGACAAAAGAGGGGTTTGCGTCCTACTTTGACACGCAGATTGGACAATGGCCTCGTGCGTGGATCCTGATCCTGACCTAACTCTAGGCACAAGGATCGAATTCTTGCCGCATTCCCATATTACCGATGCCACCGTTGTTCGGAGCGGCAAGCGCAGTCACCTCGGTGCCCTGATTCACGACGTTGATGAAAAAGCCCCGCCAGAACTGGGCGGCCAACCAACAGTGAGGAACAACGCTGGTTCGTCTTGGCCCTCAAGCCACAAGCCTGACTGGTGCCTTTTCTCCACAGAGTCGCGACATGTTAGAATTGCTAATTGATAATGGACGTACTTGGGCGGAAAAGCCACCTCAGGTGGTGACAAAGCATACAACACCCGGCGTCGGCCGACCAGCAGCCCTTGTCATTCTCCGTCCAGTCACCAATGCTCAATCACGGCTGTTTTCTTTATTCCCTGTCTTTTTTACCCCTTCTATTACATGTTTCCCCTTCTCAAGCCGCCCCGCCGCCCGCTGGGGACCGGCCTCGTGGTGGGCGCCGCCAGACAGCGATAAACTAGCCAGCCACCCAGTCATTTCCTCAGCCTATCGTGAATGACTACACCATCCTTCACCCATCATATAAAAACTTGGAATCGCCCGCCCTGACTCCCTCGAGGAAATGGAAAGACTTCAAAAAAAGCAAGAAGCTAAATCACAAACTTACACACAATCAATACGACTCTCACCCGCCTCATCCGGTTGCACACCACTTACACGGATCGACTCGGCCGGTGCGCTATAGAACAGCTCCTGAATTTCTACGCGAGCTTCTCAGCAGCAGCCATGTAAGTGTCACAAGAGTATCCAAAACTTTCCAACAATGCTTACCAAACACCCAGGTCACAGGTAGACGCCCCTCCGTACTCTGCCGTGGCACCCGAACAGCTCGTCCTCCGGCTACGCTACCGCAAACTCGCCGCGCGCAGCGAGATTCACAGCGTCGGCCTGTCCGCCTCCACGAGCGACCCCATTGCCTATGCCACCTTTAACGGCGGCCAGATGGACCAAGTCTGGCTGGACCTGTTTGAGCTCAACTCCCAGCGGAGCCTGTCCAAGGTGCCCGGCGCCCACGGCGCCTTTGCGCCGGCCGCCGCAAGCTCCCGCATCGCCACCCTGCGCGACTGGACCGTGTCGCTCGGTCCCGGCATCGACTATGTCCACGCCACGTCGCTTTTGCTGCGCGACGCGCGCACTGGCAAGTCCACCCTCGAGATCAAGGGCGCGTGCGGCGAGCCCGTCGCCTGGAGCCCCGACGGACGCGCTATCGCCGCCGCGGAGCCGCGCCGCCACCGCGTCGGCGTCTGGGACGCGCGCACCGGTGCACTGCGCGGCCGTGTCGTCTCTCATATCGACAAGGTCGTCCTCGCGGCGTTTACGCCCGACGCGCAGCTCGTCACGGCCGCGCGTGACGGCACGCTGTGCCTCACGGACCCTGCGACCAGCCGCACAGTGGCCCGGCTCGAGATTGAGGGCCTCGGCGCTGGCAACCCCCGCGCGCTGGCTGTGGCGCCTAATGGTGCCGTCGTGTCTGTCTGGGGCGCCGAGGTGCATGTCTGGCAGCCACGCGCGGCCCACGTTTCGTCGTACGCGCTGGCGTCGGTGCGGCGCGGACAAGGCGTCCCGCTTGCCGTGTCCCCGGACGGCAGGTACATGCTCTGCGGGACCGAAGACGGGTTCGACGTCATGGACGTGCGGTCAGGTGAGACGGTGGCGGAGCGCCCCGGCGGTGCGCTCGTCACGGCCGCAGCGTTTTCAGCCGACGCCGGCGTCGTGCTGCTCGGCCGCATGGACGGGTACCTCGAGGTCTGGGACATTACCAAGAAGGCCTAGTCTGATCCCGCTGTAATGTCTGGAGAAAAGACGAAGTTGCCTTGAATCTGCAGACTGGTCTTTTCCTCCCATGTTTTGCTTACTTTTGCGCAGCTCACTTGGCCATCTTGTTCCTACTACTTGCTTTCGATGGGCAGCTCAACTGCCCCCCCAAACATCACACAGGCTCAAGATAGCATAGTTTACCGCTTCTAACCACTTGCTTTACCATGAGGGCTCTACTCTGCTCCTACATACTGTATATACATCACATAATAGATACCCGGCGCATGCCACTTTTGTCTCTCTATCTGAACCTGACCCTGCGTGTATCCTCTGCGTACACTTGTCCAAAAGCCGTCATGCCGCCTCATCTGCTCATAAAAGGGCCACCTTTTATTGACGAAAGAGCATTTCCGCACCGCCATTCAAGCTGGCGCCCGTCTGGGGTACCTTGACCGCACCCTTGGCGACCAGCTCCGCCGCAAGCCGCGTGAGGAGACCGTCGCAGCCGCGCGCGGCCATGATGTCGGCCGACACGGGCAGCGGCTCCGCCTCGCCGGTGACATTGCTTAGCGTGCGAACCTCACCGAGCGGTAGCGCCAGGTCCGGCGTGCCCGTCAGCGGCGCCCAGTAGGCTGCCTGCAGCCCGCGCACGCCGGGCATGACGCGCATCGTCGTGCGCGGGTTCGGCGTCCCGAGGTAGTCGCTGTACAGCAGCAGCGCCGACGAGCAGCGCGCGTTTCCCGTGGCCGCGAGCACGTGCGTACCGAACCACGCGCGGGCGACCACGTGCTGCCGCCGGGCGGCCGGGTAGGCCGAGGCAGGCAGTGTCTGCGCCCACGTCCAGCGTGTGAGGGGTGACGGGTTGACAAAGGGCTTGCGGCCGCCGTGCTTCTCTGTGGTATTCGGTCAGAAATGTTCCATCCCGGCCTGTTTGGTTCACTCACTGGCATAATCGGCAAAGAAGGGCTTGCCGACGAGGTTCCACTGGTCAGTCGCTGTAAGCACCGTGTACGTGCTATTGAGGAACACAGCCAGCGTCACGTCGCCCACCTCGCTCGGCCGCGTGCGCGCCCAAAGCGCCTCGAGATCAATGGTCTCGACCTTGGCGCCGGTAACCTCGACGACGGCGTTCACGAACCCATCCAGCATGCCATCCACGTCATACCCCTTCCCTTTCGGCCAGTTCAACAAATACACCGTCTTTGGGTACTCGGGCGCCTTGACTCCGGCCAGCGACTTATAGCCCTCCCCGTACAGCACCTGCTGCGCAGTGTCCCACAGTGCCGGATCCCGCGTCAGTAGGCCCGGCGTGTCCAAGCCCGGACTCAGCGGTGTTACGCCCTCGAGCGACACGAGCCCCTCGGTGGGACGATTGCCAAAGACGCCGATGACCTGGGCCGGCCCGCGGACGCTCCCGCCCGTGTCCGTGCCAAGCGCGAGGTCCATCCAGGGGTAGGCCGCAACGCTCGCGGCGCCGCCCGAGGAGCTGCCCTCGGGCGAGGCGTAGCCGTCACCGCGCGGGTTGAACGGGAGATGCATGTCGACGGCGTCGGAGGTGTAGCGGTCGCCGAGGGCAAACTGCGCCAGCATCTGGTACCCGACAACGACGGCGCCGGCGTCGACCAGCCGCTGCACGGCGGTTGCGCTCGCATCGCACGGCAGGTCGTAGAGGTGGTACCAGGCGCGGTTGGCGTTGGAGCGCCGCGCGCCGCGCACGCAGAACAGGTCCTTGACGCCCAGCCGCACCCCCGCGAGCGGCTGCGCGGCGGTCACCGTGTAGTACAGCCGCGAGGGCACGCCCATGGTCAGCGTCATGGCCGTGGGAATCTGCGCCGACAGCGTCTGCACGCGCCCGCCGCCGTCGGTGCTCTGCAGCAAGGACCCGGTGAAGGCGTCGGCGTAGTCGTCGTACAGCCGCAGCGCGCGGTGCACTTTCCCGGTTTGTGCATGGAGAAAGTACGGTCCCGAGGGGAGTTGTCTGGTGGTGGTGGTGGTGTTGGGCGGTAGGTGCTGCACCAGCGCGGTGGTGTTGAGGAGCTTCATGGACGAGGGTGCGTGCTGCGAGGACTCGGACAGAAAGCGGCCGTCAGCCACGTAGACGCCGCCCCAGAGAAACGACGGCTGGAAGACGTCGTCGCGCTCAAGCCAGCTTTGAAGCAGCGAGTCCAGGCTCGTCGCCTCGGCGGTGCTCTGGACCACCGTCACCGGCATGAAGCCTCCGGCCGTGACCGCAGCGAGGTCAATACGAGGCAGAGGCAGCTCCCCGGTCACGTGTGGATCGATGAAGTAGTAGATGCCGTCGAGCTGCACGCTGGCACCGTCAAAAACGACGTTGGCTGCGTAGACGCCGCTCAAGACGCCAAGGACAGCCCAATGGCTACGCTTTGCGAAGTTCAGCATATTTCTCTGGTGGCAGGACTACAAAGTAGACTGGCTTGATGGCAAGACTAGTATTTGCGCATCCCCCGGCTGCTATTTATTCCTCGGAGTGAGTGCGGAGAGGGCTCATCACTTAACAAGGCTACCGGCCGGACCAATGGTGACACGAGACCGTTTCCGTGGTGGGATCATGTACTGCATGCATATTGGCATCCTCCACAGGAGCAGATCGAAAGGGGAAAAGACGGCAGGATTATGATCTGCAATGTGTGTAATAGTTACATGTTCTCTCCCTTGGTGAGCGAATGAGAGACACCGCTCGGAGTTGTCTCTGCGTCTCTGGATGCTCGGACAAGGAGGGGGGGGGCTGGTACCCCGCGGGGGAGACGAGAAGGGCATGACTTCGGCCTGGGTCATCACTCCATGCAATCCTGCAGGATTCCTGACCGGTGGGCCGGACCGTGATGTGCAGATGGGCTGAGCACAACGGTCAAGATGGCGAGAGACGGAATGCTGTTGCAGCAGCCCCAGGAGCGCAGTTTCCGAAAGAAGCCTCGCCGAAGTACACCGAGGAGGGAGGACACTGGAACAAAAAAAAAACACGTAGTAACTACCTAGTCTTGGTCCCTCCTTACCTAGGTACCTAGTAGGGTTTCTTCCAACTAGAAGCGTAGATAGTTTAAGTATTCAATATTCGCTTCGAGGTTAGTTTTGTGGTCCGATTTGGCGGGCCGCTCGGAGCTTGCCTAGCGTGACACGAACCCAGGCTTTTCCTTTTTTGACATTACTGATGAATTCCTGATGTCGGAGCCTTCATAATTTGCATAATTTGGCCTTGGCCGGCGTACTAGGAGAGTGCAGAGAGAGATAACTGGTGCCCGAGTACTCGGTTATCGGAAGAGTCGTCAGGCGGCGGGACCTGCTATTGCTTTCTGAGTTTATATATTAAAGACATAAATGTATATATAATGCAAGTCTCTACACAGGTCTCGCGACGCCGCTCCGCATCTTGCAGAGAGAAGAGTTCGTAGGCCAAGAGACGAAACTTCCACTTACAAACTGTGGTGGGTATGTACTTCCGATGGAATGCTGCAAAGCGCAAGAAATCAGGAAAAAACGCACGCTCTGAAAAATGCCATCCCCATATCGCTTCAAATGCTTCATGTCCAGTCTAATATGCCCCTCGACGCATTCCAATGCTCTTCTCCACACCTACACCATTGAAATCGCCCATACATCTTTTCCGCCACCCCAAACATCTCACAACGCTTCTTCATTTCATTTACCCCTTCTTGCGCTAGATTCGAGTTTCGGCACGCCGTTCAATGGCAGCATCGGTTGTCGCAGTTCGAGTTCGGTCAACTAGGCTGCCCACCCCAGCGTCTCCAAGGTATTCTTCGATTCAGACGCCGTCATGCTGCAGACGCCCAGTTGCCGTGCTTGAGCGCCGCGGCGCAGGCGCTGGAGGGATGCGCCAACCTTCCAGTACTCGGTTTCGTCGATGACAAAGAGATATCGCTTACCGTCCTGGTCACGAACTGTCGTGCGGAGCAAATGAAGCCCTCGGGCTTTCCACTCGCCCGACTGACCAGTCGAAGAAGTGTTAGTGTTACCAAATTTTTGTTCGCAAAGGCCGAGACGGCAACAGTCCTTGCACGCCTTGAGCATGTCAGTCAGGTAGACATCCGCATCTTCGCCCATGAAAGGCTTGTTGGGGTCCCTGTCGCTTGCACGTGCACGGCCTGTTGCCATCTTGTAAAGCAAATTCGCACTCTTGTTGTTGGGATTGGGAATCGAAGCAGACGCATAATTCAAACAGTGCGGGGGGCACCATACCTCGACCAACTTGAGGGTCCATGCCTTGACGTCCCATTCGCGTTGTGGCACGCCGCGAACGTCATCGTCAATAAACAGGCCTTCAGTGGTGATGCGCAAGATTAAACCGTCCGTGACGGAGCCCACGCCCGAGATGAGCTGGCTCGCAGGCGTCTTGGCATATTGGTTCATAAACAGGTAGACAGCCTGTATGACAATCTTGTCTGGATCTTTCGTCGTGTACGGACCACGCATCGAAGGCGGAGGCGAAGTGCGGGCTGTTGTGTGAGAGGGTGTCCATGAACCATCCGAGGCCATGGAACCCCCAGAGTTTCTTCGCTGCTGTCTCCTCGCCTTATCGTACGGGCGGTAGGAGAATTCTTCATCACCGACATACGTCTTCGCCGTCGGGGCTGGTGGGGGTTTGGGCGAGGTCGGAGGCGCTTTCGTGGTGGTTGAGCTTGGTGGCACTGGAGGTTTTCCATTGGGCCACATGCTCATCTTTTCCCCAACACCAGAGAACGCATAACTGCTTCCACCACGATTCGTTGTTGGCGGTACTGCCTGTGTTGATGATTGGGATGGTGCTTGTGATGGAGGAGGCGGCGGTGCTGCAGCCTTTGCTTTCGCCGCAGCAGCGTTGGCCTCCGCAGCCTTGGCCGCTGCGACCTTTACTGCAGCTGCCTGGGCTTCCTTTTCCTTTTTGTCGGCAATTTCCTTGTCTTTTCGCTGCTTCTCCTTTTCTCGTTCTATTCTCTCCTTGGCCTCCTTGGCACGGAGCTCTGCTAAACGTTTGGCAAGCTCCTCACGACGCTTCAGCTCAGCTTCTTTTGCTTTTCGTTCCTCTTCCTTTCTTCTCATATCGTCTCGTGCCTTCTCCCATGATCCTTTAGCTGACGGTTTAGGGTTCTCTGGTCTCTTGTTTGCTGGTTGCGGTGGTGGTCTTTGCCAAGAGGATTGAGGCTTCTCAGCACCCGCATGCGGAGGAGGTGGCGGGGGTGGTTGGTGTGATTGTGGTGGCGGTTGCTGAGGGGGCGGCTGCTGAGGTGGCGGTTGGGGCGGCGGTTGAGGTGGCGGCTGAGGCGGCGGTCCGTTGGGGGGTGGTGTAGAGGTATAACCGCCCGGAGGAGGACCGGCACTTGGGCCAGAGGTGGGCGGAGGACTGGATGACTTGGACTTGGACCTCGAGGAGGAGCCGGTGTCATTTTGGGTGCGTCCGAGAGCCCAGGCACCAAAACCAACGCCAACGATAAGCAGTGTTATGCCCATGTTACCGAGACCTTCGAAGCTCTCCCACCAGGTGCGAAAAGCAGGTGCCATGCTCTGGCACAGCACAACAAGTATCAAAGCTGAGGCAAAGCCGGCGACGAAGCTGTTGATGTTGGGTTGCAGAGAGGGCAGGTAGAGAAACCCAGAGCCGGCTGAGTGTTCAGGAATTACAAAAATGTCGTATTTGCCCGGGGGAAGACCACCAGACCGCGGCATCTCGCCATGGGGCGGGGGCGGAGGGGGCGCACTCATGGCAAGTGCGCCTTATGGGGAGCGAAGGAAAGAGAACGCCAGAGACAAGATCAGAAAGAAAACGCTATAGTCGGGGGTATCTTGAGGACGCCATTTGGCAGAAGTCGTGCAGTCGTGACAGGAAGTTTGAAGCTGCGACGTGGTGTTAGCGCTTGCGTTGAGAACAGGCGGGATGTCGCGGTTGAAACACACAAACGGGCGGGAGCAAGGCGACAAGACACGAAGACGATCGAAGGCGAAGCAAAGGGAAGACGATGGAGGCTTCCCGAGCCAGCCAAGGAGTAAATCGAACGGAGCAGAGAATAGGAGGTGGGTGGTCGACGGTCGACGCTGCGGAAGCTTGTTGTTTAGCTTGCCCCCAACGGGCGGATAGCAGAGACCAATACAGAGTCGGATGTGCTTTAATCGGTCGTGTTGGTTCACGAGCACGGAAATAGCAAAGGATGAGCAAAACGAGGTCAGATCAAGGAGGAATCCAAGCGGCAGCAAAGAAGAATTCTGAATCGGTAGAAATGGGGGGACGGGCTACACCAAAAGCCGATGGAAATATGGTGGTGGATTGGTGGTGGTCCTTGTGTTTACTTTGGCTGGGTTGGGACCTTGGGAGGGATCCAGGATCCAGGGTCAGCGACTTTTTTTTTTTCACTCCCCACTTTGTCCAGTGGAGAGCCAGATTACGTTACAGTGCACGAGTGCCTACCTACTAACCTGTTACGAAGTCTTGTTACAGGCCTTTCCGTGGCAGCCCACCCGGCAGCCTTTTTTTAGCGCGCAAACACAGCAAACGCACTGCCTGCCAAGCAGTGAAAAATCCCCCTCCTCTCCTCCTCCCCTCCTCAACCTCACTCAACCTTTTCCCTTTGTCTCTTCACCTTCCCGTCCAACCGTCCAATGATGCCATCTTCCATCACCTCTCACGCCCGCTACTGAAATTGCCACACACACTCGGCAGGCCCTCATTTCACCCCGCCGGCGGTTCATGTTACTCTCAACAAGCCAATCACCCAATCACCCGGCCTGCGCCACGGTTTGATACCGCAGACAGGGCTCCTGGTGCCACCCGTTGGCCGTGTCTGTCCCCCAATCATCCATCGGTGTACGGACGGATCGCATGCACGCAGCACAATGCACAAGAGCGGATGTTGTTGCGGAGGCGAGGCGAGGCTCGCCACACTTTGATCCGCAGCCATCGTCAGTCAACCAGTCTCGATGATGCCGACACCGGCATTCCTTGCCCTGCCATCCGAAGACGCCGAATTTGGCAGGACCCTGCGGCAGTTTTTGGACCAGGGGGACTCTGAAATGAACAAGTAGCAGGGCCCCTGTAATAAATCATACTCCCTATTATATCTCATCAACATTGTCACGCCGCACGAGAAGTGCCTCTTGTTGCTTGACGAGAGCCCGGAGACGAAGTGGCCAGACCCAAACGCATCCGGGTAACGTCGTGCGAACGACTGCTCATATGCATCACTGCCCAACCGCAGCTGCGACTCCTCCCAATCGGGTCGTCCCCCAATCTGACCCGGCCGAGTCAGGAGGGGCGGGAACCGTCGAAAAAGACATGCATCCCTCTGCATACCTAGGCGGTCAAGGCTGTCAAGTCACCAGTATCCTCACAAACCACGCGTTCTGCAGCGGGGGAACACGTTCAGCCTGGTACATGCATGACCAAGGTTTGACACAAGACAAAACCATGCCGCGCTCGCGTTTTTGTTAGGCGCGCTGCTCCATCTGTTCTTTTCCTGGATTGGATACAAGGGACATAGTATCAATAGCAGGGAAATGTCTATACCAAGACGGGCATCGCAAAAACTGCCAAAAGATGAAGATTGCCTAGTCCAAAATTAGGTCCCATTGTTGTGGTGCTCGTCCTTTGCTGAGACGCTAGCGTCCCGCCGTTGCCGGGCAACCGCCCTCACTAGCTTCATATCTGACGTATCTGACGTAGCCACCACGGCTAGACCCGTCCTTGCCGCCCGGCCTGCATCTCCGTTGCAATTCTGCCAATTTGGCCACTGCGGCGCGGTTCGCATGCAGTCACCGAATTAAGCAGATGCGGCATAAAGTGATGTGTGTTTCTATATGGCATATCTGTGTCGCCGAACTCGCTGCGATAACCGCAACCAGCTTGCCAGCGGACCGCCAACTTGACATTGGCAGGCCCAAAAAGAAAAAGAAACAGAATACATTGTGTCTTAAAGGAGCGTTGGTATGAATTAACGATTCATACCCCAATGGAATACGCGCTGGGCCTGCCAGTATTCCACCCTCCCTGCTCCGGAAGCTGCGGCTGTGGCTCGGATTAGAGTCGCATTCAGAGGCATCCGACGTGCTCTTACCAGCCCCAGCACCTTACAATAGGCGTACGGCATATGAGAGCTCTTCGTCATCCAAGTTGTGCCAGCGCTTTCATCTAGTTGTGCCCGTTCGTGTCGATGAGAGCAATACACTCGTACCTTTTCATGAACGCCCAGATGTCCAGAAAGAAGCCAGTCAGTCATTACGGCGCACCATTCATTCAGACGCTAGAACAACTCATTTTTTTCACTACAGAGCTAAAAAGAAAAAGGCGTAAAGATAGTAATACGTCGGACAAACTCGCTCATGCACCTAATTACGGATGGTCTTGGCTGTACGCTCCTGTCTCTTTTGCTGGCCGACGAGACCATCACGAAGTATCTGTGGCACATGCAGGACATCACAGTTCAATTTCATGTCTGCCATGTCATTATTCCCATATGTTAACCGAAGGTTCTTTCATCCATTCTCAAACTGCCGCAGTATCTCGATCACAAACTTTACTAATGAAGTTGACGGGAGTCGATTTCCATTCACATATCTGCCCAGGAGAACGACAGTCTCAACTTCAAGCCTAAAATGTGATATCAGAGTGAAAATATTATAGCGCAGGAAAATGTGCAACTGTGTCCGGCATCCATAGCTTTGACCGGGCTGCACCATGCGGCGGCGCTCTACAGGTTGACGCGGGGTTGTACTCGAGAGCCCTAGAGGAGAGGACTCATGCATTTGGTTCGCGGTTTGCCGTTGCTTTTTCTTTGGTCCATCTCTGCAGTCTCGCCTCAGGAAAAAGAAATTCCAGCAGAGTTGGCCACCCTCGCCACGTCATGATGATGGTGGTTGGTGCACGCGCACACTCTTTCGGCTTCCAAAATAGGCTCGCCGGCAATCGTCCAATTGTTTGTTTGCCCACACCACGCTACAAACCCAACGTCCGCAACGGCGTCAAGACGTTTCCAGAACCCTTTTTTTTTTTCAGTGTGTTTGCCGATGTTTCCATAAGACCGGTTGACGGTCGACCAATTTTTTCGTCCAGCCAGCTTCTTCTACTCCATCAAGCATCATCAGCCTTGAAGAACCTGTTTGTTTGATCCCTTGGCACATCGATCGAGCCCGTGGCTTTTGACCAGGCCAAATAAGCAACAGCCCGCACACAGTCATGTCGCTGTACCTTGCGCCGGCAGGCGAGGCCGACGCCGACCGCTTCGCCGCCATCGAACAGGCCGCCCTCCCCAACGACGCCACCAGCGCGGTGCTCTTTCCCGGGCCGTTCCCCGAGGGCGGGATATCACGCGGCGACCAGCTGCGCGAGCACCTCCTCAGCGACCCCGACTGCCACTGGGTCAAGGTTGTCGACCGCGACCTCGAGGCGGCGGGACGCGGCGACGAGGCTACCGTCGCCTTTGCCGTGTGGTACTTTTGGCCCGCGCGGGGCAAGCCGCTGCCCACGTCCGCATGGGGCCCCGGGACCAACGCCGAGGCGTGCAAGCTCTACTTTGGCGGGCTCGACCGGCGGTGGGAGGAGGATGTTGGCAGCAAGCCGCATGCGTGTAGGTCCCGGGGACTATCCTGGGGTGTGTGCGCCCATCAACTACGGCTAATTCATCCATTGCAGACCTCAAGTATGTGCATACCGACCCGGCGCACCAGCGCCGAGGGGCCGGCGCCTTGACAATGGCGTGGGGCACCAAGGAGGCCGATGCCAGGGGCCTGCCGGCGTACGTGCAGGCCTCGCCGCAGGGTCAGGGGCTCTACGCCAAGTTTGGCTTCGCGCTCATCGACACGTACGCCGTGGATCTCTCCCCATGGGGCGGGCCGGCGCGCGACGAGACGGCCATCATGATGAGATCCGCCGGGGCAGCGCAGCCATAGCAATAGAGTATCTTCGGAAGAATGAGGTTTGGAAGAGGCAGTGTTCAGATAGATAACGGTGATGGATATATATGATTACCCAGTTTCTAACTCAGAGGGTGTATACCATCGATGCTCGTGTACAGCAAGACAAAAAGATACATGGCTGAAAGCAAAAAGAAAGTTGTCATTGTACCGTCGCAGATGCCCGCCAATATGTTGATGGAATAGCACAAGAATTCAAAAAGCTTCACAACTGGACTCCGCCAAGGAGTAACAGAAGGACACAAACAACCCACATGCACGCGCGGTACACGCAGCGCGCCAGCCAACCGAGCCGCGCCCCGGCCTCTGCGGCGGCCACGCACAGTCGGACCGCCAGCGTCAGCACCGGCAGCGCGAGCCCCCGTCACATCTTGCGGATGCGGTTGTTGGCCACGCCGAGCTTGCCGCGGACACGCGCCTCATCTTCGTCGAGCACGTCAAGCATCTGCGTCTGCCGTTCTACCTCCTCATTGATCTGAAGGCCCATTTCCTTTTGCCGCCGTATAATGGCCGTCAGCTGGTCGAGCTGCAGATCCTGCGCCTCCATTTCCTGCTTCTGCAGCAGCAGAACACCCTGGTTGTCGAGCTCACGTGTCTTGTCCGTCTCCGAGGCCGGCGCGCCGCCGCCAAGGCGACGGCCGCCTGGGCGCGCGCTGTTGAGCAGCTTGGCCTTTTCCGGTGACATGGACAGGCCATCACCGCGCGCGGAGCTGCCGCCGAGAACGCTGCTGGGCATACTATTGGCCAGCTTGTCGAGGCCCTCACGCTCCATCTTGGCCGTCGACACGAGGTCGCGCCGACGGCGCAGCTCGCCATCGCCGATGCGCCCCGACTCTTGCAGCTTCTTGAGGCCTTCGGTAAGAATTACGACCAGTGTGCCGCCGCGGACAATCGATTTGCGGGCGGACGCGGCGGCTTCGGCCACTGCCGTCATATTGCCGCTGTCGGCGGCGCCGTCTCGTTTCGAGAGTGCGATTCGGGCGTCGTGGAGGTGCTGCTTGAGCTCCTTGTGCAGGTCAAGCCATGTCGCGGGATCGGCCGCGCCCGACGCGACGTTGGAGGCTCGCCCGCCTGCCGAGACGGCCGAGTTTGTGGTGCTGGAGTTGGGGAGGTTGAGAAAGGCACGCCACGCCGGGGTGTCGCGCCAGCGTCGGTCGGGCGACTCAGCAATCGTCTTGAGGTAGCGCTCGAGGCCGACTTGTCGCTCGCGCGCCAGGTCAGGCGAAGTGACTGTTGATTTGAGCCAGTGCTTTTGTGGCAGTGGCTGGGGTGGTGCCGAGCCGACCTGCTGGAGCAGTGTCTCATGCAGCTTGCCAAAGTCCGAGTAGCGCTTCTGTACGACAAAGGACCGCAGCGGTAGCCGCAGAGTGATATTGTATAGTGTATATGGCTTCCCCGAACCCTCGTCGGAGATGCTCGTGGATGGAATGGCTATTTCTGGAGGTGGTGCCATTGTTCACCGAGGTGTGACGTCTACGGCTCTAGTCGTGTGTTCGGCTCGTGTGCTCGACCGCCAATCTCGCCGATGCCTGCCTGTCCCAACTTGATTGCAAGAAACAAGAGCCAGGAGATGATGAAAGTCGATGTGAATATGAAGGCGACTGTCGATGGTTGCCTGCTGGTGGTCGCGTGGTCAGTGTAACTAAGGTTGTCAGGCGGCTGGAAAAGTGATGATGCAAGTTGTTTCGGACAGGTGCTGCTGGAGCGGGCCTGGTGAGAGATGCGGCGATGTGCCCAACCTGTTACAGTGGTCTCTGCAGTGTGGTAAGCCCCAACAGTGCTGCGCTAGTGCTGGTGCGACAGACTCAAAGCACCAGCACCTTGCTGACGATTTCGGCTTGAATAAAGTTAGTAGTAATTACCAATGACATATCCATGTCACACATTCATGAGCAACAGCGTCTTTAATACGCCGGGCAGCTTTAATAAAGTCTATATCCCTTGTCACTGTTACGTGGATTCAGCTTCGACGATTGCATCCCATCCTCAATATCAGCCCGAACGAGCCCCGACAAAGACCTTGTCCAATGCCTTTTAATTGTAATTACACTGCTTCAGTCCAGTTTGCCCACCAGTCAACCCGCCACTCGAGCTGCTTTCGCTCGCGACGCAGCCCTGACTCTATAAAAGCTTTGTGCAGGTGTCAGCAGCTTGGTCTCCCTAGTTGCTCCAGATCAAATGCAGCTCCATTTCGTTAAGTCGTCACATAGTCCGCTCCTTGGCATTTTTAGAATGTCTCCTGGTCCTCCGCTGCTTCTCCCTCCTCTGGAATTTCAAAGCCTTCCTCGGTGGAGTATAGAATGGTTTGGATGTGCTTGACGAGGCCATCTTCCTGCTTCTCGAGTTCGGGATCCTCGTCGATAGCCTGCTGGATGAGAAGCTCAATGTCACGCAGCTTGCTAAAGTAAAAGTCACGTTCGCGCTCGAGGCCAACCACAGTCTCTTTCAGCGTGGCATTCTCTTGCTGGAGGGCGGCAGAAGGCGCTCCGCCGGTTCTAGGGGCAGCGCGACCAGGGGCGGTGCTTGGTGTGATGCCGCCTCTTCTGGCGGCACCACCGCTGGAAGCCACTGGGGCCTTGGGCCCGCTGGCCGCAAGCGTGCCTCCCTTTCGACGGGCGACGGCATCGTATTCGTGATCGGGGAAGTTCAGGTCCCAAAACTTTTTCGTCCACTGCAAGAACTCAAGATTGTCTTGCATCCTGCACTTGACGAGCTGCTCGATCGGGATGGGCTTGTCGATCTGGTGCTTGGCGAAAGTGTCTGTTGCCGTTAGGTTAGAGCGCGGCCGCCGTTTGAGTCGGGAGACTCGACTTACTCTGCAGCACTTTGAAATTTTGAACATATGCATACTCGCCATTGACGTTAAATTTGACCTTGTGCATGGGCACATCCATGTATATACTGTCATAGACCTGGCAGAGTGCAGCGCTATTGCGGTGTTAGTCGTTCGTTTGCCCCTGGCGTCGCTCACAATTTCAAGCGGGGGAGGGGTAAAAATCTGGTGCAACGTACCCTGTGCCGCATTGCTCAACTTTGGTGATGTTGAGCTGCAGGAGGTTGTTCAGCCATTGAACAAGTTCTTGCCTGTCGTCGTCGGATTCGTCAGTCTAATTCGCGGGCATGCGATGCGAAGCTGCGGTGAGGCGGCGTGGACCTACCGAGATTCGCCCATTGTGCCTTGTTGATGGTGCGGTCGGTGCCGAGTCGAAGGGTTTGGTTGAGTGTGTCGCTATGGGAAATAGATATGCAAAAAATGAGTCTTGAAATGACGACGTGGATATCGAGTTGCTGCAGTTGCAAATCGCCCTTGTTTGAGAATGCAGTCAACAGGGAAACACTGGTTGCTCGTGAGATTATCAACTGTTGAATGGAGAGTACGCGCCCAGCGAACAGTAAAAGCAGCCGGCTTCTGGTCGGCCAATCAACCAACGGTGGGGTCTGGCGTGCTGGCCAAAGCAGTTTGTAGGTAATTTGCCATGGATCACGTGCATCGACCCCCAGAACAGGGACCACTCGTAGCCGCTCGAACGGCAGAACGGAGCTCTCATACTCACCGCCAAAATTTCAAAAACGGCAGAAAATTATGGACAACCAGCCGCGCCGTAAATTTTATGTCCTTTCCAGGCGGGCAAGGTAGTCAGCCACAGCGCGACAAATTATCTTCTCTCAGAAACAATGGCTCCCGCACAAAAAAGAAAGTCAGTCGAGGATGATTTCGTCCACACGATATCAGATAATGACGAAGATGTCGCCGAGGAGGAATTGATGCCGGCCGAGCCACCCAAGAAGAAGACAAAGACGACTAAAAAAGCAAAGAAAGCTTCCAAAATTAAAAACAGCGCAGAAGACGAAGATGAGGAGGCCGACGGTGTATGGGGCCGTAAAGACGATGACGACGGTGCCATGGACGCCGATTTCGAATTCATGGCTGATAATGCCGGCGACTTTGGTGAGGAAGAGTTTGAGGGCTGGGGCTTCGAAGGTGCTAGAAAGAGCATGAACATGAACAAAAAGATGGTGGACATTGACGATATTATTCGAAGAAGAAGGGAAAGAAAGGGAGAAGCCCCTGCAGATCCCGAGGACGAGGTCGAGGACGAGGACGAAGAAGATATATTTGGGGATGGCATGGAAATGGACGACGATGACGATGAGGTTCTCGCTGAGGACGCATTCGGCATGAATGTTGATCTAGGTTCAGAGGAGGAGGATGAAGAAACTAAAGGAAACGGCAACGAGGAAAATGGCGACAAACAAGAGGATGGCGCTGCGTCTGACAATGATTCTGTTGCCACTCCAGAGGCTCATCCTGACGATGACGAGCTATCCGAGACCAGCGATCAAGAAGATGCCGAAGAAGAAGCCAAACGAGTGGCTTTCTTCGCTCCCGAAGAGAAGCCTAAGGGTGGTAAGGAAGCAAAGATTTCTTCTTTCCAGGCCATGTCCCTTTCTCGCCCCATCCTCCGCGGTCTCACCAATGTCGGCTTTACAAAGCCTACACCCATTCAATCCAAGACCATTCCTATTGCTTTGATGGGTAAGGATATTGTTGGTGGAGCCGTCACTGGCTCTGGTAAAACTGGTGCTTTCATCATCCCCATCCTCGAACGACTGCTGTACCGACCGAAAAAAATCCCGACTACCCGAGTAGTTGTTCTTACGCCCACTCGTGAGTTGGCAATCCAGTGTCACGCGGTCGCGACCAAGCTTGCCGCGCACACGGATATCAAATTCACTTTGGCTGTCGGAGGTCTCAGTCTAAAAGTCCAAGAAGCTGAGCTCCGCCTCCGTCCCGATGTTATCATCGCTACGCCGGGTCGTTTCATCGATCATATGCGTAATTCGGCTAGCTTTCCCATCGACACGGTTGAGATTCTTGTTCTTGACGAGGCTGATCGAATGCTGGAGGACGGTTTCGCCGACGAACTGAACGAAATACTCACCACTCTTCCCAAATCCCGGCAGACTATGCTGTTCTCTGCTACCATGACGTCAACAGTCGACAGACTTATCCGATTGGGCATGAACAAACCCGCCAGAGTCATGGTCGACTCGCAGAAGAGGACTGTAGGTACACTGGTTCAGGAATTTGTGCGCCTGCGCCCTGGTCGAGAAAACAAGCGCATGGGCTACCTGACACACCTCTGCAAGACGCTGTACACAGAACGAGTCATTGTTTTCTTCCGCCAAAAGAAGGATGCTCATGAGGCCCGAATCATCTTTAGCATTCTGGGAATGACTTGCGCAGAGCTTCACGGGAGCATGAGCCAAACAGGAGTAAGTTTTTGTTTATTTCCATCGTACTGGCCACTGCCGAGCCTGTGTTAACATGATGTAGCGTATCGAGAGTGTGGAAGCTTTCCGAGACGGCAAGGTCAACTATCTCCTCGCGACCGATCTGGCGTCCCGCGGTCTGGACATCAGGGGCGTAGACACAGTCATCAATTATGAAGCACCTCAGTCGCTGGAGATTTACGTGCACAGAGTCGGACGTACGGCCCGTGCTGGTCGCAAGGGTGTGGCATTGACTCTGGCTGCCGAATCAGACAGAAAGGTGGTCAAGGCTGCAGTCAAGGCTGGCAAAGCCCAGGGAGCCAAGGTCACGAGTCGCATCGTTGAAGCTGAGAAAGCAGACAAGTTGCAGGCTGAAATTGATGGTATGGAGCAGGAGATTAAGGAGATTATGCGAGAAGAAAAGGAAGAGAAGCACTTTGCGCAAGCAGAGATGCAGGTTAGAAAGGGAGAGAACATGATTGAGCACGAGGCCGAGATCAAGTCACGGCCCAAGAGAACATGGTTCGAGACGGAGCACGAGAAGGGCAAGGCGAAGGAGGCTGGCAAGACAGAGCTGAATGGTCCGCGCCAGTCGTCGAAGAAGAAGCTGGGCAATGCCAGCAACAAGGTAAAGAAGCAGTTGGACATCAAGGCAGAGCGAGCAGATGGTATGGGGTGGAGGAAAGGCAAGACGGATGCGCTGAATGCACAGAAAAAGCAGAGCCAAAAAGGAAAAGGCGGCAAGAAGGGCAAGGCCGGCGGGCGCAAATGAATACGACTGGCATGGGAGGTTGAGGGAGCACGGCGTTGGTGTACATGATGCATTTACTTAGAAACTGCAAAAACTATCTATCTTCCTGACGTTGCAACGAGTACTCAATGTGACATTGCGCTTTATGTACCTTGGGGCAAATGGAGCATCGGTTGACCTGGAGGCTTGTCAACTACCTACCTGACTATGTTGCGGGTGAAGGTTGTGCATCACATGATGGCATGGGCCTGACATCCAGGGTTGCATCGGCATGGGTTGGTCGCGCCTGGGCAGCGGTTCATCTTGATCTCCCTCGAGGATCCGGTCGTCGTGGTATGGACACCACTAGCACGGCGGTATATGCAGCAATGTTGTTGACGAATCATTTGTTCGCGTTGGAGGAGGGTGGTCGCGATGTCTACAACGGGCTGCAGCCTCCAGGGCAGTGGCGACGCGCTAACGAGGCACTAACAGTCATCAGTATAACGGGTCATTTCGAGCAGCAGGCAAAGATGATGGATGATGCAGTGATTTGGGTGAAAATCGAGGTCCACTGCTGGTAGTTGGTGAGGGTCGCAAAGCCATTCAGTGCCTGCGAATTCGACGGCAAATGCCCACTGCTCCCTGCCTACCCTACCTTGTTAGGTGGTAGGCAGAGATCCCAACAACCCCTCCCTCGTCTCACATTCCCTCTGCGGCCAACAAGCACTTTGTCCAGGTCGACCGTTCTTCAGAGATCGCATTAGCTGTTTTTATTGATCCGCACCGACTTAGGCCTTTGACCAGTCGTCAGGAGACGTACGCGCCTGAGAGGTTGAAAGGCAGCCTCGCACATGCGCTGGGCGCGCCACGAGGCCAGTCACCCTTTGTGCCGACACCAGGTCAGAGTCAGAGGCGCACACAAGCTACCTAGTTATAAAAATAAGCACAGCCTTTGGTTCTGGCATCACTAAAACCATTGCCAGTCTCGATATCCCGCTTCTCCTTGGACACCACTGACAGACAAGCTGGCTCTATTCCGGATATTCAATTTCGGCCGCCTGCGCCCACAACTGCTGCGACAACGGATAAGCCTGCTACAACGAGCAGCCATCCCCGCCAGTCTGCGTCAACGATACAAGGACGGTCTCGTGCGCCTCCACCTCGATACCCTGCCGGCTGTCAAGCACGGGCTGCAATCGCGCGTCTACCGATACCTGCTTAGGCGTCAGTCTCGCCGCATCGAACGAGGGCGTATCGCACGTCTGCTCGCCACACCCAGCAGGCAGCAGCCAAGCACTTGTCGACCGACCGCCGCTACCCCTCAGCACCAGCAGCGAACGATCACGGCCAGCGATGGGAGTGCTCGGGGGCGCATCATAACCACGCAGAACAAGATGCCTGCTTTTCCATTCCAAGCCGGCGCCATGCCCGCCGTGGGAAGCGACGACGCGCAACCGAGCCAGGGTGAACGAGGATACAGACGAAGGAAGCTGGCAGAAATGGCCGGGAGTCTGTATCGCACAGGCCAGCAGGCCGTCACCGACATGCGCGAGACATATGTCCAAACACGAACCCGAATGGCAGACACCGAGACGGACAACCGCGGCCACACTCACATCCCCGGAGCCTTCCCTGACGCCGCCATTACAGTACAGGGCGACGAGCACCTGGTCCTGTTCCCTTCCTATGCCAAACGCCATGCCAAGCGCAACTGGTCCAACGTCCAGGCCCAGAGCCAAACACAGGAGCAAGATGGCCCCGTGCGCGACGAGGAATATTGGCGGCAGGAGTTTGAGAAACACGAGGACGAGCGTGCCATTGCCGATGTCGATGTTAGAGGCTGGATATACAACCCTCACAGCGGTCCCATAGGCAGACGAAACCGCATCCTCATTGGTCTCGCGCGTCAACTCAGTGGCATCTCGGCTCCCCGAGCTGAAGCGAACATGGCAGATCCCACCGCCGCCTCGGACGTGCCGCCAAGCCACCATCAAGTTCATGAAGAGCAGAAGGAGCAGGAAAAGATTGACCAGGAAGCCGCCAATATCGAACGAAAGGGCCGCCAGGAGAAGCAAATTGCCGGCGTCGGAGGCTATAGCGAAGAGCCCTCTGGCGGTAGTGCCCACGTTTCCGAATCATTTTATTCACGACGATCCCGCCGGCGAGGTAGCCAAACACCAGAGTCTGCGCCGGCGAGTCCGCTTTTTGGCGCCAGGCAGTCCAACGTCAATGAGCTGTCCGAGGCCGAGCTCACCCTAGCGAATGCGAATCTCATGGCCCGCATTGCCCCCTTCATGACCACTCCCCTCATTGGTCTTCCCGTGACAATCTTCTTTTACAACAATTCTCAGTCACAGTCGCGGACTGTTCTCACCGACGATGCTGGTCACTTCAACATCCGAGCAGCACTGGACTTTGTCCCTACTCATGTCCGCGTTCTTGGCAACGAGGACCTGTCTGCTACCCAGGAAGTCATCATCACCGAACCACGAGGTGTAAGTCTCATCAGCGACATTGACGACACCGTCAAAAAGTCCAACATTTCCAGCGGCGCGCGCGAAATCTTTCGCAACACGTTTATCCGCGAGCTCCGCGACCTGACCGTGGAGGGTGTACAAGAATGGTACACGGACATGCACAAGCAAGGTGTCAAGTTTCACTACTGCTCCAATAGTCCTTGGCAGCTGTTCCCAGTTCTCGCAAGCTTCTTCAAACTCGGCGGTCTGCCGCCCGGCTCTCTCCACCTCAAGCAGTACTCGGGCATGCTGCAGGGCATCTTTGAGCCGGTGGCCGAACGTAAGAAGGGTACTCTGACGAGACTCCTTGGCGATTTTCCGGAACGCAAGTTCCTGCTGGTGGGAGATAGCGGGGAGGCGGACCTGGAGGTGTACACGGACCTGGCCATTGCCAACCCAGGGCGCATCCTGGCCGTCTTCATCCGCGATGTCACTACAACAGAGCGTCCAGGCTATTTTGACTCGGCCTATGATCTCACCAGGAAGAGGTTTGGCAGCCTGGCAGTGGATGATGGTCGGTCAACAGTCGATCCCAACAAGAACCCTCGTCAACATTCTACGCCGGTGGTCTCTCCCATGGAAGAAAAGGCCCCAGTGGGCCCTGTTATGGGCACTTTGATCGACTTTGCAGAAGAACCGGAAGAGGCGACGCTAGATGAAACTGCGGCTCTTGCTCAGGTACGCAATAGAAAACCAGTATCGGCAATAGACTTGCTCAACCGCAAGGCTCCGCCGCCGCGTCCTGCCAAGCCGGCAGCGCTGCGAGGTGCCGCATCGACCATGAGCAATACAAACGCGGGGTTGGGTGGCAGGAGTGATGGCGACGTCCCTCCGCCCAAGCCGCCGCGGATCAAAACCACGGAACCTTCGTTTGTGGCGCCGAATCTCTCGCGACGGTCGTCCTCCAAGACGGCCAGCGAGATGGGGGAGGGCACAATGCCTTCGTCGCCCGACATTGCGCCGCCGCTTCCCCGGCGTAGTCTGCGCAACCTGAGCCCGCGCCTATTCGGCCATAACCGGGGCCTCTCGTTGAACTCGGACGTGGACTTTGAGCCCCTGCCGCCGGCCGCGAACCCGGTGCCGCCCACCGCACCAGCAGGTCTCTCGTACTACCGGTCAGGCTCGCGCTCAGGCGTCGCGACGCCGTCAGGCTCGCCCACGATTGGCGCGCAGGGCGTCAACAGGAAGCAGGACATGTGGCGGCGGCGTGTGGCGAGGGCGCACGAGCAACTCGACCAGTTGGGCGTCGTGCTGTATACCTGGCGCAAGGGCCAGGACGTGTCGGCGGAAGCGACAGCGATTATACACCGCGCGTTTGATGATTTGCATAAATAGACTAATAGCCTAGAATTCTTTTTTGTATCGACTACTGTTGTTGAACTTTCTATTTGTACATGGCCCGCGGTTCAGATAAATATACCACATGTCTATATCTGCCTGCGAACTGTTTGGCCCTCGTCTGGTATACTGAACAGCAAGCAACTCATGCAATGAATAGCAACAAGTCTCACACGGGGAAAGTGGCAAGTAGAAGATGGACAAGGACAGGGCATGACGACAGCCCATGAATGAGGCGGAAATCTGTAACTTTTTCGGGATTTATGCAAGACTTTACTCCGAACCGACACCAGCTATATTATGCGCATGGTCAAAATGCCTCGCCTCGAGACGAAAAACTATCTTTTGCAACAGACCAAAAAAAAGAAAAACTCTGTTGGCCAAGCGCAGGGCTGAACTTATTGGGCGGCACCCGTCCTCCCCGGACGCCTCTCGGAGCCCGCCCACTTCTTGTTTACCAGTTCTCAATGCCTATCATGTTGTCAGCAGAGGCCAAACTATATCACCGTCCACATATGGGAGATGGTCTCCACTCGTCGATCTTATGTAGTACAATATAGTAATTTGTACAAGGGACAAGACCTGTCACTCTCAGAGAGGCCTCGGCAAGAGTTGGCCTCCTTTTGGTCGGTCCTGATTACGCGCCAAACCGGGATGACAGATGAGCGTCATCTACAACTGCAAAGTGCCTCCCCCGTCGAAAAAACTAGTTGGCCCGTTTCATCCATGAGCGCGTGGAGGAACGAATGAGAAAAGGCAAACTGGTGTGACAGGGGGGGGGGGAGGCGGCATTCATGCCAGAAAAATCTTGCGCGTTTCTAATTAAACTAGCTTGCAACCATCACCAACATCTCCACAACCATGAACCCTGGTGTTTCGCATGGGTTTGGCCTTGGCATATGATATCCCGCGGCTTCCCCCAAGGAGAGAGGGGGGGGGGCAGCGGGAGTTTGATGGAAACGAACTTGTTTCTTTCGGATTTTGCCGTTTCTTCTCATCTTCTCCCCTCACGCAAAACCATACCTTTGTCAATCGCATTTCGATAAGCTTGATCTCTGGCAACGCGCCGCCCGAGACCATGTTTCTCGATATTTTTGGCAAACCCAAGATGAAGCCGGCCACGGCCATCAACAGCAACGCCTGGTACCACGTCACCGAGGGCCAGGTGGACAAGGCCGGCCGAAAGTTTACCTCGATGCTGCAAGTGGACGAGTCGACCGGCGGGCTCAGCGTCCTTGTACGTTTTTTCTCTTCAACTCTCCCCTTGACAAGCAACCTCGATCACTAACACCCCCTTCTTGCCTCGTCTACCAGCCCGTCACCAGTCCCCCATTCTACTGGCAGTTCCAGGCCGTCGCCGCGTCCGACGGCCGGTACGTGGTGCGCAACTCGCGCGACGGCGCCGCCAAGCAGCTGTCGGCGTGCCGCAACCGCACGGAGCCGGCCGACGGGCAGACGGGCCTCTGCATGGCGGCGGCCAACGGCGCCGACGACGCGCAGGTGTGGCAGCTGGACCAGTGGGGGGCCGACATGGTCCGCGACGGCCTGCGCTTCATCAACGCCGCCAACGGCACCCGCTTCTGGCTCGACGTGCACAAGGGCAACCCGCCGTTTATGAATAGCAATGTCACGGCGGCCGACAGCAGCGCCGCCGACGATGACGAACCAGAGAGTGAGCCCTCGCAGCGCTGGTACATGACGAGCGCGCAGGCCGTCAACGCGATTGAGTACTCGACCATTCAGACTATGGTAGGTGGGAAGAAGGCGGTCCGAGCCAGTGCAACTGGTGGTAGAAGGGGCGCGAGACTGATTCTTGATTTTGTGGCATGAGTAGATTTCTACAAGCGCCGCATCGACAAGCGCCGCATCGACAACAGCCGCGCGCGCAACCACGACCGCGACAGTGCCACCCGTGGCCGGCTCCGACAGCGCCCACCACCGCCTGTCCACGGGTGCGGAAGCCGGCATCGGCGTCGGCGCCGGTCTGGCCGGCATCGCGCTAACTGCCGTCATCGGGCTTCTCCTCTGGCGGCGACGCAAGAGGCAGACTGCTGCCGCCGCCGCCCCCGCCAGCATCCCCTCGCCGCCCGGCACGCCCAACACCAACAAGCCGCTGCCGCCCGTCGGCGCCGAGAGCAAGGTGTACGAGCTGTCGAGCGAGCCCTTTGACGATGGTAGCTACGGCAGCTACAGCAGCTACCAAGCGCACGAGCTGCCTACACCGACAGGGCCGCCGCCGTCGCACATGGCTCGCGAGATCCAGGCGCAGCAGCGCTACGAGCTGGACTCGACGCCTGTGCCCCGGCCGCCGCCGTGTATTCGAGAGATTGGGAGCGGATGGGAAGTTGAAGGAGAAATGGGGTCACAATTTGACAGGAGAGGCGCCTTTTTGAATCAAGATAGAAAGCACACATTGCACAGGAGTTTGGGCCTTTGGAATACTTGCTGAACACACGTTTGCACCACGTTTCATTTTGTCGGATACCAATTTCATTTACAAAAGTCTCGACTTTCGTGTCTACAGCGACCGCTAGTTTATAGATATATACGCAATCAAACAATGCCAAAAAGTGGCTATACAACAAGACAAAAACTCCCTGTAAACAGAAAATCGGCAGAGAAACAAAACGATACGCCAAATAACAGATGTCGTCATATGTCCTCACGGGTTTTCCAATACGACTAGGCTATGCCAACAAATCCTCCTTTTTCCATTTCTATCCTCAAATAACTCCCGCGTCCATCGAGCTCAAAACACACTGCCGCTCTATCATGCACATGTAAACACACGCTCACCTTGGTGCGCCTGGTCGGGCGTCCGTATCACCGGCGAGATTCATATGCATAATCGCGTCAGCCGTCCACTCTGCTTCGTCGTCTTCCAAGCCCTCTGCCCGGCCGTGGAACAGGTCCATGCTCTCTCGCCCATCAACTCCGGGCAGTCTTATCTGTGGAGCGCCCTGGTAGTCATCACGACGCATGCTCGGCGTGGAATCAAGCTCAGAGACGATAGGTGTCGCGGAAGAATCCTCCTTGTTCGTAAAACCGTAGTCACCAACACTGGTGTTTACCTTATCAGCGTAGTGAAAGTCATCCGGTCCACCCGTCGACCCTCTAGGTGCGAAGCCTGTCGGAGTCGTCTGATCCTCGGGAATCATGCCGTGCCTCGGGGGTGGCATGGTGGACATGGTATTGTATCGGGTATCATACTCTTCATGTTCGGGGATCTCCGGCGCTGCCTCGACGTTTCGGAGGCTAGATGCTCCAGCTGCCAGCATTGCTGAGCTGCGCACGCTTCCAGTTGAATTCCTGCTTTCGTCCGCTACTGGAACATCGCCCATGGCGGCTGGACTGCTGTCACGGATGCCAAACTGAGCCATGGTCCGCAGCTTACGTGTAACCCACCCGGCGAGAATCTTGCCGCGTTGTTTCTCGCCCAAGCGCGACCGTGGGAAATCGCCCTTGCTGACGAAGGCGACAATGTCGATAATGATTTGATGCTCACTAAGGATCGCATTGACGATTACAGGCACAATGGAAGCCAAGTAAGCCTTGCGATTGACCTCGACGAGCACAACATTGAGACCGCCAGCTTGGAAAACGGCACTGCAAAGGTTAGCATCACTTGACAGATGGGTTTGAGCACAACTTACCAGCCATTGGGCACAATATTACGATGGCACTTCTCCACCGAGGACTCAATATCCATTGGAAAGTGACTCAGCCCATTAATCTCAAATGTTTCCCCAATTCCACCAAGAACAAAGAGTACTTGCATGTCAACCAGCGCACCCCCAGGTCCAATAGGTCGGCTCACATTATACAGGAAGCCCAGATCACCAGTGCGCACATATTGTACGGCAGGATCCCCGTCAACAGTTCGGCCGTCAAAGCGTTCAGTATCAAAATCGTCCTTGGATCCATAGAATGACTTCACGCAGGCTTCCGAATCAACCCAAATCTCGCCATATTCGCCATCAAAGCAATGAGCTCTGCTCTCCGGGTTGACAATGGCAATCTGAGTCGAAACTGGCACCATTCCAGAGTCCTGAACTATGAGAGCCTTCGGATCCGACTCAGGATCTACGGGCAAGATCAAGCCTCGTCGGAGAGCCTTTGTATCAAGACAGAGCTCAATAGGCTCAATACACATGTATGATCGAGATGCAACCATTGGGTTGAGAACGTGAGAGTATACCGTATTAATGGCTGTAGGGTCCAGGCCAGCCTGGGCAAAGTGCATACGGACCTTCTGAAAGATGTCAACTCGAGGTCGACTGTCGGATGAAATCATCATATTTTTTAGTTCATGCAAGGTGAACGCCTTGGCTTGCATGGTGGACATGGCGTGGTCGAGCATTTGCGCCGTGGCATAGGTATCTTTGATCTTGTATCTGGCCAGGGTGACAAATAGCGACATAGGATTTTGCGCAAACTCGACTGGCGAGAGCAGATATGTTGGTGTGCCGATATAGATACCCATCAAGCACGAGTGTAGAAAACCAAGTCCAGTCGTGCTGCGGACACAACCAAGTACGGGTCTGGTACTAGTCATCTGGCACGTCTCTTTCTGAACCTTGCACATGCCCATGATTGTGTCGTGGCCAAGTTGCACAGCGATTCTGCGCTGATCCGGGGTCCAGTATGTCCAAATAATGACCGGGTGGCCAGGTCGGATCCACGCGGGATCAATGGTCAGACCCAGATCGCGTAGACCGTTGTTCTGTTTGGGCGGTTTCGATGTGTTGTAGTGGCCCGGCGTCGAGATCTTGAGGATCTGCGCCGACTGCTTGATGTGATTGGAGACTAGTTTGAGTTTGATGAGGTGATCGACGTCAGTGTTGACTAGAACCGCCTTGACTCGGTAGTCAGCAACAATGTGGAGGAACGCGGGCACATCCTCGTTCAGGCGGTTTTGGTCTAGAGGAGCGAGGGGAATAATGATGGCGCCAAGGCTGATGCAAGCATGTACCGCGAACACGAATTCTTCCGAATGGGTATACATGAGGATCAAATGATCACCTGGCTGTACCTTGACTTTGTTTTTCAGATACATAGCCACGGCAGCGACTCTAGAATCAAACTTGCGCCAAGTGATACCTTTGCCCTCGCGGCCTCTTCCGTCGATGGTGCAATAAGCTAGCTCTTCAGGCTGACGGGCAACACGCCACTGAATAAGATCGGTGATGCACGAGAAATTGTTCAGCGGCGTCGAGGTTCTGTCATCAATTACGACTTCGCGTCGGTCGATGCCAGAGTACTGCTTTTCAGACGTCATGAGCACATCTTCGCGAGACTCCGAGGACATTTGAGACCAGATACCGCCAATTGGGTCCACGCCAATAGGGAGATTGAGAACAGCATGTTCAACCCCGAATTTGACGTGTACGCAAGGCAGATTTCCGAGGTCAAACTCGCGGCGACACAGCATGTTGCCAATCTCGCGTCTGCCATTCTTCATTACCCGCGGCAATGAGTTTGGCGCTGTTATCATGACGCAGTACAGACGAAGATGGTGCTCCTGCATCAGAACTTCCATGCAGCGCTCAGCCAATGAGTCCAACAGAGCCATATCGGGCTGTCTGGGAGGACCGCCGGAGGTCAGGGGTGCCGTTGATGCCGCCGCCGTTTCCAAAACGACGACGGGTAAGTGCTCTTCATTGACAAAAACGTCGAATGCGGAGCAGTCATATGTCTTGGGGACATTTTTGACAATACTGACAACCATGTGCTGCACGAAAAAGTAGCGATATTCGGCTAATTCGGTTCCATGCTCTACCCACTCGACCTTCTGTCGAATACGATCCTCGTACAATCCGAGAATGAATATTTTGCCCTGAATAACAGTGCCGAGAAGGCCAGTGCGGAGAAATTCAGGTTCCACAGCCGTAGGAGTGGGCTCACCCGGATCGAACTTGTAAGGGCGAGCATGGAAGATGAGCTCTGTGTTCTTAGGCTGAGCCCAAAAGCCGCCCGATAGTGACGGGGAGTCAACCCAGATTTCGCCAACCGAGTGTGGGGAAGCAAGTAGCCCAGTTTCAGGGTCGACAATGGCCAACGTGGCATCCGGGATAGGATAGCCAAACGCTCCGACGCGAACCATACCCGGGTCATTAGAGCCTTTCTTCCTAGCCTCGGCTCCATACGCAATCACAACCACTTCGTTCGTCTTGAGTGCCTCGCGATCAAGAAGCACTTCGTTCATCTCTGTCTGGGAATCTTGTGGATCCTTAGTCGTTGTAGTCCCTCCGCCAAGCAAGCTGCCAAATCCGTTAGAAGTAGCGGGTTTGATTTCCTCCTTTTCGCTACTGGCGTCGGAGTCTCCGTCGGTTTCAAACCCTGCTTCTTTGATTTTGAGGGGAACGCCCATCCGCTCCTCGCCGCCGAGGAAGTCACGCAAACTGACGACCATGCCTCCATGTTCTGGAAGACACAGCATAGGCGACACTACATCACGCGCTCTGGGGTTGCGTAGTGGTCGCAGCCATCGATCGGCCAAGACCTCATGGAACTCGCTGTCAACGGTGAGGGTATCGATCAAGCACAGTTTGACCGTCTGAAAATTAGGCTCCACGCCCTTTTTGTAATTTCTCGTTGTCATGGGGTCCTGCTGGTAGTTGTATGCGGCACGTTTTAGGCCCGGATAGTCGGCAACCATGATAGTCGCTCTGTACTTGGTGATTAAATGAGCGTATAGGCCGGGCACATCGACAGCCTTGTTGTCAAACCAGATTGTAGTATGGCCACCATATACTGTGAGTAAGACACCAAGAATCATGCCAATTCCTTGGCGAGGATCCAGGTATGAAAGGATTGATTCGCTGCGCGAACGGTTACCGATAAGACGACCGTTTTTGTCCCTGAGCGATTGGTTGAAGGTATCTCCGGCAGAATTCCCAGGCATATTAGAAATAACAGCACTGAGCGTTGCCATTTGATGCATAATGGTGCGATGGCTAAGCACGACGCCTCTCAAGTCACCAGTGGGCCCGCGAGAAAACTCAATATATGCAAGGTCGGGGACGTTGAGACCGGGTATGTCTTCTTTCTTCTTGGGATGGTAGCTGCCAAACTCGTTTGTCTTCCACCATTCAACGCCGCGAGGCCAGGTTAGCTTTTGCGCCGTGATATCTCGTTGAAAAGCCTTCAAGTTGTTGTCCGTCGTCAGGGCGAGATGAGCCTGCGTCGAGGTAAGGATGTAGTTGAGACGCTGGTAGTCTTGTAAGTCATTTATGGGGACTGCGACGACGCCTGCGATGAAGCAGCCCATGAGAGCAATGGCGAAGTCGATAACTTCAGAGTCCCGGTAGACCAAGGCAACTCGGTCACCCCGGTACAGGGAGCTCTTGTCTCGAATGACTTGAGCCACCTTTTCGGCCCGGGAAGCGAACTTGTCCCATGTGATGGAGGCTGTTTCCTTGCCCTTGCTATCGAGGACCCAAAATGCAGGCGTCTTTGCAATTGTTCGGCCGCGATGTCGTAGTACGGAAGCAAGGTTGTCGAATCTCGACATGGCCAGGGTCGGATCATGGGAATCCATGATGCTGAATGGAACCTCGCGAGGTTCCAATGGCAGTTGATATGCAAGTGCCTCGGGTGGTGGGAGGTCGCTGGCGGTCAGCATCGGCGGTGCCATGGCAGCCGTGGGGGAGAAGGCCTCGCCGGATGAGTATCGGTTCTGCGGGCCACCATACTCGGCTTGCTGCGGTTGGTCGTAATGCTGCTGGCCAGCAAAATCAGAGAAATAGCCTTGAGAATCAAGCAGGGTGTGAGTTCTGCCATCTGGAGGGGGCTGTTGCGAATGAGGGTATGAGCCGTGTTGGTCGGGGTTGAAGGCATAGTCGCCAGACACCATGGTTCCGCTTCGCGATAGACGCATTGTACCTCCGGGTCCTGGAACAAACAGAGAATCGTGATTCATCGGTCCTGGTGCGCGGTTCTCTGGTATCGGCACGCCCGGGCGCAGTATGTTTGGGTTATGGTCGGGTGTCGGCGCCCAGGAGTTGGGGGAGTATGGAGGGTCGTCTGACTGCTGGTGAGAGTACGAGCTGCCGGGTCGGGGTAGGACACCGCCTCCCATGGCAGCCATGGCAGCTACCCTGTGACCATCGTTTACGGGATGCGAAGAGTTCTCGACGGAATGGATTCGAAGGCCAGACTGCGGCGGCGGGACGGGTGGAGGGCCATACTGAGAGAAGAGCAGAGTTCGTCGCTTTTGGTAGCTGGAAAGGGGGTCGTTAGAGCTTCGCACAGGGTGTCTTCGGTATCTATGGTGGCGTCTTACCCTTTCTCTGTGATGTCGCCTTCCTGTAGGCAAGATGTCAGCAACTGTTGGGCCGGGACGGGCCATGACCTACCTCGAGCTCACGCTGGAGATGGCGGAGCTGGTTATCCAGTCCGGGGTTGTAATCCGCCATGGTGTGTGAAGGAAGCTGCGCGACGGACAGCGGCAATCGCACGGCGCTTCTGTGATGGGAATAACTTTTAGACGGCGGCCATGGGAGTGCCAGGAGCGGTTTCCAAGGCTACAAGGTCTCGTGACGTAAGAGTCGAGAGAAGGAGGGCAGCGCCGCAGCGGCAGCGGGCGACAAGGGCAGCGGAGCGGGTAAGCGGGCCACGGCGAGCCCTAGCAACCTAGGTACCCTGGAGGCCAGCAACAGCACCATTTGGAAGCATCAATGCGCCGAGCCAGTAACGACAAACTCATTTCGCCCACAAAAACGAGCCGTAATTAGTATGGGTGTAACCTTGGATAATGGGGCGGCCTGCTGGCAAGGCAAAAGAGGCTTAATGCCACCTCGGGTCCTTTCACGTTCAGCTGGCAATACAGTGACGAGCCCCGCCGTGATGTCTGCGCAACATGCGACAACTTCTATCGCAGTATACATTCATCTTGTATACGAATAAACGAGCGATCATCAGTACGCAAAGGCTATTCACTACCATATTCACTAGTTTGCAAAGGCGAATACGCCCGAAAAAGATAGAGCATCGCTTAGTGGGTATGTGGTGAAGAGACCTCGTATTTGCATTTACTTTGGTACATTTTGCCGTTGGTGGCTTGCATGTGTTTTTCTCCCGTATACTTGAGGAACTCCTGTTTGTTTTCTTTCAACAAGCCCTCATTTCTAATTTTATAGTAATCGGTCATATGAATATATCTACCAAACAACGTCGTGACCTCGTCAACTTCAAGCCACTAACCAGCCTTGAAGCCTACCAGGCGCGCCACCCACTCACTGCCCACTCACCGGAACCAACTGCGCCGAACCGCCGACGGCCCAATATCTACAGAGGTACAAAAGGCCCACCACCATGCTCGCAAAACTTTTCTTCTACACAATCACCAGCCATCAGTCGAATCTTGGCATAGTTACTACCCAGCAGCAGCGGCGATAATTGTAGCTTGCCCTGTCAAAGCTGAACCATCGGTAAGCACACTCCCTGATCTGCCGTCATATCCCTACTTCCCAACGTGATGAACTACACATACACAGACCTGTTCCGAAATAAAATGTGGATGAACATGTTACTCTTTTCTGATTTCCTTACCTTCACCCTCCTTCTCTGCACAATTGCTCCGTCGTTCCTCTTCTAACAGAGCAACAGTAGCCTCACCCAGACCTCGCTTTCGACAACTGTCTCGAACCATCCAAATATTAGATACATGATGAATATACCAAACTATGACCACCTCCCTCGTTTCCTGATCACCCGTGCTCGTACCTTGTCTCCCACATAACCGTTGCTGTCTTTCAAAGGTAGCATTCTGGCGCCTTGAACAGCGCAAGCACAATATCCACGAGCCGGTGCGCGGTCCGATACTTGCTGACCCGTCCTTCCAACGACTCGCTCACAATGCTCCTGACAGTTGCCGAATCGAGCCGCAGATAGGCCGGCACCGTGTCGTGGGCGAGAAAATCCCAACGCGCATGCTGGTCTGCATAATTAAATGCAGGCAGTGGCCCGCACAGCAGCTTCTTATACTCGGCCGGTGTTTTGGCGCCAGGCACCGGCATCGGACCGGCTACGGTCATACCGTAGGTGATGAGTTCGCCCAAAGGCGGCGCAAGCTCGCGTACGCGGTTCCATTGCTCCGGAACTACCAGATTCTCCTCGCGGTAGGATAATCGCAGCACCGCACTGGGCGGGTCAGCCCATGCCGCCGCCGTCTCAGCATCAATCAGTCCGGCATCACGCATCTCGTCCACTGCCGCCAGGCCGCCGTTCACGTACGCCACATGCATGGTGGCAATGTCCATGAAGATGTGCTTCTGCATCGCCATCAGCATTGACGCATACCATCGCCCTCCTGGCAACTCGCCCAGATCGAGCATACCGGCCGCGAATGCGGAGCCCGCCATGTTGGCAAACGCCATCCAGCGTAGCTGCGCAGGGTGTGCGAGGTAGAGCTTGGCGTAGTAATCGTAGACGCCAAAAATGACATGCTGGTTCTGCTTTGCTGTCCGCCAGGGGTCCCAGGCCTCTAGAGAAATGTTGGCATCTAAAGTGGCATTGACGATCCAGTACTGCCGCAATAACGCCTTGTATCGAGTCGGAGGAAGCTGGGCAGCTCTGACAGAGGCCAGTGCTTGCCGCAGAACTGCCTGGTCATAGGGTAGCTCCGGGTTTACACCACCCTTGGATTCGCCATTGGCATTTGTCAACGCCATGTCGATATACTGAAGTGGCGGTGTCAACGGAGAAGCACTGATACCAAGCGCAACGGCCAGCAGCGCAGAAACAAACCGCATGATGCTTCGATTGTTCTTTTGTTGATTTTGGAGTCACGTTAATGTATCGTTATCTTTGAGTATTTAGGGAAACAGTCACAATAATTGCGGCAATGTCTGCCATATTTATTCTGCGCATTGCAAGCGAATTGCATGCGGGGAACATCTCAGGCCGCGGTTGAAGACACCTATTGCTCACAGCTGACAGAGTATTATTCTTGAACATGAGACTGCGCAGGACAATAAAGTGCGTTCTTCCTGCACGGGAAATACGCAGTGCATATCCGGATGTGACAGTTCGGAGTTGTTCCCGAATATGGGGTAGCGATGGGTCGGGGTGGATGTCTCGAGATTCGAGACTGGATCACGACGCTGTGCAGTTCTGTATTGGCGAGAACTGTCCGATGCATCCTTTCATCTCGAAGTGTCCTGGAATTGGAGGCGAGAGACAAAAGTACCCCCCTTGTTGGTACGCACAAGGCTCTGGTTTCGGTATACGGGGTCTGCTTGGTTGCAACGATTGCACAACACCCTGGTCACGCAGTATTGAACAGTACTTAACTTGACCTAATTCTATGCCAGTGGGTGTGCATTCGAATTTTGCTGCAACACGAGATGCGGCCTGTGACTACCACAGGAGGATCCGTCCGCGCCAAGAGTCAAGTCGACTGACAGCCATATGTATCGTACCAGGCTTCAACAAATGTGCATGGGTGCAGTAGTCTAGAAATCCGATCAAGCTAGGTCTTATTCAGCCTTGTTTCTGAGCACAGCCCCCGACTATGAACTGCAGCTGAGACCACCACGAATGGAGCTATCGCAAGAGTCCGCCTTGCCAATGCAGCCAAACTTCATAAATTATTAGATTGTTAATTCATCAATTCATTAGTGACTCGTCGTAGTGAAGTTAGTCGTACTTAGGTTTATCATTTCGCGGTTTGCCCGCGGGAAGCTTATCCGCCTAATGGCAGGCCCTCATATATTTGCTTGCAGGGATCTTTTTTTTCTTGTTGAATAAGTTAATAGAAGCAGTGTAATAATTATCAAATATTGGATTTTGAAGCGCTAGAGTCATCCGGCCTCTTTGGCTTTCCGCTGTCGGTTGTTCCTCCGTTGACTCACGCCGTTGAAACGTTGGCGTCAGCCTGACTGGCCATATATAGCCAGGGAGCTGCTTTCTTGGTCGGAAAATCCAGAGCAAACCAAGATAAAACCATACACCTGTTGGGCTTCAAATGGATCGCGTGCGCAAAGTATACTTTGATCCGCTCCTTACCACCAAGGAGCAGATCCGACAACGACTGAGCGGCCTTCCTGCCGGCACGGCGCATCCGTTCAGCCCAGAGCAGATCCTGCTGTGCAACGTCGACGATGCGATTCAGGAAATTGACATTTCTTCATACCCAGACAACTTTTTCTACAATGCAGTGGATCTCGGCGAGATGGGCGAGGTCCTCCTCAGCCGCATGGCCAAGTTTCAAAATCACCTGGGTGAGTCTCGGCCGATCTTTGGTCACCCACGACTGTGAAGCCGAGGACTAACGCTCCCGAATATAGGCGTGTTTGATGATTTCCAGATAATGCAGGCTCCAGCGTCGACATTCAGAGTGCCCATTTCGTCTGACAACATCACCATTCTGGCAGTCTCGACGCTGGACCCCACGTACTGGGACTTCTGCTTCGCCGATGCGCAGGGCAATACTTGCTGCTGGAATGCGACAAATACCTTTCCGGGCATCCGACATAGTGGTGACCATGTCCAAGGCCGCGATTTTCTCGCCTACGTCAAAATCAACGAGGCGACACTAGTGACCAAGGAAATTGGTGTTTTCATCTCGGGCTACCAGAAGACGCAGATTACCAAATTCTTGGGAACCTACCCGGCCATGATGGTGGCGGACCATGCTGAAAAGGTATTTCAGAATATCCCAAACATACTCTGCCACGGCTTTTAATCATCTAACCACGGCCAGGTACTCTTCATTATTCCTGTCCCGCTGGACGCCGCCACCATTGGGGAGGCGACCATCTGCTGCCCCTTGGTTTTCAAGCGCGATGGAGACTCTATTGTATTCTCGATTCTACCAAAAGCGAGCACTGATACAGGAGTTTTCTGCACCGGCTCCAATTTGCCCAGCCGAGCATTTGAAGAAGCTATTTCACGGGCAGACTTCTCACTGACAGCTGCCCTTCCAGCCCCTGCTCAGGGTGAGTCCCCATCCTTACATCGCGCAATGGGTAGGATGCTAACCTTGATGGAGGTTTGGTTTCCAAGATTTCTGATGTGGAGATTGCTGAAAGTTCAAAGACAGCAGCTGCAATTGTGTCACGGAACAAGGCCGTCTTCCTGACCAATGCAACTAGTATCCCTCCACATCTCGACATGCACGCTCCGCAGATGATCAAATTCGGCGCCGGGTTAGAGTTTAGCAGTTCCGACTCTGTATGCAGCACCACAAGCACTGATCGTTCTACAATCTTGCCTTGCATCTGGGGTACTGAATTCCAGGGGCCTATGCTGCTAGCAACCGGCGCTTGCCCGTCGAATGTGCCGTTTTCGAGTGCTGAGGCGCTGTTGAAATATTACGAACTGCTCGAGTCTGTTATTTTCGTCGTGAATGATGGCATGACTGATAACGCCCGCAACCTGGCCTCGCCGAACAGGATGAATGGGGTGTTCGTTGTCCAGCCAGGAGCAACAGCAGCCTCGGAAAGGAGCGATGACATCGTTCACTTCCTCGATTCGGTAAACATCAACGCAGTGACGGCACTAGCCGGACCCCAGTCCTTGGTCTTGGTACAGCTGAAGGACAAGTTTTACTTTTACCGCGGTATTGCCAACCGGGCGCATTTGAATACATCGCTACTCGAGTTTGGCGCAGACGTGACGTGCGCTGTCCAGTCTGCGGGCTTGGCGGCGTTGCTTGAACCTGCGGCAAAGCGCATTTGCAATCTCGAAGATGGTTCCAGCACAATTTTGCTGCCCAGCTCAAATCAGTTCGTCATACCCAAGGATCTCGCCCAACTATTCTCCACGGCGTCGGTTCTTCAGGTCAAGGGCATGGAAGAGGACATCTCAGCAGCTGTTCCGCAACTACAGGTGCTTCTCAACGAAAAGGACCTTGTCGCACTATCCCACTCGTTGGTAGAATTTTTGGTTTCGAAAACCTCGGAGGCGACAAAAGCTGCCAGGACGGCCTACCTGGACTTCCTAAGTGCGAACTGGGGAGAACATGACCCAGCTGCGCAGAAGCAAAAAGCGCTGTTGCGAGGAGAGCTGAAGAAGGTGGCCAAGGAAGCGCAAGTTTCTCTAGAGCCCGCTATTTCTAAGCTGTCTTTGATGATGTCGTTTAAAAATACATCCAAGAGAACGCACGATTTGAAGAGGCTTCAACGGCAGAGCAAGATCCAGAGCAACGTGAAAGCAGCACAAGAAATGACTTTTGGAAAGCTGGCGGAGTATCTGGAGGATTATGCTTCAGATATGGGCGTCATGGTGGTCAATATTGAAACTGAACCATTTGAGAAGTTATTGGGTAATTTGGCTGGTAGCCTCATCGATGCAAGGCCTTGCTGTGCTCTCGACTCGCGCGTCCTTTATCTGGAAGGTCTAGATGCCGGCATCATCATGGAACAGTCGCAGAGCTCTCATGAAGGTCCTCTGCGAAACCAACATGGTCCCATGGTACCCATCATGTCAATGCCGTACCTGAATCAGGGCGCAGGGGCGGGTTCCATGCTGGGATGGGTATGCTGGGACGAGTTTGTCAACCTGAAGACCCCGTTTGGCACCCGGTGGATGGAAAAGTGCAACGACGACCATATTTCTGCGCTGCGAATTCTGATGCGCGGGACACTGAGCAGTGCCGTCATATCGCGCGAGTACAACATGACTCCGGGTGCTCCCGAGACTGGACAGCTCATGAGCGCGCTGCTAACGGCGTCCATGTTTAAACTGGCAGACATGAGACAGTCTGTTCCGGTAGAGGTTGAGTGTGCCGAGGATACTGTGACAAGATTGATGCGTGGCCTGTTTGGTAATCTGTTGACAGTGGCAGGCTCGGGCGTACGGCCGCTTAGCATGTCATGGCAGCTTGTTGGTCAGCAGCCCCTATTCGATATCCCCAACACTGCGCAGGAGTGGATGTGGTACCAGAACATGGTCTCTCTTTACCCCTACACCGGATGGCCGCTGGCACAGTTTCACCAGAACCTGCAAAGTCTCCTCGACAAGGTTATTGTGTGGGTGGTGACCAAGGCAGAGGATGTTGGGAGTGTCAAGAGAAACCGAATTGAGGAAATGGCTCGGTTCTGTCGCCTCAGAAACATACAGCTGGACCACTGTCGCACAATCATTACCGTGCTGATGCGCATGCTGACCGAGGATGGTGTCGACCGGGCTGCGTGCGCGTCGCGGCTGCTAGCGCATTTGCCAGCAACGTTGGAGAGGCAGACACAATCGTATACGCGACTGCTCCAGTACCTGGAGCATTTATCCAAGGGAGGCAAGCGACGCCAGGGTGATGACACGATTGCTGCCAACGTCTACACGCGTCGTTCGGCTGCGTTTGGCGCGCTCAAGGCCGAGGTGGCGCAGGCATGCAAGAGAGAGGACTGGGAGGTAATCAAGGACCGCTGCAAAGCCATCAAGACGCTTCAAAATTCCATTGCAGAGAAGTGGCAGATCCCGCTGCCGACGCTCAAGGTACAGGGTATCAGCGCCTTTGACAGGCTGCTTGCGGCCGAGGTCCCGACGGCGACGACGGAACCGCAGCAGCGGGCAAAGCTGGACATGTTGACGAGGCAGGCGCTGTGCGACGCGGAAATCTGTCGGGTTCCGTGGCAGGTTGGTCAGAGCGGTGAGTTTGGCCGTGACATTGAGGCTCTGGACGAAGCATTCGTGGAGGAGATGTTGAGGGGCGAGGCTCGTGCCGGCCCTCTGGCCGTCAAGGCGAGCAGCGCGGCGGAAGCGATCGAGGAAGCCAAGGAGGGTATTCTGGACAAGTACAAGTCTGCCCTTGAGCCGGCATTTGTGCAGTCGCTGGAGACGTCAATGACTGCGGAGGCGGCGTGCAGCCTGATGCATGTTCCGGTGGAGACGATGCAAGTGTTTGCCAAGGCGCTGAATCCTGCCTTTGCATGGGAGGACTTGGGGGGGAGGTTTAGAGTGGTTATACTGGGGTTGCTGGAGAGGCGATCGTGTCGTGTTGAGAGCCGGCCTGTGAGGAAGCTGTTGGAGATGGGGAGATTGGTTGAGGAGGATGACTGATCAAGATGGTAGTTGAGGGTATGTAGGTACTCGGTGGTTGTTGCCTAATACTACCTACAAATTACCACCTTCTCGGAAAATATTACTCTATGCTAGCACCCTTGCTTGTCTTACCCTTATCCCACTAGGCGCGAGACAAGCAAACAAGATTAAAAAGAAAAAAGAAAAAAAAAAGAAAGAAAAAGAGGCCAAAACTTTAGTAAATCAGCCGTCTCAGGGCGCAGGCAGGGTCACGGCGCGCGCCGCACAGTGCGGGCCGCTGCAACTGCACGGGAAAGGAAAAGGAAGCAAGAGATCTCGCATGTATGTAGGGGTAGGGGGGAGCCGGCTGCTGGAGAAGGCACGGCTCTGGTCGCTTCGCAGTCGTCACACTGGATGGATAAAAATGAGGGACACGATTAGCGACTCTCGTAGTTTATTTTATTCGTCATCTTCATTCAGACGCAAAAAAAGCAGTTAGTCGGACAAACCGTTGAGAATGTACATCACGTGCGTTTGTCTCTGTGCAACTGGCGAACTGGCGAACACGCACGACCTTGTTCTTTACCAACCAACGTTCAACCCCTCGCTGTCTCTCAGCCTCCCTTGTCCAGTCCAGTAGACTTGCAGGTCCCATCGTGCAGTAGCTCCATTGTCATACGTCTATTTCCAGCGACCCGGTGTAAGCCACTCCATCGGCGACTCCGGGGCCACACCCATACTTTCGGGCCTCGGAGGCCACCCAGCGTTGTTGCGCCCGCTCTAGTCAGTTGCTGTGTACTATGCACAAACCTGTGCCGTTTACCAAGATTCTCGACAAGACAACAAGTTCCTGTCGCAAACATCATTCGGCGGATGAGTACGCCATGACCGACCAACCCAGCCCAGCCTTGCAGGTGATTGTCCTGGTGAGTTGCTGCCCTCCCCTCCGGACCCCCGGCCGTGTTGGCTGCTTGGCCGTTGCACGCAGGCAGGATGAATAGGAATGGCGGGTGCTGCCTAGCGCCCGTTGAGTGATGGGAGTTGAACCGTAGCCATTGCTTCCTTCACGAGGCCTCAACGAGTCAAAGCCGGCTCAAATCACAGCCGTTTCTTCGTCCACGAACTTGGCCTCTCAAACCAGTTGCAGATCGCCTACGCTAACTTCTTACTTTCTCCTTCCCCCCAATTATAGGGCTCCGGAGGTGGACCGCAAGAATCCAACGTCACCGCCTTTCTCGTGCGCTCCCTCGAGCAGGACTGGCGCAAGGGCTCCCTCGTCGCCGTCGACGCGGGCGTGCACCTGTCCGTCATCACGCGCCTCATTGCCGAGGCGACGCCGTGCCCGCCGCCGCCGCCGCCCTTTACGCTCGACTCCGGGCCCTTTGCCGGCCTGCGGCTGCCGCACAGCACCGCCGCCGCCAACGCCGCCCACGTCACCCGCGCCCTCGTCGACACGTACCTCGTCACCCACCCGCACCTCGACCACATTGCCGGCTTCGTCATCAACACGGCCGGCCTGCCCGGCACCCGCCCCAAGAAGCTCGCCGCCCTCCCGAGCACCATCCACGCCCTCAAGACACACATCTTCAACAACGTCATCTGGCCCAACCTCAGCGACGAGAACAACGGCGCCGGCCTGCTCACCTACCTCCGCCTCGTCGAGGGCGGCAGCCCCGCCCTCGGCGACGGCGACGCCAAGGGCTATCTCGAGGTCTGCGACGGCCTCCAGGTCAAGACCTGGAGCGTCAGCCACGGCCACTGCCTCGAGCGGCACAGCCACCGCGGGTCCACGGCCTCGAACCCCTCCACCCGGTACGGCAGCCACGACGCCTCGAGCCACCCCGGCCCGCCGCCGCGCCGGGACACCTACAACCCGCCGCCGCTCCAGCCCATGTCCAGGACCCACTCGCTCGCCAACAACAACCAGGGCGCCGGCCTCCTCGGCGCCTCGTCGCCGCGCCAGAGCGGCGCCTGCGAGACGGAGCGCGTCTGCGTCTACGACTCGAGCGCGTACTTTATCCAGGAGCAGACCACCCGCCGCGAGATCCTCATCTTTGGCGACGTCGAGCCCGACAGCATCTCGCTGAGCCCGCGGAACCTGCACATCTGGCAGGAGGCGGCCCCCAAGATCGCCGCCGGCTTCCTCGCCGCCATCTTCATCGAGTGCAGCTACGACGACGCCCAGTCCAACGACCGCCTCTACGGCCACCTCAAGCCCGTCTTCGTCGTCGAGGAGCTGAGCGTGCTCGCCGCCGAGGTCCAGCTGGCCCGCACCCTGCGCGCCCTCGAGTCCAGAAAGCGCAAGCGCGGGAGCCTCTCGGAGCACGGCCGCGAGCGCAGGCAGCATTCCACCCCGCGCAAGTCGGCGCTCTTGGTCGCCGAGGATCCCGTGTCGCCCAAGTCGCTGCGCCCGCGCGTGCAGACGACCGAGGTGGTGATGCGCACCGGCGATGGTATTGGCACGCCGCACCTGGCCACCCCGACCGAGGAGCTGTCGCTGCATGACGCCGATATTGGTCCGATGACGCTGCCGCCGGCCGCGACGTCGGCCCCGCGTCCCCTGCAAGGGCTCAAGGTTGTCATTATTCATGTCAAGGAGACGTTGGCCGACGGGCCGGAGAGGGGGGATGTTATTCTGGAACAGCTGCAAGAACACGAGGAGGAGGCGCAGCTCGGATGCGAATTCATCATTTCCAAGTCGGGGCAGTCTTTTTACCTGTAGTGGAGGAGATACCAAGGCGGTTTATTACTTTGGATATTTTTTTGCATGAGCTGCGCAGTACGAGTTACGATTTCAACGTCTACTGATAATTTTTAGCCTATTTCTCTTATTTAGTTGCCACCACGATCAATCTTTTGCTGTAATAGCACTTTTTGGAATATGAAGGTATTCCATCTATTGGGTTTATCATCAAGCTCTTGTCGTTTTCCCGCGTCTTCCGTTGGGTTCGTTTTTGCCCGGCTATTTCACGTCTTGCGCTCGGGTAGCTTCTCATAGCCCTCCAGGCCACCGACATCCTCCTTGAACTTGGGACGGGTGAGCTCCAGGCCTTGTGTGGTGCGAGAGTAGGTGATGCCGCCGAGACGGCCCATGGGGCGCAAAATCTGAAAATCTGGTCAAAATTCTTGAAGCCCGATAGCATCGCACGAAGTTGACTTACTGCGGGATCGACAATGTTCTTGTCCTCGTTGAGCGCGTCCTCGCGCACCCAGAACCTGGTGCCCTCGACAAAGACGGTGGTGCCCGACTTGCTGCCCGGCCTGGCGCGGCTTTCCCACTCGCGAAACGAGTCGAGCTTGGCCTCGACACTGAAAACGGCCTCCTTCACCCGGGCGCAGCGCACCGTCTCGCATGAGTAGTCGGGCGTCAGGCCGCTGACGCGCCACTCGTCAGCGCCAAACGGGGCGTCGGTGCTCGCCGCGTTGGCGGCCTCGAGGTATGTCTCGGAGATGATGTTGATAACGCACTCGCCAGAGTCGAGCAGGTTCCGGAGCGTGTCCTTGGCGGCGGCCACGGACGAGGAGAAGCCAATCATAAAGGTGGGCGGGTCGTGCGCGACGACGTTGAAGTAGCTAAACGGCGCGAGGTTGGTCGTGGCGCCGTCGGCGCTGCGCGTGCTCACAAAGGCAATGGGCCGCGGCGTGATGGCCGAGATGAGTAGCTTGTAGTTGGACGTCGCCGGGCGGTCCGCCGCGTGCGGGTCAATGGCCACGTGCGGCCGCCCCGCGCCGGCGTCGGGCAGGCTGTTGCGGCCCTGGCCAAAGGCCCAGTCGGGGTCCGCCGTCTTGGTGTAGTGAAAGGCTTGGTCGGCCTCCCAGTCGGGCCGCGCCGCCTCGACTTTTTTGAAGTCGGGGTGCGGGTTCCGGTTGATGCTGTCGGCCATGGTGACGGAGAAGCGACGGCGGGTTGTGAGGCGGCAAGGGCGGAGTGAGGCGGGAGAGAAGAATATCCGGGCACGGTACATGAAGAACGTGCAGGGTCGAGGTTGTATAAAGAGGCTGGAGGGAGGGGGGGGGGGAGGGGGTGAGAGAGAAACGTGCACGCCTTATAAAGAACTTAGAAAGCGCTTAGATGGGCCGCGGCCGAGTGTGGTCCCGTCATGGGTCCGGCGTCCGCTCGGGTTGCAGCCGGGAGCTCAGGAACCCCGCCATTGTGTCTAGTATGGGTGGGGAGAAGGGATAAACGTCATGGTTTCGTTGACGCGATTGTAGTGATGACAAATTACTTGTGACCCCTGGGAGCAAGCAGTCTTTTTTTCCCATGATGTACAGGTATTGTGGCGGGCTTGGCAAGATCGTCCTCCGACTTCCGCCGTTCCGATCGGATCGTGATGGGATTGGCCAGAAGATGTATGCATCAAGAACTGATGGCGAGAGCACGTATTAAATAAAGTAGGGGCAAAACTGCTATAAATATGGGCTATCGAGACTCGCGGCTCTTTTATTATAATTATTCCTGTCGACCTGTTAATTGTCGTTGTGCTAGTACTGCGAGGAACACCACACCGTCCAACACACAACCCCTCCGTCGGAATTTAAAACATCACGCGAGCGGCCAGGGCAACACCGGCTTATCCTCTGCACATGTCAGCCACCTCACCTTGGTGTGTTGATGTTCGGCGGGATTGGTTAGTGTCTGCAGTAATCAAAGAGATCTCCCGTTATGAATGCGGGGAACATCACTAAGATGGATGGATGGGCAGCAACTGCTTGGGTTTGTCCCTATCTATACTTGGGGTCTGACGGGGAATTTCAGTTATAAAAGCAGGAATGTCGGCCAGAGAAATCCAAAAGTATCTTTGCCACTCATATTTCTAGATTCTACAATTTTCTCGCTCGCCATAGACTTGCATTGCTGTGCTGGCGGCCACTTGCATACTTTCAGATCGCACACCACACACCACACACCACACTCACACAACACATCGCAATGCCACCTGCTAAACTCTCTACCGTCTCTCCCGCTTTCATGCTCCTGGGCGGCGTATCGTCGCTTCCGAGTGGAACTCTTGTGCGCGGTCTCCTCAGCAAACCCCAGGCCACGCCTCCGCGCTTCCGCGACGTCGAAGCAGAATGGGACTACTTTCAGCTACGAACCTACGGTGTTGGTGTCCCAGAGCGTGCATCCAAGATGAGACGCCGCGAAGCTGGTCATCGCGCATGACGTCTGCTATCAGTACTGGAATTGCAACGAGAGTATGATCAAGACAAAGCACTACTCAACCCTTTGGAGCGCCAAGTATTATCTCTATATGTTCTACCTACAAATCATGTCTTTTTTTGGATAATTACTTCGTGATGAAGCTCGTAAAGTCTCATCTGGAAAATGCACAGTACACCCAATCGAAGTTGATCTACACTGACGTGAGATGCGTAATACCTACAGTAAGACAGCTTGGCGTAGCACACTACACCCGCGGCATACCCAAATAGACTTGGGGCAGATTTATACTAGTCGAATTAAGCTACATTGATTTTATTGCCAATGACACTTATTCGCCAAGCTTCCCCCAAGTATCGCACCCAGAACACGGCTCGGCAGGCAGAGACTGCTGAAGCTGCTGTAGAATACATTCAACAGAAACCTGGGTTTGTCTTATTTTGGTCTCATTTCAGCATAAAACTCATCCAACTAAATCAATCGCCCAAACTTGCCTAATTTATTGCTCTATTCGGTCGCGGTTCGCACGACTTACAACCCCGT